ACAACGTATATATTTTTATCAGTTTTTGAAACACCGGCTTGCTTTAGTTCTGTAGTATTAAGTAATTTGGTGAGTGAGTTTAGTTTTACGCCGCACTCATCAATATTCCAGATATATGGCGGCGGTCTGTAAAAAAGTCTGGACCAGACAATCCAGTGATCAACAGCATGAGCATCGATCTACGCCATTGGGATACGATGACATGTGTCAACCAAGTCAGTGAGCCTGGACACCCGATCCCGTTAGTCGCCTCTTACGGCAAGCATGGGTTACTGAAGATCAATTCTAACCCGGATCTTCACGGGTAATTAAGTAAGTAAATCTGTAAGACGCCTGCTGGTGTATGCAATCAAGAGAACCTCGACTTCCTCCAAAAGCTTAGTAGCTTAGTGACTAAAGTGTTGGCTAGTCGCGACGGAGACGCGGGTTCAGTTGTCGGCATGGCTGCTGTTCAGTCTAATCTCCATCTTCTTCAGTTGTTTCAGTGGTGCCCAAATGGAGTGAACTATCCTGCATTGTTTCTTAACTTGGTATACACATCTTACACGATGCTCATGCTGTTGATCACGGGATTGTCTGGTCCAGACTCGATTATTTACAGACCGCCGCCATAAAGCTGGAATATTGCTGAGTTCAGCGTAAAACCAAACTCACTCACTCACAATACACATCTTACACCGGACTGAACACGCCACTAGTTACAGGTTACATGGTTACATGGTTACATAGGGGAGGTAAGTGTATACGCCCGAAACCAGTTCACATGCCGACTGTGTGTCAGGCGTCGGTAGGGACGGCGTGTGTGGTGTCCTCCACTCCATCATCCCCCGCACCATGGCGGTCGGACACCTAATCAAGGACGCTGGTATAGGCTCTCTCCATGGCCATGACAGCTTGGATTGTGAATTCCGGGAAATATTATAGATAGTTGACTTGTCAGTGGAATCGGTCATTCTCATCGTTCGTGGGCTTGATGAGCTGGTCTCGTGGTAAAGCATTCACTCGTCAGGCCGGTTCGAATGTAGGTAACTTATATATGTGTGAAGTCTGTTTGGTGTCCCTGACGTGATAGGGTTGTAATATTGATATTATAAGAGTTAAACACATCTCACTTTAACTCACTCCTGTAACACACATGCAGGAGCGGTGGGATGGATTTGTCATGCCAGACACATCAAGCCATTGCTGCTTCAGTTCAGCTTTGTATAATATATCAAATGTAAATTAAAATGTATACCCATTATGTCTTGAGAACCCCTGTGTATGGAAACTGACCGCTTTAATATTTAAATGCCGGAGTCATATATGACCATGAAGTGTCCTCAGGGCCGTAGTTTTTGTGTTTTTGGGATGCCCCCCCAGATTTTTTTGTGATTACTCATTGTTTTGATAGAACACTCTTTTAAGATTGATAGTGCCCCCAGATTACTTCTTATGCATCAAAGTATTGATATAACACCCTAAGAATTTTAACATTGATAGTGCCCCCCTTATTAAGAAAAGTTAACTACGGCCCTGATCCTCATCTCATGTATTGGACATCCTCTAAGATGGCGTCTTGATGTCACACACGGATACTATTCTATCATCCACGATGGACTTGCTCCAGCATTACAGGGACGGCAGGGTAGTGTAGTGGTAAGAGCACGCCGAGGACCCGGGTTCGATTCCCCACATAAATACACTATTTGAAGCCCATCACCTGTCATCGCCGTGATGATAGTTGGAATGTTTCTAAAGACGGCGTGAAACCATTGTAATTCATTCAGTCTAACTCTAACACCGATCAAAGCACGTCCAGTTCAAGCCATAGCCTTCAGAACTATATCTGAAATTTATTTTGCAAACGATGGTGATTTTAGTTAACATATACATTTGTATCTACGAAAACGTCAATCTGTGATATTGATGCCCCCACTCTGAAGTCGGGGTCACGTCTGTCACTGGAGCGGTGGGGTAGCCTAGTGGTTAAGGCGTTCGCTCGTCACGCCGAAGACCCGGGTTCGATTCCACACATGGGCACAATGTGAGAAGCCCATTTCTGGTGTGCCTCGTGATATTGCTGGAATATTGCTAAATACGGCGTGAAACTAAACTCACTCACTGTAACCGTTATTATAGTAGGAGTATTTCACATCGAGCACCTTAACGAACCGCTACTGACTCACCCCCACCAGGCACTTTATTCACATTCCCACAGTTCAAGAGACTCTGGCTGCGAGACTGGGCCTAGATTTTAAGTTAATGTCAATGCATGGTACTTACGACCATCTTAACTCTAGGTAAGCTTCGAAAATCTAGGCTCTGGACTCTTTACAAACCCGGGGACAACACATGCTCAACTTTCGTTAGGATCATTTCTGGGTTCCGAGACTATTTCCACGCTGGCGTAAAACTATACCCACTCACTGACATTAATTACAAACGTTAACTGACGGCTCAGGTCGTCGACCTGCCTGACGCTGGGTATGAAGATGAACAAAACCAGGACAGGTCAGACTGGAGTCTCATTGGACGCTGTGTCTGAGTGGGTTTTCCATATTAAAATAGTATAAGACATGGTAAGCTTACTGGTCGACACTGTAAAAACCGTACTGACATTCTAGCAGGTGCTCGTGCATGCTCGCTGTTACGTCCTACAATAGCCTTGAACGTGACATTAAACCCATGAAATACCTTGCAAAGTAAACAAAGGTCTGACCCCAACTGGTACCCCCAAACACCCCCTAGCTGTTTTGGTACTCATTGTTCATGATAAAGCCGTCAAAACAGATGTGCCATTCATCCTTGGTGACAGGAATGACTTTGGAACGGTTAATGGCTGTTACTTGACACTTTCTTTAGTTTAACAGACTCTCTGGCTGCCACACTGTGGACTGTTTACAAACCAGGGACAACACTTATACAGAACTTCTGTTGGAGTTCTTGAAGGCATTTAGAATTTGGACAAACATTAAAACATGACTCGTTTTATGAATATCATATTTTTGTCCTTTATCACAACGTTTCAGAGCTAATTCCTGTTCTGACCACCTGGCTAGCTATTCTCGAAACGTTCGTGGCCCTACGAACTTCTTAAGCCCATTCTTAACACATTGGCTACGATCAAAGTTAAGAATTCTTAGGTCTACGAACGTTTCGAGAATAAGGGCCCTGGTCACTATATGGCTGAAATATTGCCGAGGTGACGTTAAATTCTAACTCACTCACTCACTCTGGCCACCTGGTGAAGGAGCAAGAATTAGCGCTGAAACGCCATAAAAGAACATTAAAGAAGTTATGAAACGTGTCATGTATTAACGTCTATTGGGGTCATTTCTGTGTTCCGAGATTATTTCTACTGCATTGTAAAACTATACCCACTTTTGAATAATTATAAACCCGTGAAGATCCGGGTTACAATATTGATCTTCAGTAACCCATGCTTGTCCTAAGAGGCGACTACCGGGATCGGGTGGTCAGGCTCGCCGACTTGGTTGACACATGTCATCAGTTCCCAATTGCGCAGATCGATGCTCATGCTGTTGATCACTGGATTTTCTGGTCCAGACTCGATTGATCACTGGATTTTCTGGTCCAGACTCGATTATTTACAAACCGCCGCCATGTAACTGGAATATTGCTGAGTGCGGCGTAAACCTCAACTCACTCACTCACTCATTGAATAATTATACTTGTGTTTCAAAATTTGAATATCATTACGAATGAATGTGTGAGAATTTCTTAGGGTCTGGTTCCTACTTCAGCAATATATTTCCAGCCGACCTTGCTGACTTACGGTATAGAGCTTCAGAGCGACCATCATAAAATGCGAGTATCTTAATGTGAGTCATATATTGGGCAGCAACAGGGGTGGGCCAGTTCCGGGACTGTCAGGTGTGGTGATGTTATCATGGATTACACAAATAATACAGTACACAAGTCGTACAGAAAGGTGAACGTTTTTTGTCCTGGAACTATTTCTTTGAAGACTTGCTGTAAAGCGTAGCCCCAGGCCGTGTTGCCCTAATGAGAGCATATACGTGGCGTGGGTTCACATCACTGATACACTCCCTCTACACTCACTTTTAGCTTCTAGTCGGACCCCTTATTTGTCTTTGAGAATCAGCCTCTGTCGTGAAACAGTCTGTTCCTGTAGCAGGCAACGTTTTCTATAATTATTTTAGAAAATAGATTTCCATTTTTTATCTGACTTGGTCGGTTCGGTGCTCAAAGCTGCACTGGGTTATGCCATCAACTGGCATGGTGTAAAGGTGTAGGTCATCAACTGGTCGTGTGTTCGAATCCTGTTTATGGTACTTGGTCTGCTAGCAACACATATTAACCAAGTTTACTAAATAGCTTTGGTCGGGATAAAGACTGATCCGATTGTTAGAAAGTGATATTTTTATTCATATCACATAAATTTGCTCCACGAAGAATATTAAAATGTTGATTGTTATCGGAAAATCTGTTTTCAAGTTTTTACTTAATCAATTTAATCACTTCAGCAAAGCGTTTTCTGGGACCAAGCATCCTTCACTCGGGGCTTTCGTATCACAGAACCAGTCTCATGATCTTTGATTTGCTAGCCCCATGCGAACGGTTGTGGGTTTCTCATGGACACTTCATGCGATAATTTCACCAGAGTTGTAAAGGTGTGTGACCTGGATCACTTCGACCTGTCCTTTATGTCAAGAGTGACACGGCATGTCATACCGCCATTTCAAAATAGCGGACTAAAACACAACTCATTCACTGACTCATACCGATGACTGGTCTTCGACCTATTCACTGTTAACATCACCACTTTGCTTGCAGCTTGAATCTCTCGACGCTTTGTCTGATCGACTGAAATTCGTGCCAGCCAAGAAGATCTCTGTGTAGGAGGGTTGGGTTGGGGGCCGAAACGTCGTCTGACGTCATCATGCAATCTTATTACGTCATAGATAAGCTTCCGGTTCTGAAAAGAAAATGGCGACTGATCAACATGATCAATCAATGGGATCCTATTTTTGCAGGAATGGAACATGAATGATTCCAGCGACAACAGTAGCGATCCGTTGGCCAATCTTACGGGCCACACTTCGAACCATGACGGTGCTGGTCGAGCAGACGTTATTCTTTTCATTTTTGCCAGCTGTGCATTTGGAGGTAAGATCTACCATATCTGTTGAAGCAGCTTCACTTTACTATCACAACGCTCGTGTAACTTTATGTAAGCATTTACATTTTATATTATAGATATTATTACATATACTCTGACCATGATGTTGTTTTTGTCAAGTGTACAATTCGTGAAAGTTAGAGTTTATGCGTCTCATAACCATTTATCCAGTACTGCTTGAAAGAAACTGTTGACAGTCACTGTTGTGAAAGGCCATAAGCCAAACTGTTTTCCATGTGGGACATGGACAAATAAGCCCTCATTTCCGAATGTACAGAAGGACTGATCATGAGTCAGTTTCACAGAGGTGCTGAGTTTGTCAGTGGCCAGTGTCTGATTCAAAGATGAAGGTGAAAACTACCGAAACAATCAGGGTTATGTGTTACCATGATGCTCTGTGCAGGCCTACAACATAACAGTTATAAATATACACTTATCATAAACACCAATACATACATGCAGTTCACATTCATACTAATAGTGCTAATCAGATATGATCCTTTAGTTAGCACTGATTATGATGATCAGTATCAATATGTACCTCTAGGGTAGTAAGTTCGTATTTCTGTTTTTATACATGACAGCCCAAAATACATACAGCCATAGACAAATACCACATGAATAAATCAGTATCAATGATATTTAAGGACATATATATCTACTGAGTGTATGGGCCTGTGTCTTAAGGATGCTGTGCAAGGTATATCTACTTGTTCATCTGTAGAGAAACTTATAAGATATTTAGCATATTCAGACATGCCAACAAGAACAAATATAGGAATCTCCACAGAGTAAGTTTTGTCATAAACACAGGTATACATGTAACAGGGCGTGATGAAGCAATGCTACATGTCCATTCATTCACTCTTACTTTCATCCATTCATCTTATGCTTATCAGCCAGCTTTTCCTCTTATATAACAAATGAATTCTATTAATATATACAAAATTACTAATATTGCTTCTTATTAACTCTTTATACATGTTATAATGAATTTAAATACTTATTTGGTTGTTTATAGCAATAACAATCATGAATTCACAGTCGTGTGTATTTGTGTCAAAACACAAAACAGTTACATATGATCCAAAGCTCCAATTTTAACTTCCAAAGAGACTTCCTTCAGAATCACAATTTGGAATAGATTTGTAATCCTGTGATGAATATATTAATGAAGACCACAGACCTCCAATGTGTCCAGTATACTGCTTGGCTGAATACCCAAGCTGGCCATAAAGACAAACGGGCTTATGCAAAGGGTTCCACCGGAAGAGAATTATGCAAATTAACCATGCAGTAAGCATGCTTAGTGAAACACCTGTGAATAATTTTGTCTAAGGTTGGCTGATCAAAATGATAAAATAAGATTACTGAGACTGTGAATAATCTGTGTGTTTCCTTGTTGTTTAACACCACACTCAGCGGTAACTTTCCAGCAATATATCAGTAAAGACCAGATGAGACAATCCTGTAACTATCATCGTGAGCATTGATCTACACAACTTGGATACAATCACATGCATCAGCCAAGTCAGCGAGCTGGACCTCCCTATGACAGGCATTAGGTTGCTGAAGACCAGATGAGACAATCCTGTAACTTTCATCATGAGCATTGATCTACACAACTTGGATACAATCACATGCATCAGCCAGGTCAGCAAGCTGGACCTCCCTATGACAGGCATTAGGTTGCTGAAGACCAGATGAGACAATCCTGTAACTATCATCTAGAGCAATGATCTACACAACTTGGATACAATCACATGCATCAACCAGGTCAGCGAGCTGGACCTCCCTATGACAGGCATTAGGTTGCTGAAGACCAGATGAGACAATCCTGTAACTATCATCTAGAGCATTGATCTACACAACTTGGATACAATCACATGCATCAACCAAGTCAGCGAGCTGGACCTCCCTATGACAGGCATTAGGTTGCTGAAGACCAGATGAGACAATCCTGTAACTATACATGAGCATTGATCTACACAACTTGGATACAATCACATGCATCAGCCAAGTCAGCGAGCTGGACCTCCCTATGACAGGCATTAGGTTGCTGAAGACCAGATGAGACAATCCTGTAACTATCATCTAGAGCATTGATCTACACAACTTGGATACAATCACATGCATCAACCAAGTCAGCGAGCTGGACCTCCCTATGACAGGCATTAGGTTGCTGAAGACCAGATGAGACAATCCTGTAACTATACATGAGCATTGATCTACACAACTTGGATACAATCACATGCATCAGCCAAGTCAGCGAGCTGGACCTCCCTATGACAGGCATTAGGTTGCTGAAGACCAGATGAGACAATCCTGTAACTATCATCTAGAGCATTGATCTACACAACTTGGATACAATCACATGCATCAACCAAGTCAGCGAGCTGGACCTCCCTATGACAGGCATTAGGTTGCTGAAGACCAGATGAGACAATCCTGTAACTATACATGAGCATTGATCTACACAACTTGGATACAATCACATGCATCAGCCAAGTCAGTGAGCTGGACCTCCCTATGACAGGCATTAGGTTGCTGAAGACCAGATGAGTCAATCCTGTAACTATCATCTAGAGCATTGATCTACACAACTTGGATACAATCACATGCATCAACCAGGTCAGCGAGCTGGACCTCCCTGTGACAGGCATTAGGTTGCTGAAGACCAGATGAGACAATCCTGTAACTATCATCTAGAGCATTGATCTACACAACTTGGATACAATCACATGCATCAACCAAGTCAGCGAGCTGGACCTCCCTATGACAGGCATTAGGTTGCTGAAGACCAGATGAGACAATCCTGTAACTATACATGAGCATTGATCTACACAACTTGGATACAATCACATGCATCAGCCAAGTCAGCGAGCTGGACCTCCCTATGACAGGCATTAGGTTGCTGAAGACCAGATGAGACAATCCTGTAACTATACATGAGCATTGATCTACACAACTTGGATACAATCACATGCATCAGCCAAGTCAGCAGGCTGGACCTCCTATGACAGGCATTAGGTTGCTGAAGACCAGATGAGACAATCCTGTAACTATACATGAGCATTGATCTACACAACTTGGATACAATCACATGCATCAACCAGGTCAGCGAGCTGGACCTCCCTATGACAGGCATTAGGTTGCTGAAGACCAGATGAGACAATCCTGTAACTATACATGAGCATTGATCTACACAACTTGGATACAATCACATGCATCAACCAGGTCAGCGAGCTGGACCTCCCTATGACAGGCATTAGGTTGCTGAAGACCAGATGAGACAATCCTGTAACTATACATGAGCATTGATCTACACAACTTGGATACAATCACATGCATCAACCAAGTCAGCGAGCTGGACCTCCCTATGACAGGCATTAGGTTGCTGAAGACCAGATGAGACAATCCTGTAACTATCATCTGAGCATTGATCTACACAACTTGGATACAATCACATGCATCAGCCAAGTCAGTAACTATACATGAGCTGGATCTCCAACTATGACAGGCATTAGGTTGCTGAAGACCAGATTGCTGAAGACCAGATGAGACAATCCTGTAACTATCATCTAGAGCATTGATCTACACAACTTGGATACAATCACATGCATCAACCAAGTCAGCGAGCTGGACCTCCCTATGACAGGCATTAGGTTGCTGAAGACCAGATGAGACAATCCTGTAACTATACATGAGCATTGATCTACACAACTTGGATACAATCACATGCATCAACCAAGTCAGCAAGCTGGACCTCCCTATGACAGGCATTAGGTTGCTGAAGACCAGATGAGACAATCCTGTAACTATACATGAGCATTGATCTACACAACTTGGATACAATCACATGCATCAGCCAAGTCAGTGAGCTGGACCTCCCTATGACAGGCATTAGGTTGCTGAAGACCAGATGAGACAATCCTGTAACTATACATGAGCATTGATCTACACAACTTGGATACAATCACATGCATCAGCCAAGTCAGTGAGCTGGACCTCCCTATGACAGGCATTAGGTTGCTGAAGACCAGATGAGACAATCCTGTAACTATCATCATGTACTGATACATCTCTTTAAGAAATAATGTTTGGTCTACCCTATGTGTAGTGTAATATAGTATAGCTTTGAAGACACTTACATTCAAATGTTTGTGTTATAACAGTCCAGAGCCAGCCTGTACTTTGTTACTTTTCACGTGGGGGGAGAGCAAACTTTATTTCAATGATGTCAAATCTAAAACTAACTTTCTTCTTTACTAAATTAGAAATCATGTGACAACAATTGTTCTGCCAGTGTGTTGTTAGTGGACAGCACCAACCCATGTTCAGCCGACGCTCGGTGTTGCTGAGTCTGTGTTTTCTAATGAGAAAGTTGCAACTTTGCACCACTTATGTTCGTCTACTAAACTAGATGCAATCCATGACGTACAGAGATCTGTTGTGTGTACTGAGTTGATTGCACTACAATGTCTACCACGATACACTATCCGATGTAAACCAACAGGACCTGGAGTGTGATACGATGTCCCCATGGGATGAAGATGTTCCAGGAAGGGCAACAACGTTTGTTTTGTTTGACTGCAGTATGTTGCTATATGCTCTAGTCTGGGCATCAGGTGTACATATGGTGATGAAACTCCCCAGGCTGCTCATACCAATGTCCAGTAGCAACCTTTATTCCAAGAGAACCAGCGCCCACCATGTACGAATTTGTGACAGCTGTGGTACGAACACAGTGCAAGGAATGTGTTTGGGGAACCATTACTGCATGAGAGATGCATCATGTTGCAATATTTCTTTCCAAGGTTATAACATTCAATTATTTAATAAACCTTGCTTTACAGTTGTGAAAGAATGATGTTGCCAAGGATATATTATATCACAGTATTAAAGGCAACTGGAACAGCAGTGTGACGTCAGGCAATCACAGGATACAATACAGTTAGCACTCCCAATCTCTTGGTGAAGCTTCGTCACAATATGGCTGAAATATTGTTGATGTGACATTAAATATTAACTCACTCACTCATTTGGTGACCCTTCTCAGAATATATGATACAACTGCATGAAACAATACCACTTAAGTAGCACAGAAAGATGACCCAGAATGGGGTGGTCAGAGTATGGGATCTGGTTACACAAATACCTTGTGAGTCACACATGAGGAATTGGTTGGAATGGGTCACAGACAGTCGTTACTTGTGTAAGAGATGACTAAGCTGGGACAGGTTGTGTGTTTTGTAAACATTTAAGTATTTGGGCTTTCCATGACATAACTGAACCACTGTTCAAAGCAAAATTGTAACAAACTCCTTTAGTCACTGAGAGATTCAAGGATTTAAAGTGATTCAATGTTGTAGTTAGAAATGTAAGATCCCAAGAACCAACCATAATTAGGATTTTGTTTCTCTTTCTCAACAGCCCTTGTTCGTCAGATTATCCGGAGCATAAAGATTGCTCTACCCTACACAGTGGTGCTGTTGCTGCTGGGCATGTTATTTGGCCTTGTGTCCAATAAGGTTCCAGATATGCAGCGCTTTGTGTCCATCGTGGATACAAACCCACATGTCATTCTCTTCGTCTTCCTGCCAGTGCTCATATTTGAGTCAGCCTTTGCCATGGAGGTGCACACATTCAAGAAATGTTTCTTCCAAGTTCTGCTGCTGGCAGTACCAGGGCTTGGTGAGTAGACGGCAACTCAGTTCAGATACCTTACATACAGATTGTCAGGCATGAATATGTATTCATTCTTTTTTGTGATTTGTGTCACATGGCATTTGCAGTTCATGTTCCAGAGTATAAACAAAGTCAATGAGACAATGTATTAAATTGATTATATAACATTAAGTGTACAAGATTCATTAATATTGTAAACTATGAATCAAGTTGTCACCTGTGTGTTACAAGGAACAGTGTTGACCTTTGCTAAAATATCATTATTGTGGCTTCCCATTGTAGGCACAGTGTACAGTCTGAAAAGTTAAAGGGCGTCTTTGAGTCCTGTAAGTTTGTTGCTATGACATTTGGATCTAGGAAACACTCTAACCATTGAAGCTTTTTAGGATAATGCCAACATTCTTAAATATTCATGCATTCATTAGGCTTATACACAATTTCAAATACTGGTACACACACTCATAATGAATTCGAAAAATATCAGGTAATTTCCATGAGTAGTAAGATTTCTATAAAATTTCTTAAAAATAGAGAACGTATAGTCCTAATACTAGCTATAAAAATATCTAGTCTCCCTACCAAATCCCAAATTGTGTATACAATGTAATCTTCTTCAGTGTATACTCTCTAGCAAACATTTACATGTACGATGTAATCTGCATCCAAATATGGTGGTGCAGTTGCTTGTGCCACTGTCATTGGATCCTGAACAATATTATCTCGATTACCAGATAACAGCTCTATGTTCAAAGTAGAAGCAAACGCCATATTAACAGGTTTTTAATGTATCAGTAAACACCCCAGTTACATAAGCAACATATTATATTTTCAGACTCACTTTCGTGCCTTCAGGCTATAACAGATTTGTTTTGTAAGCATCCACTTTGAATCAAGATAAGTGAATTATATAATGATCATGCTACTGGCCAATACAACATGATCTTCTCAGTCCTCTGTTAGTTACCCAGCCATGTTTGAATTTCTGGTAACACAATGGCCGATTCTGCTGCTAAGTCAGTACTCAACAAATCTGTGACACCACTTCTCATCCCATACTCTGATTACAAAAACATAATTCAATCTTATATTTGTTATCATGTGCAAAGGAAATGGAACACCCGAGTAGGTATAAATAAATTACATCAAATACATTCAAGTATCGGTTACACCTACTCTTACTTGTGTTATCAGGCGAGATTTTATGACGTACAAGATATACTCATAAGTATTTGATAAAAGGAGAGGATGCTCCATTTTGTATCCCTTGTGATGACTGTATTGATTTTTCCATCACAAGGGATAACTATTTCAAAGCTTTATCCTTGAAAGACCTTTTCAATAATGTCAGTTTTCATTTAATTATTGGGTTTTTTAAAAAAAGAAATAGAATTGATGGTCAAATTTTGATTGATGTTTTAAAGATAAATGTTATTCTATGACTGGTAGTTCAAAATTAGCAACCAAGATTGTTAGTGGCTATATCCTCAAAGGGGGTTAAAGTATTGTAAAATTATTGTCCTCCCGAGAGGGTTCAAAAATCCCCATACATTCAAGGTAAAGTTAGATCTACCACTTTATTTAATTGTAGAGTATATGTTTATTTAATATATGGCTAGATTTGTCTACAATTGCTAGCATCTGAAGGGATGGTGTAAATCCAGCTAAGTCCATGCAGGTAGCAAAACGTACTATAAGTCCCCATGGTTCTAGCAATGTGATCTACCTTCAGTTGCTGGCGATCTATAGCCCGTTTATATATTGTATTGTCCTAAATAGTGATATAATATTTAAGTTATGTGCTGGTTTTAAATCTGTGATAATCTACTTGTTATATCGTCCTTTGGCGACAGATTTTACAATATAACAATATCTATTATTCGCGTAAGACTGTGGCTGAAATACTGTCGATGAACTGTGTGCCTTGTCTTCCAATCAGCACACATTCACTTATGTTTTACAATGTAATCATCTACCTTGTTTACCCCCCAGCACACATTCACCTGTGTTTTACAATGTAATCATCTACCTTGTTTACCCCCCAGCACACATTCACTTATGTTTTACAATGTAATCATCTACCTTATTTACCCCCCAGCACACATTCACTTATGTTTTACAATGTAACCATCTACCTTGTTTACTCCCCAGCAGACACTCACCTGTATTTTACAATGTAATCATCTACCTTGTTTACCCCCCAGCACACATTCACCTATGTTTTACAATGTAATCATCTACCTTGTTTACCCCCCAGCACACATTCACCTGTGTTTTACAATGTAATCATCTACTTTGTTTACCCCCCAGCACACATTCACTTATGTTTTACAATGTAATCATCTACCTTGTTTACCCCCCAGCACACATTCACTTATGTTTTACAATGTAATCATCTACCTTGTTTACCCCCAGCACACATTCACCTGTGTTTTACAATGTAATCATCTACCTTGTTTACCCCCAGCACACATTCACTTATGTTTTACAATGTAATCATCTACCTTGTTTACTCCCCAGCAGACACTCACCTGTGTTTTACAATGTAATCATCTACCTTGTTTACTCCCCAGCACACATTCACCTGTGTTTTACAATGTAATCATCTACCTTGTTTACCCCCCAGCACACATTCACCAATGTAATCATGTGTTTTTTACAATCTAATCATCTACCTTGTTTACCCACATTCACTTGTGTTTTACACATTCACTTATGTTTTACAATGTAATCATCTACCTTGTTTACCCCCAGCACACATTCACCTGTGTTTTACAATGTAATCATCTACCTTGTTTACCCCCAGCAGACATTCACCTATGTTTTACAATGTAATCATCTACCTTGTTTACTCCCCAGCAGACACTCACCACTTGTGTTTTACAATGTAATCATCTACCTTGTTTACTCCCAGCAGACATTCACTTGTGTTTTACAATCTAATCATCTACCTTGTTTACTCCCCAGCACCTGTGTTTTACAATGTAATCATCTACCTTGTCTACTCCCCAGCACACATTCACTTGTGTTTACAATGTCTACCTTGTCTAATTGTAATAATGTATCTTTCTTTTCCCTGCACACATTAATGCATGTTTTACAATGTAATCATGTACCTTGTTTACCCCCAGCACACATTTACAAATGTAATCATCTACCTTGTTTACCCCCACTCAGTTTACATCTACCTCAGCATTCACTTGTGTTTTACACTGTAATCATGTCCCTTGTTAACAAACACAAACACACACACACACACAGACACACACAGACACACACACACAGACACACACAGACACACAGACAACCTCAACACACTACCACATTCCTGTATGTTTTACCCTGTACTCATCTTCCTTGTTTACCCTCCCAGCACACTTTTACCTCTGTTTTACAATGTAATCATGTGACCCCCATTCATTTACCCTCAGCACACATTTACCAGTGTTTACCCTCCCAGCGCACTTTCACCTGCGTTTTACAATGAAATCATGTGACCTGTTTACCCCCCAGCACACATTTACCAGTGTTTTACAATGAAATCATGTTACCTGTATACCCCCCAGCAAACTTTCACCTGTGTTTTACCATGTAATCATGTTACCTGTATACCCCCCAGCACACTTTCACCTGTGTTTTACCATGTAATCATGTGCCCCGGTTGCCCTGCAGCCCTGATGGCCCTGCTGACCTGCATCCTGGCACTGTACCTGTTTACCTACGACTGGGACTGGTACATCTGCATGATGTTTGGCTCCATCCTCAGTGCAACAGACCCCATCGCAGTTGTAGCCATTCTCCGAGACATTGGTTTGTAGGCTTCTTGAAGAATGTAGGAGTTGACAAAGACCATGCTGTTTAATGCTGTTCCCAACACAGTTGCTTCTGTCTAAAGTTAATTTAGTCATTATATTCATTTCTTTGAAACAAATAATACAGATAAGCTCTCCTTATTTATTTTAAAAGATGAAAAGGAGGATAATGTAATGATTAGACATATTCTGGCCCAATTCTGACACATTTGAGTGTTAAAAATGATATGACAAGCTTGCTTTTCATACTGTTAGTACAATGTTATATAACACAATCAGTACTATATCCATGTCCATTGGCCTTTCAACTCTCTCTTACTATCCAAAGCACTTACTCTCTCTGAGTAAAACACCCAGCCACCCACTAACTCACTCACTCACTGACTGCAGGTGCCTCCAAGAAACTGGCCATGGTTACTGAGGGGGAGTCTCTATTGAATGATGGCGCTGCCATCGTCCTGTTCAAAGTATTTCTGAACCTTGCCACATCCACCACACCAAGTAACGGTAAGAGTTTAACTGTTCACATCTTCTGAGATGCAGAAAGAAAAAGCCATGTGACAGAGTGACAATTTTACCTGCATTTTATTCCTCACAAATATTCTCATTTGCTTTTTTGTCAATAATACCAGGAGAAATTTAGTTCATATTGTCCCACCTAAGAAGAGCACAATGCGAAATGCCGGGTTAGCAATTTTACCTGTCTCTATGCCAACATCAATGAGATTGTTAATATTGGATGAAGATTAAAAGGTTACTGTAGCATTATTCACTTCAAGTGTACTAAAGTTTCCATATGGTTTGAGAATGATTTAACCATATTTTTTAGATATTCTATTATATGGTATTGGCTAACCTGAGAAATGATGGGGAAATGATGTTTTGAGCTTGAGTAGGATGACCGATTAACCTTTAAGATGTATTCCGTGCTATTCTATCCATTAATACAGACGGCATTTGAGAAAAACTCAAAAGGGTATGCATATTTGTGCAGGCATGAGGCTCTAGGTAATGTCTATTGAGATACAGGGTCATACCTGGCTACAGCATATGTCCAACTGAAAGGCCAAACTCCTAATGCCATCGTTGGAAACGTAGTGTCTGTATATTTTGTCTATTTCAATATTTCTGCACGTCCCTCTTGACTCAATATTTTCCCCTGTATTTCCCTATATTTATGATATTTACCCTTTTTGTCTTGAGTTTTGGCCAAATATATCGCTATACTGCCTGTTTTCCCAGTATTCATGGTATTTCTCCCAGGTGACTGGTCCCTCCGCCTGTAAGTCTTGTCATCAGTCTCCCAGGTAATTGATCCCTTCACCTGTAAGTCTTGTCATCAGTCTCCCAGGTGACTGGTCCCTCCACCTGTAAGTCTTGTCATCAGTTTCCCAGGTGACTGGTCCCTCCACCTGTATGTCTTGTCATCAGTCTCCCAGGTGACTGGTCCCTCCACCTGTAAGTCTTGTCATCAGTCTTCCAGGTGACTGGTCCCTCCACCTGTAAGTCTTGTCATCAGTCTTCCAGGTGACTGGTCCCTCCACCTGTAAGTCTTGTCATCAGTCTCCAGCGTGTGTTGTTTTTGTCCGAAGGAGGGCAGATTATCCTTTCCTTCCTGCAAGTGTCACTAGGAGGTCCGGCGTTTGGGTTGCTCATGGCCAAGCTCACCCTGTTTTGGCTGTCTCGGATCTTCAATGATGCTCTGGCCGAGATAACCATTACACTGGCCTCAACCTATATCACATTCTATGTTGGTGAGTCTTCTAGTTTAATTCCTGGATCAACCCAATTATATTTCTAATTTTGTCAGCACCATAAATATGCTTGTGGGTCATCCCCTTGAGCTTTTCTCCCACATTAAACTGACAAGCTGTGATGTACCTGGTAACTGGATTAATGTGGCAAAGTGGCATTAAGCCCAACTCACTCATTATAACATATTTTCTCACTCTGTAATTCTCAAAGTGTAACCTGGGCCTATGGCCTATATTACTTTTCTGAAAGGGGCGGTGGGGTAGCCTAGTGGTTAAAGCGTTGGCTCGTCACGCCGAAGACCCGGGTTCGAATCCCCACATGGGCACAATGTGTGAAGCCCATTTCTGGTGTCCCCCGCCGTGATGTTGCTGGAATATTGCTAAAAGCGGCGTAAAACCAAACTCAGTCAGTCAGTCAGTCAGTTCTTTTCTGAAATAAACCACCACTCTTGTAGTTTAAAAAATGTCATTTGTGGATGAGCATACAGTATCTACTCTTTCAAATCTATGAAAACATGATCAAGTTTAGAAGTGTGTCAGTTAGAGTTAAAGAACAAATGCCAATACTTACATGAACTTGAGTTATGTGGTGTTGATGTGATCTTGTAACAAATGTTATATTTGGGATTACACTTCTCAGCCAGCTGACTTTGTGTGCTGGCAATTATGTACATGACTCTGAAGGTCCCCAGATGGGACTCAACCCAACAAAGGTACTAGAATCTGTACTTTACTGAGAAAGTGTAATCCCAAATATAACATATGTTACATTTGACCACTTTCTAAATGGCATTGTGTGTTTGATGTGATGTTGGACTGAATTTAGGTGAGGAGTTCCTGGGTGTGTCAGGAGTTCTGGCTGTGGTGGTGTTGGGAGTTGTGATGAGCAGTAAGAGAACCAGTATCAGCCCTGAGGTGGAGACTTTCTTACACAGGTGAGTATATTTGTCAGTGCCCTGTGGGAACCTGGTCAGAAGAGGTCCCATCACCTTCATCTTCAGAGGCAGCTACATTGGCTCAGGGTGCCAGGCCATGTGACTTTATACATTTCAGTTGATACAGTGATAGTGTTGTAAATTCGTATGTTAGATCAAACAATGATGTGAATAAATACTTTACAAGTGATTTCATGGATTGAGAAACCAAGCAGATTTTGCTGTTTGCTTCCATGAACCAGAAAGAAACCCTAGAGTCATGTACTGTTTTCTGATTGGGCTGGTAGGCTGAGCATGGGTTGTGTTATTGCACGGATCCTGATTACCTGTATGGCTCCATAATGGTTTACATTTGTCCCTCCACTGACATGAGTGTTTCTTCAGTGAGTAACTTCTGAACAGTGGAAATGATACCATTAACGAGGGTGAAGACAGGTGAATCCTATTATATTCTTAACATGAAGATGCCTGTTTCTGTTATTGATATAATGAAATACATTATGTAGGACAGTGTTCATAATGTCAGCCTCTGGTTGTCTGGTCCAGACTCTATTATTTACTTGATGCCTTGATATAATAGCAATATTTCTGATTGGGGAGTAAAACAACAAAATATATTAAAATTATTCAGGGGTACAAACAGAAATGCACGCAGCTCACTCATGCTTTCAACCACTGGTTTGCTTGGTCCAGGCTTAATTATCTAGAGGCTGCCTCATGGAATATTGCTGATTAATGGGTAAGATTAACTTCTAACTCCATAATTCACTCACATACTGTATTGATGTCAGGTTTTGGGAGACTCTGGCCTATTTGGCCAACACCCTTATCTTCATCCTGGTGGGCGTGATCATCTCGGAGAAGGTCATCTACAAGATACATGGCACCGACTGGTTCTTCATGTTCGCTCTCTACTTTGGCCTCAACGTCATCAGGTACTCCACACAACATGCTGCAGACACTCACCTGAGATGCTGGGACCTCTGTCCTAATATCACCTTATGCTGGAGACACATAGCAATAAGACTTTTTCAGGATTTGGTTTCTTGGTCACAATAGGTCACCTTGATAATTGTGTACTATCTTTTTCACCTTATTGTTTATGCTCCATACCACAGATAATATTATTTACAGGTTGACTTATTATAACACGACTATATCCCTCCCTCACACCCCACAACTGTCATCCCCCACCCCTCCACCCACCACACCCTGGATAATGCCATTTCACTCACTCACTCACTCCACTGGATAATGCCATTTCACTCTCACTCACACACACACACACATTCATAATGCCATCACTCTCACTCACTCACACACACACACACACACTGGACAATGCCATTTCCTTTACACACACAGACACACATACACCCTGGATACCGGTAATGTCATTTCCTTCACACAACCTCCCCTACCCTGAACATTCCACACCCTGGATAATGCCATTTCCATCACACAACCTCCCCCACCCTGAACATTCCATCACACACCTTCCCCACCCTATAATGTCATTTCCATCACACAACCTCCCCCACCCTGAACAATCCACACCCTATATAATGTCATTTCCATCACACAGCCTCCCCACCCTGAACATTCCACACCCTATATAATGTCATTTCCATCACACAGCCTCCCCCACCCTGAACATTCCACACCCTATATAATGTCATTTCCTTCACACAACCTCCCCCACCCTGAACAATCCACACCCTGGATAATGCCATTTCCATCACACAACCTCCCCCACCCTGAACATTCCACACCCTATATAATGTCATTTCCATCACACAGCCTCCCCACTCCTGAACATTCCACACCCTGGATAATGTCATTTCCGTCACACAACCTCCCCCACCCTGAACATTCCAAACCCTGGATAATGCCATTTCCATCACACAACCTCCCCCCACCGTGAACATTACACACCCTGGATAATGCCATTTCCATCACACAACCTCCCCTACCCTGAACTTTCCACCCACCATACCCTGGATAATGCCATTTGCCTCACACAACCAATAAAATTCCCACAGCTTTATCCTTCATCCTACCACTCACTTATTAGCATTTCCTGCTATTTTCTGTGGTCACATTTCTTGTCCAATCTTGAGGTCAGAAGTTATTTGGACATTATGTTACTACCATTTTGACTGCCTTTAGACGTCACTTTTCAATCCTGGCCTTTAAATAAAATGACAAAGGGTTTATCCTGCAACGATCACTGAAATACAATACAGATAATCTTATCTGTAATCTGTTTCATATTCAACACACTGTCTGACATGATCCTTTGACATTTGAAGTGCATTAAAGAAAGTTTCCATGAGAGTTCTATATTGATTATTCCTTCAGGACCTTTAAGGCAACAGGAAAGAAATGTCCTGAAGTGTTTAATACATTCCATTATCACCAAAGAGGCATATGGTTCTTTTGTCACCATCTTTAGATGTCTGCTCATACAGTCTCCTTGTTCTGGGGAACCTATGTGTATATATACACACCATGCTCTATATCAGACTGCAGTAAATAAACTGTCAAGTGATATTAGGCATTAAGCGTGTTATAGCTGCAATATTTTTATTGGACAATTTCTTGTTTCGAAGTTTTATTTGATACCTGGAAGTGGCACTTACCAGGCACTGACCAGTGTCCAGTCGTAACTATGCACCTGTGTCTTATGTAGGAGTGAGCCTTTGCCATGATTCAAACATCATTATAACTGCATAGTCGTGATACAGTATCCAAAACCATGACCGATTAATTTCAAGCAATCATACACTTTGACGTCATTTGAATTCATTTGTCTCGTGATCATGATACTTGTTATTTTGATGTTGTCTAAGTTTCATTTTAAACTTATTGGAATCTCATTTCTTTAACATAACATTTATTGTCAAAAATTCAACACCTAAGATAGAATGTTTCACCTGTGGTTATATCCCCATGGGAATGCAGTGTTAAAAAACATTCCCAGTAACTCCAATTGAACTCAAATACTTTTATCACAGATTCTGTACCCAGACTGTTAAAGTATTGCCAATGATATTTACTGGTATTCACAGGACTTTCATACCCATGAAGGTCTGTGTTAGAATATTGATCTTCAGTAACCCATGCTTTTCATAAGAGGCGACTAACAGGATCGGGTGCTGTTGATCACTGGATTGTCTGGTCCAGACTCGACTATTTACAGACCGCCGCCATATATCTGGAATATTGCTGAGTGCGGCATAAAACTAAACTCACTCACTCACTCACAGGACTTTCTGGTCAAGACATGATATGTTCGCTGCATTAAACAACACACAGTGTGGACAGGACTTGATGTGTATGTGTATGTTACAGAGGGCTGGTAATAGGTCTGATGTGCCCTATACTGCAACGCATTGGTTATGGGATGACGTGGCAGGACGGGTTGGTGTTGACATGGAGCGGCCTGCGAGGGCCGTAGGGCTCACCTTAGCACTGCTGGTGTGGGAGGACCCCCACTTGGATCAGGACACTGTCAGACACAAGGTGGGTGATGCAGATACCAGTAACACACCAGACTGGTCGGGCAGATATAGCCGGACACCAGGTGGGTGGGGCAAATATAAAACACCAGGTGGGTGGGGCAAATATAAAACACCAGGTGGGTGGGGCAAATATAAAACTACAGGTGGGTGGGGCAGATATCAGCAAACACACCAGGTGGGTGGGGCAAATATAAAACACCAGGTAGGTGGGGCATATATAAAACACCAGGTGGGTGGGGCAGATATTGTCAAACACCAGGTGTTTATGGCAAATATAAAACACCAGGTTGGTGGGGAAAATATAAAACACCAGGTGGGTGGGGCAGATATTGTCAACACTGGGTGGGGCAGGTGGGTGGGGCAGGTTAAAACACCAGGTGGGTGGGGCAAATATAAAACACCAGGTGGGTGGGGCAGATATAAGTATAAACACGAAACAGGTGGGTGGGGCAGATATATATATAAAATAATACGGTGCCTGGTCTCATATGTTTGATAGGTACATGTATATAAATTATTGTCTTTGATAATATTCACAAGTAAATGTGAAAATATATGTTGATGTACATATATATGTTGATGCAATATATCTTAATTTAAAAATCATAATTCATTACATGAATTAATAAAACTATAGTTAATACCTAATGTTGCCTTTTACCTGGGCACATACCATTATTATACCCCGCCACTGGTAACGGGGTATATAGCGTATCATTCTGTCCGGTCCGTCCGAAACTTTGTCCAGAGCATATCTCTTAAAGTTTACATGCTAGGTTCACTAAACTTCACACGCATGTTAATCATTACCCATTGATGTGCCTTTTGCTATTTTAATTTTTTTCAGAATTTTGTTTTATTGCTGTTTCCATGGAAACACGACTTAGTGCCAAATGTGTTTGATGGTTTTGTCCGGAGCATATCTCTTAAAGTTTACATGCTAGGTTCACCAAACTTCACACACATGTTAATCATTACCCATTGATGTGCCTTTGCTATTTTAAAGTTTTTTTTGTTGCAGAATTTGGTTTTTGATGCTGTTATCTCATGGAAACACACACATGGTGCAAAATGTGTTTGATGGTTTAGTTTTTTGTTGTTTCCTGGTTTGATGGTTACCTGGCCACAGCATATCATCGAAACTATACATGCTAGGTTCACCAAACTTAATACACAAGTTAATCATGACCCACAGATATGCCATGTGCTAAAAAATAAATAATCTTCATCTACGTCCACTTCATTGTGTGCAACAAGTTCAATTGTATGTCAGGTTTCCACGGAAAACACAAAAAGTAATGTTTCCATAAATTATTACTGTAATCAGTACATGGCAAAACAATTATCTAACATGTATATAAAGTATAGTAGAGTCAAGGAGAAAGTCTTGTGAGCTGCTGATCCTTGTCACATTATATATATCAATATCAGTCATTTCCATGTCCCAAAGTGGGGCGGGGGTATGTGGAGCTGTGCTCACTTCTACACTTGTTATCAAGGGTACAGCTTAATTAAGCCTTATGCAACCAACCATAAAATGTGTTGTTTTGAGTGGTCTGTCTTTTGGGAGGTCTGTCTTATGGGAAGATACCAATCAGACACCATATATCAGTCAAACACCAGGTGCATGTAGGAAGCAACATTTTATGTTTTCATTAGTGCTTCTATAGAGAAAATAGAGATTTTTATTTTATTCTGATTTTAGATGGTTTCCCTGTAATTGCTCTCCAGCTAACCAGATTTGTAAGTTTCTTTCTAAATGAAGTTTTAGACACATGTTCTGTTGATGGTGCATACTGTTTTCTGTTACTGTTTCACTGAGAGATACAGACATATATCTGATAAGGGGATGCAGTATAATATTTGATATTCCATGCAGTGAGTATTGTGTGTGATTCAGGTGCTGATTCATGTGGCCGGGGTCGTGTTTCTGACGCTGCTCATCAACGCAACCACCATCCACCCTCTCCTCAGGCTCCTTGGTAAGCAACATCTCTGACGCAGCTAAGCTCAAAGGGTAATGTCTGGCATCACTATCAAGACATTTGAGTGTATTGCCTACACTTGCCTCTGCCATGTTCTGTACACATACACCTTTTTCTGTACATCTGCACCAAGATCTTTCATCAAACTCTTTCATCAGGAACACCATGTGTTCTCTTATCAGGAACACCTTGCACTCTTTCATCAGGAACACCATGCACTCTTTCATCAGGAACACCTTGCACTCTTTCATCAGGAACACCCTGCACTCTTTCATCAGGAACACCATGCACTCTTTCATCAGGAACACCTTGCACTCTTTCATCAGGAACACCTTGCACTCTTTCATCAGGAACACCTTGCACTCTTTCATCAGGAACACCTTGCACTCTTTCATCAGGAACACCTTGCACTCTTTCATCAGGAACACCATGCACTCTTTCATCAGGATCACCTTGCACTCTTTCATCAGGAACACCATGCACTCTTTCATCAGGAACACCTTGCACTCTTTTTATCAGGAACACCTTGCACTCTTTCATCAGGATCACCTTGCACTCTTTCATCAGGAACACCTTTGCTTTCATCAGCACTTGCACTCTTTCATCAGGAACACCTTGCACTCTTTCATCAGGAACACCTTGCACTCTTTTCATCAGGAACACCTTGCACTCTTTTCATCAGGAACACCATGCACTCTTTCATCAGGAACACCTTGCACTCTTTCATCAGGAACACCATGCACTCTTTCATCAGGAACACCTTGCACTCTTTCATCAGGAACACCTTGCACTCTTTCATCAGGAACACCATGCACTCTTTCATCAGGAACACCTTGCACTCTTTCATCAGGAACACCTTGCACTCTTTCATCAGGAACACCATGCACTCTTTCATCAGGAACACCTTGCACTCTTTCATCAGGAACACCTTGCACTCTTTCATCAGGAACACCTTGCACTCTTTCATCAGGAACACCATGCACTCTTTCATCAGGAACACCATGCACTCTTTCATCAGGAACACCATGCACTCTTTCATCAGGAACACCTTGCACTCTTTCATCAGGAACACTATGCACTCTTTCATCAGGAACACCTTGCACTCTTTCATCAGGAACACCATGCACTCTTTCATCAGGAACACCTTGCACTCTTTCATCAGATTATGGTTTTAGAAAAATAACCATGTAAACTGTTGCAGGCATGAGTGACGTATCTTCAGCCAAGAGAATGGCCATGGCAAGTGCTCTGCGCTTTATTCAGGACCTCCGACAGAAAACACTGAACATGCTGAAAACTGACAGGTGTGTATGCAGAGAAAGTCCAATACTCGAATGTAGTGTTACCTTGTAGTAGTGAGTGAGTATGGTTTTACGCTGCTTTTAGCAATATTCCAGCAATATCACAGCGGGGACACCAGAAATGGGCTTCACACATTGTACCCATGTGGGAAATTAAACCAGGTCTTCGGTGTGATGAGCAAACGCATTAACCACTAGGCTACCCCACCACCCCAGTCTGGACTTGTACAAGCAGCAACACACATGCATGCATTTACCTGCAGCCTAAATTTACACCATATACACAAGAGGAAAGACTGTCAGTGAGGTTTTAGAGTAATGGTAAATGTATCAAAACAAGCAGAAGGTCTTTAGTGTTGTTATTTGAAACAATGTACTGGCAAGTGTAGCCTGCTGTGACTCCTGTGTAACTGTGTGTGTAGGTTTCTGGCGGACGCCGACTGGGAGATGGTTGAGAAGGCGTGTGAGATCGAGGACCCTTACAAGACAACAAGGGAGGAGGTGGGTACATACACATTTCACTCTCCACATGCTGCCAGGCTAGAATCTATCATATTTAAACATTCAGTAGTTTCAAATTTGGTGTCAAGGATTTCTTTGAAAAATGTTTTTCTCTGGTGTCATGGTGTGCAATTTGTGATTGATACAAGTAAGTGTCAAGAGATTGTTATAGATAAGAAGACAGAGGTTCATGTTAAATTCATGGACATATTGTTTTTCCTTAGCACATCAATTTCGGATTCAAAACTGGTGATGTAGCTTTCAGTATTAATAACTTGCTCATTGATATTTAGCTGTGATTGCATAAAACATGTTATTTTTCATGATATTCAGTTTTTCCCTGTGCAGTTTTCATGCCTAGAGAAGCAGGTATGTTTGTCATGAAGACGCACAGAGGTGTCGGCATTGAGCACTGAGCACTGGATCTACAGTCATGGGGCAGAAGCTGTCGTTAGAGTATCTTGTAGTGCATTAAGACATGAATGATGCTGTTGTTCCCCATGGACAAGCAAATATCAGATGTACAAGTGATGGTCCCTGATGCTCAAATGTTTTGTTTACCTTTGGGGGGCTTTTGAAATGATGGGTCGGAAAAGTGACAAGTTTTGTGTGGATGTCAAAGAAATGATTGAAGAAACTTTCCGAGAGATAAAAAATAAGTTAGAATTGACTGGCTCTTCCACCGATTGACAGTATGCTGAACGTTGTTTTGGCAGAGAGACTATTAACAGCTTTGTGAGAGAGCATACTACAGATGATTTCAGTCGGGATGGAGATTTATGGTTTCTCAACAAAATCAATGGATGAAAATCAAATGAACTAAATGAGACCCAACAAATAAGTGTAGTAAGAAATTGGTGGTTTGGGAAGTGCACAAGAAAAAGCAAGTTGAGAGATGTAAAGGCAGGGGATCATGAACTGAGGGTAATCTGGGAAGGTGTCTCATCGTATTTAATCCAAGTCAAATTATAGTTGATATTGATGTCTGGCTGTAGGTTGAGAGGTCTACTCAGTCTTCACATATAAATATAGAAAATTAGATACAAGAATTGTACTCAAACAAAGTCAAGCCATGACAGAGATTAACATTGCATGAAGGAATATCATGTTCTTTAACATACGAGTAGTACATATAGTTGCATAACAAGCTAGAGTTTCAACCACTAACCATGTTTGGTTAATATCCTTCTAAATCATATCAGTGGATTCCTGGAAATCTAACCAAGTAGTCGGGAATGTACTAATGTATTCACAATATCTAGAATTAGACATTTTGTGAAAGATAATCTGATGTATGCTTATGTCCCATGACTGTATGTCCATCACTGTATACATGACACACAGGCACACCACACTGCTGTAGGCCAGATATATCACCACAGATATGTCTATCACTGTATAGATGATACACAGGCACACCACACTGCTGTATGCCAGATATATCACCACAGATATGTCCATCACTGTATACATGATACACGGGTACACCACACTGCTGTACAACTGTAGGCCAGATATATCACCACAGATATGTCCATCACTGTATACATGATACACAGGCACACCACACTGCTGTAGGCCAGATATATCACCACAGATATGTCCATCACTGTATACATGATACACAGGCACACCACACTGCTGTAGGCCAGATATATCACCACAAATATGTCCATCACTGTATACATGATACACAGGCTCACCACACTGCTGTAGGCCAGATATATCACCACAGATATGTCCATCACTGTATACATAATACACAGGCACACCACACTGCTGTAGGCCAGATATATCACCACAGATATGTCCATCACTGTATACATGATACCCAGGCAAACCACACTGCTGTAGGCCAGATATATCACCACAGATATGTCCATCACTGTATACATGATACACGGGTACATCACACTGCTGTACAACTGTAGGCCAGATATATCACCACAGATATGTCCATAACTGTATACATGATACACAGGCACACCACACTGCTGTAGGCCAGATATATCACCACAGATATGTCCATCACTGTACACATGATACACAGGTACACCACACTGCTGTACAACTGTAGGCCAGATATATCACCACAGATATGTCCATCACTGTACATGATACCCAGGCACACCAAACTGCTGTACAACTGTAGGCCAGATATATCACCACAGATATGTCCATCACTGTATACATGATACACGGGTACACCACACTGCTGTACAACTGTAGGCCAGATATATCACCACAGATATGTCCATCACTGTATACATGATACACAGGCACACCACACTGCTGTATGCCAGATATATCACCACAGATATGTCCATCACTGTATACATGATACACAGGCACACCACACTGCTGTAGGCCAGATATATCACCACAAATATGTCCATCACTGTATACATGATACACAGGCTCACCACACTGCTGTAGGCCAGATATATCACCACAGATATGTCCATCACTGTATACATGATACACAGGCACACCACACTGCTGTAGGCCAGATATATCACCACAGATATGTCCATCACTGTATACATGATACCCAGGCAAACCACTGCACTGCTGTAGGCCAGATATATCACCACAGATATGTCCATCACTGTATACATGATACACGGGTACATCACACTGCTGCTACAACTGTAGGCCAGATATATCACCACAGATATGTCCATCACTGTATACATGATACAGGGCAAACCACACTGCTGTAGGGCCAGATATATCACCACAGATATGTCCATCACTGTATACATGATACACAGGCACACCACACTGCTGTAGGCCAGATATATCACCACAGATATGTCCATCACTGTATACATGATACACAGGCACACCACACTGCTGTAGGCCAGATATATCACCACACACACCACACTGCTGTAGGCCAGATATATCACCACAGATATGTCCATCACTGTATACATGATACAAGGGTACATCACACTGCTGTACAACTGTAGGCCAGATATATCACCACAGATATGTCCATAACTGTATACATGATACCCAGGCACACCACACTGCTGTAGGCCAGATATATCACCACAGATATGTCCATCACTGTATACATGATACACAGGTACACCACACTGCTGTACAACTGTAGGCCAGATATATCACCACAGATATGTCCATAACTGTACACATGATACCCAGGCAAACCACACTGCTGTAGGCCAGATATATCACCACAGATATGTCCATCACTGTACATATGCTAACAGGTACACCACACTGCTGTACAACTGTAGGCCAGATATATCACCACAGATATGTCCATCACTGTACATGATACCCAGGCACACCAAACTGCTGTACAACTGTAGGCCAGATATATCATCACAAAGTAATTCAGATATGACAAGGGACATTCAACCAAAATCACACTCCTTTGAAGATTGAGAAACTTCTTCATAGTTATATGATGGTATTTGTCAATACCTATAAGGATGCTGGTGATATCTGGTAAATCAGTGGAAGGTGAGCCACAGAGCCTCACCTTTTCATTTCACATATATTATGCATCACAGATTATAATGGCTCATATTGTACTGATTCCTACACATTGTACTGATTTCTACACATTGTACATATTGCACTGATTCCTGCACATTGTACAATTTGTACTGATTGATACCCATTGTACATATTGTATTGATTTGTACACATTGTACTGATTCATACACATTGTGCTGATTCCTACATGTTGCAGACATTGTACATATTGTATTGATTCAAACACATTGTACATATTGTACTGATTCCTGCACATTGTACAATTTGTACTGATTGATACCCATTGTACATATTGTATTGATTTGTACACATTGTACTGATTCATACACATTGTGCTGATTCCTACATGTTGCAGACATTGTACATATTGTATTGATTCAAACACATTGTACATATTGTACTGATTCCTGCACATTGTACATATTGTACATATCTCTACACATTGTCAGAAACCAATACAGAATACACACCTAAACATCTAGTGTCAATATTTTGCTTACAATAAACATAGTAAATGCTTCCTCAAGTCTGGCTTGCTTGCAGACACTCATAATTAGGCTAGCACATATTGCATTTCATTTTTCTCTGCTTTGCACAAGAAAATCAACTATCTCATACACTTTAGTTCAGTTAGCTTCATTAATTTCACAATCACTCACTATATTGTGTGGTTCCAAATAACATCATGGCTTGTTTTGTTTCTTGTTTGTGCTTTGTTTGGACTTGATGGTGCATCCTCTCATATTCTTCACTTCCTGCATCCTGCCTCACAGAGAGACCCTGGAACCAACAATGGCTAAACACCACACTTGTATGGACCAGACAGTACATGCAATTATTCAGAAATCAGGGCCCCTATTCTCGTAAAACTGGATCCTAGCCCTAGGATATCCTAAGTTTGATCCTAGGGTCTAGGATAGGTGTATCCTACCTTATTCTCAAAAGTATCCTAGCGCTAGGATATCCTAACTTAGGACAAATACTAGGATAGGTTCTGACTTGTCCTAAGTCTATCTTAGTGGAAGTCAACATGGTGTGGTTCTTGTTTGTTCACCAATTTTGACGTTGTCAAACAAAATAACTCGCCTAAATTAAATTTGAATTTACAACAGCACACAGTTTTGATGAGTTAAAGAGTTTTTGTGTTTATATTATCAATTTATCGGTAATGAATAGACACACTTGTTGCAATGCACATATTCTTTAGATCTACAAAAGAGATTCAATTCTTACCTATTCTCGGCCTTTTAATCACAACATTGCTCTTTTCTGTCACATTGCCATGAAATGTCAATGTCAAGGCCAACTTGATAGGGGAGTAACTCCTGTTTATTTCCTAGGTGAATTTTCAGTTTGTGAGATGACATATAATGAGAGTTCAAGTCATGATTTTCAAAAAACCCAAGCAAATAAAATGAAAATATTTTTGCACATATCTTATTGCTTTTTTTGCAGACTTTCAAACTCTGAAGTAAAAATGTTATCTCCTTGTCAAATAAATGAATTTTCAAAAACTTCAAAACTACTATATAATGTGATGAAAATATCGAATATATTAACATATAACAATACTTTTTTCTGGAAGTATGGTAATTCGAACAAATAGATATTAAAAAATCTCATTAAATATTTTAAATTTATTCAAGTACTAATTCACTCTATTTTTCTGGATACAAGATGTGTATTTTAATTATAACTATAATTAATTATAATTTCTTCTAGATCTACTAAGTCCACCAAAAGCTGAATTTCACCGCTTTCAAGCTTTTTACTTCGATTTCTAGTCTTACCATTTATTTTGTAAACAAGATTGTAGTTGCCCTTTATATATGTGTGTTTTTTATGGAATGAATCATGGGTAATATTTAGGGGAATCCCCAACTTAATGAATGTTTTTCTATCTCACCTACTGAAGAGCTCGCTATCCTAGCTAGGATCGTAGCTCAAGTTAGGACAGGGATAGGATCATTTCGAGAATGGTCTTATCCTAATGGTAGGATGTCCTAACTCCTGTCTTAACTAGTTAGGATCTGTCTTAGCTGGGACACTTTCGAGGAATAGGCACCCTGGTCAACTAATGCCAAGGCCAGTGTGTTAACTGAGAAGAAATCTCCCTAAACAATTCAACGGTGCTATCAATGTTTGGCTTGACTCTACAACCTGACGTATATTCCTTTGTTGCACTGGATTCCGAAACTACATAAAAATCTGTACAAGGAGAGATATATTGCTGGTTCCAGCAAATGTGCCACCAAATCCCTGTTTCAGAGATTAACCATAATCCTTAATGCTATCAAGAAAGGGCTTTCATGATATTCAAAGAAAGTTTTTGAGACAAGCAGAATTATTACTATGTGGATTCTCATAAACTCAAAGGATTTGCATATATTTTAAACATCTCAGAAACGGACCGAGTTCCGTTCTGTGGCTTTTGTAAACAAAGGTGGTGAACAAAGATATACCTACATATCTATCTTCAGAGGCTCAGGACAATTTGTAAAAATGAAAGCAAATTTTATTTAAGTTTACCAAGAAAACAATATGTGAAATGCTGGACTTTCTCATTGATCTTTGTGAAATTTGGTGGTAAAATATTTTGCCAAGAAGTAGGCATCCTCCTTTCAACTTTCCAATAGGCAAATTCCCTTTCATGTCAAGCAATATTGCAACAGCTCCAACCTTTGGTGTTTACATTTCACAACTTTTGAGGTACAATCGAGCGTGCTCTCTTTATCAGGATTTGAAAGAGCGTCATGCCACTCTTGCTCAGAAGTTGTTTGATCAAGGTTACAATATTCAAGGCCCCAGTAGATCTTTCAAAAGTTTTTGCTGGACATGCGGAGGAAATTTACAAATTTGATGCATCAGTGATAAAAATGATGTCCGATGCAATTCCCTATTTTGACTTATACCATACATTCCCGAATTATTTCAGGTGAACAAATGACTAGACTTAGCGTATGTTTATGACGGGTGCCACCGGTGGGGCAGGATATGGTCACCTTTTCGCGAACACCTGGTATCATCACTATTTCATAGTGATTCATAAACACATGCTCTGTCATCGTATCGCATGGTGACAATCACTGGATTTTCTGGTCCAGACTCGATTTGTTCACAAACAACATCTTACAGCTGTAATACTACTGAAACAAATATATACTCATCATATTGTCACAACTGTACCATCGACTGTGCTTTCAGCAGAGACTTCTTCTACATGTGGAAAGGGTTTTGTTGCTTCTATTTTGTAATTCTAAATGATCAAACCAACACATGATAATACAACCTCAAGCTTTCCCAATCTTGTAATCAAAAGGACACATTTTTCAGGGGTTTGAGGGGTTATGCATACATTGTCATGCTCAATACCTAGCTGACGTGGACATTTGTGTCAGAGGCTGTGTGCTCATTAAACATCCAAGACCAAGGGCAGGTAATTTAAGATCTTTTGAGCCAATGGATTGGCTCTAATTTCTTTCTAGGTTTGTGAAATGTGAATGCTGGAGATATAGAGGTTGATTGTGTTTCAGTGAAATAAGACTCCAACTTAACTATTCATGCTGTAATTTCATCTGCTCAGTGCTTTATGTAAATATTTAAACACAACCTTTACATTAATTTCATATGAATACAAGTGTACATCAATAAGTCCTCAACATATACTGAGAGAAACAAAAAAAGAATCACAGGAAAATTCCAGCATTCCTTTAATATTTTCCAGTTTTCATCACCAGCTTTGAATAGCGCTGTGGTGATAAAAACTGGAAAATATTAAAGGAATGCTGGAATTTTCTTGTGATCCTTTATTTGTTTTTCTCAGTATATCTGCAAGTAAATTAGTGAACACAATCAGTTTCCCCAAATAAAATTGTGATTAAAAATCTTTTAATTGTTAATAAATTTTTTACTGATCTGAATTTTTTTAACCTGACTATAAGAGATATGGTTAACTAAAGCATATTACAGGCAAACTTCAACTGTTTGTGGTAGAATAAGTCTTATATAAATGTTTTCAGCAACTTGGACTACAGAGGGCCCGATTGCGGAAATGGCTTTTTTTGTCAGTGTTTTTAGAGTTATGTCTGTTGCAGGCTGACCTTGATGAGTCCCTCTTGGAAATCCGACCCAACTCAGTGTGTCCAGAATGTCAGTGCTCCCTGCCCAGTCAGCCCACACAGAAGGAGCTTCGTGATATGACCAATGAGGCAATACTTAGAATGTTGAAAGCTGAAAAGGTGAGCTGACAATGATATTTAAATTTCTACATATCTTAAATTCTTGTTGTATGATTATCGCTGCTGTTACAGTCATCAGGTTATGTTCTTTTAAACATTTCATGTGGGAATACAGATAAGGCCTCCAAAATCCCATTGCTTGTTGCAAAAGATGAATATCATAAATCAAGAGCTGAATGCAGCATACCATAAAATGACAAATAAAACATGAAGAGAGTCACTTGGCAGATGAGAAAACAGATGCTCAAATTGTCAGTTTTCCTCCTCCTCCTCCTCCTCCTCTCTCCCCCCCCCTTTTCCTCCTCTCTCCTCCTTTTTCTCCTCCTCGAGAGTTTCCTCCATTTAAAGGCACCTGTTGTTTCTCAAAGGCTACAGGTTAACATCTGAAAAAAATCACTCTTTCAAGGATTACTCTAAAGTGACAGTGGTTATTACTTGTGATACTATTTTACACTTGACAGAAAGTAAATTCTGATAGTTCTTTGATATCGAACCTGTTCACGGTTTTGACTCCTGTTTCTGTCTGTCCTCCAGCTGAGCTACTGGCGGCAGTTTGAGCAGGGCATGCTGTCACGGGAGGCGGTGAGGAAGTTGCAGGAGTGTGCGGAGTGTGCTGCCGACATAAAGGGAACGTAGGTGGCATGATCATTTGTTTCAGGCTTCGTTTGGACAGTCCATGTTCTAGTGAATAGAGCAACATGTCGGTTGTTTGATACCCAGGCACATCACACAAAATAAATTTTAAAATGTGTTTCTTGCTGTTACCCGTCCTTGTGATTGGTATTAGGTATTTGATTGTGATTTGGGGTTGATGATTTTAAGTGGGGATCACCAATTTTGTTCTGGGGAGGTAGGGGGGTCATCAATTTTGTACTCGTTTACTAGGGGGGTGTCATCAATTTTGTACATAATAATATTAAAATATTATGCTTAAAAACTTAGGGGGGTTGGGTTCATTGATTTTGTACATGCAATGGGGGTCACTTTCTTTGCACAGAAATATTGGAGTGGGGGTGGGGGGTCATTCACATTGTACATGCTTCTCTATAAAAATCATCACAGACACCCCCCACCACACCCCTTAGCCATATATTATGAACGGTTCCTTATGTTCTGTGCATCAGAGAAGGAACTTCTAGTACATTCCAACACTGTCTAAATGTAGGACACCAATGCCCTCACTGACACCCATGAAGATCAGGGTTAAAATTGATCTTCAGCAACCCATGTCTGTCATAAGAGTTGACTAATGGGATCGGGTGGTCAGGCTCGCTGACTTGGTTGACACATGTCATCATATCCCAATTGTGTAGATCGATGCTCATGCTGTTAGTCATTGGATTGTCTGGTCCAGACTCGATTATTTACAGACCGCTGCCATATAGCTGGAATATTGCTGAGTGCGGCGTTAATCAACAAACCAAACAACAACCCCTCACTGAATCTCCAGGTACACTGTATACCTGGTGAACCACTGCCTGATAACAGTATTGATCTGTTAATTAAGGGAAGGTGTCATGTGGAGATGTGCTCTATGTATTTTGTGTTGTATACTGTCTTGTGTTTCCAGGTTCATTGATGTCGATGAGGTGAAGAAGTCATGGGAAGTGCCATCATTGCTCCTTCGAGTTGTACGTACAGATACATCAGCTGATTCATGTAGTTATGATATTCTCGGCTATAGGACACCCAGTTTGATCAAGTTTTTCACCATTTCTATAGGACACCCAGTTTTATCACATCAAGCTTTTCACCATTTCTATAGGACACCCAGTTTTATCACATCAATCTTCTCACCATTTCTATAGGACACCCAGTTTTATCACATCAAGCTTTTCACCATTTCTAAAGACGCATGTTCCCAATGGTACATTTCATGTTTACAGTCATCCTTTCGACAATGTGAACAAATATTATTTCCTGTATATCAGACATTACTTAGGGAGCAGACTAGTTTGAATTACAACTATCTTTATTTCCTTAATTTCATAAATTATTGACTGATATATTACTTTGTCAGAAACGTAAACTGAAAGAAGTGATCCGCAAGCGGCCAGTGAACACCCGAAGTGACGTTCCCCATACAGAGCTACTGCATCAGATTACCACACACTGGGTATTCAACATAGTCATCTACGTCCTCATTGGCTTCGACACCATCAGCTCAACACTAGCCATCGTGGCAGAATACATCCTCATCTTTGCAGATTATAAAATCATACTTCAGCTGTTTAATGTGTTCTTGGTCCTTGTGTACATAACTGAGGTTATACTGAAGGTGAGTGCTTTTCAATCAGTCTGTAGGAAGTAGGTGTGAGTGAGTTTAGTTTTATGCCGCACTCAGCAATATTCCAGCTATATGGCGGCGGTCTGTATATAATCGAGTCTGAACCAGACAATCCAGTGAACAACAGCATGAGCATCGATCTGCGCAATTGGGAACCGATGACATGTGTCAACCAAGTCAGAGAGCCTGACCACCCGATCCTGTTAGTCACCTCTTACGACAAGCATAGTCGCCTTTTGTGGCAAGCATGGGTTGCTGAAGACTATTGTACCCCGGATCTCCATGGGTCTGTAGGAAGTAGGAAGTCTAATTAGGCTGATCATCATGATGGAGATTTATGGGAACTGATGATAAGACCTATTACTGTAGATGTATGCTACAGCAAGTACAGCAAGGCCCATCGCTGAAGGTAAAATAATGCAGCAAGTGATTTTAAGGCCCACTGCTGCAGTTGAAATAATACTGCAAGTAATGCTTCTTCTCAAATATTGCGGGAAGTGACTCATTCACCTGACTACAATGACACAATCTCCCCTTGCAGCTAATCACACAAGGGAGATCCTACCTCAGCATTATCTGGCAGGTTCTCAGTCTCTTCATCATTGGCCACGGTATCATTGATGCCATTCTGCAGTTCTCCCTGGCATCACTGGACACCGGCCAAAACAAACCCGTGCGGGATGCCCTTGTTGTCTTCATCGTCCTACGGGCTATCAGGCTCTTGAGACTTGTAGAGGTACGAGAGGCAATAGCATGAGCAGTATGGCTTTGATAATATTTCAGAATTATTGTAAACTGCATCAATTAGATTGTAATAAGATAGATAAATAGTAGACCATGAAATCCTGTTCAAAAACCTGTATTCACTTCTTCAATAAATTATGTAAGAACAGTCACTATATGGCTTAATTATATTGGTGACTGGGTGTATGTTTTATTTGGTATGTTCTCAAACATGCATTTTGCATATTGTTTTCCAGACTATATTTTGGCAACTTAAATTTATGAAATTTGTGCTCCCAAAAGTTCACAACTTGTATGTACAAAACTTGTCTTCATGAACTTATTTTCTCAAGCTTGTATTTTGAGTCTTGATTTCCTAAACTTAAAAAGCATATCTCAACTTTCCAATCATGTATGGACAAAGTACTGCTCCCTACCTTGTATCCCTGACGGTCTAGTCCCCAGCTTTTGGTAATCTATGGTTGACCTTTGTCCAGCCGCTGCTACCGTTCATCCTGATGATGGTGAAAACAAGGATCAGCTTGCATCTGAGCTATGGCTATGACTTAGGGCGGGGGCTTTGTGGCAGGCGAGGACGAGGTCCGGAAGCTGATAGACCATATGGTAGACAGCAAGGACATCGCCAAGCAGCTGAAGGGGCATGTGGATGACGGCAGGCTGGAGGTCATCAGATGTCTTGGTCAGTATTGTCGCCAGTCATTTAAGGCATCTTTGACCAAATACATTCCACCCCCTTGGAATAGTGGCAAGCCTAATGTTCTCCTGTATGTACATATTTTTCCTTATTCTGACTCATGCTATTTTGCTTGTCTTCTTCTCCTTGTGAACGTTAGTGGAACACTTGAATCCCCTTTTTGAAGCTCCCTTAAAAAAAGCAGACTTAAAATCACTACTCACCAAGAGTTATCTCCCTTCCCAGTTTTGGCGGGAAACGGCGCCACCCGTCACCCAGCTCCTCACTCTCTCTTTCTTCGCCCTAGTGGACGGTTGGGAGAGCACCTGGGTCTCCTATACGGCACTATATCCTTTTCTAACTTAGATATTACCCTCTAAATTACCTGTATAAGGTTTCAGGGGAGTATCCTTCTACAATATGCTTTGAAATTTATTATCAAATTTGACTGTTTATTCACGTTTTTACGTGATTGTTCAGTTAGTTTACATTTCATGAAAACCTGTTTTCGTTGCAGGTTTAGGTTCTCTGCTGCAGAACCGCACTTATTGTGCCCAAGTTGCACAACAACATGTACTTCCAGCTCTCGCTGTAATATTTGTCAGCATTTATCAGATTTTGATTTTAATAATTATCAATTTTCTCTGCTTAGACGTGCTAAGGATAGATCCAGTACAGCGATCCTTGGACCATATCGCTACCCTCTCAGATGCGTTGTCACTACAACAGTCGTGGCAGTCGTTCAACCCCGGGACCTTTATGCAGCAATTCTCCCAACAGATGATGGACCTGATGGAGAAAAGGGTCTCACAGGAAAGGACCTTGCATGATGGACAGCCAGGTTGCTCTCATGCTCAAGTCAACAACCTGCGCGAGGTACCATTGCTGCATGAAGGACCCCGCACTAGTTGTGCGCCTGCAATGTCTGCTAGAGGAACTAGCACTCGGACCAAGGATAGACCTGCTCTGCACCACTCGAACTAACCTGCACGAAGGAGGAATGAACGTTCACCGGACCTAAATAGATCGTCATCTGAGGATGAGAATTATGAAGGACCTTCACGCAGGGAATCTACAATGCAGAGAAAGAAACTTACACTTCCGAGAAGGTGCAGAGAGGCATCTCAGGACTCAAGAAGGCAATCACGGAAACGAAGGCGCACACCTCCAGGCAGGTCTCCATGCAGATCTCCTTATAGAACTACTCATAGTTCTACATACACATCTCCACGCAGGTCTCCACGCAGATCTCCATGCACGGAGGACACTCAGCGACGATATTCAACTGGACATGATACAGAGGACGATGGCGGAATCATATTTTCCGATTCAGAGATCAAGTATTGGATGGCTAACGGACTGGACCTGGCTTCACCCTCTAAGGAGGAGAATGAAGCACTCACGTACCTAATGACGGATGATGATGTGGACACCATCACCCTACCTCCAATTGACCCTGTCTCGGACGTACCTGAGGACCTTGATGCAGCCTTCAGGAAGGCAACAAAATTCCAGGCCCCAAGTATTCCGCAGTTCAATGCAAAGAAGTTCTCACTAAATAATATGGACCCCTTCATGAAGGCACCAAAGATAGATGAGAACTATAAAATCATCAACGACTCCCGGACCAAATCTTATAAGATTGATGACAAAAAGCTGGCACAGATAGACACTATGACCAGGCGGACCTTCTTTGGACTTAACAGATCGAGGGCAATTAATGAGACGCTCATCTCCAAGCTCAGGAACTGAACTTCGGAGGAGGACCGGATGATTTATTCTGCCTTACTAACGCAGAAAAAGGACCACCAGTTTATGTCAGAGCATTTGGCATCCATATCAGCAGCATTGACGCTTGCCAGAAGACAGGGACTTTTGTCTTCATGCAACTGGAGCGAATGCTTTACTAAGACTCTCTATAGAGCCCCGTGGTCTACAACATCGGTCTTCGCGGGAGAGATTGACGAGGTTACCAAGGAAGTCATGAAGGAATCCAGGGAGGTGATGATGATAAAGTCTATTGATACACTAGCCAGTGTCATCAGGCAGACGTCCAAACGCTACTCCGGCAAATCTAAATTTGCAGGCATCCAAAGAGAAAAGAAATATGGGACCTCCAGAGGAGGAAAGGACTCTTTTCGTCGCTCATCCGGGACCTATAGAGGACGATCCGGACGAGGCAGGGCACCCAGAGGTGCCAGAGGCTCTAGACGATGAAGGACGGTTTCGGAACGACTGGAGTCTTCCACCCCCCAGCCGTTCCTGTACAACCTTCCCATGTGGGTGGACGTCTACAACGCTACTGGGAGAATTGGGGAATTCTTCAGGACCAATTTGTATCCAACATCCTGTGCGCAGGATATCAAATACAACTACAAGCAGCCCTTCCTTTGACGGACAGACCTCAGGGCTTCAACATCGTGGCCCATCGGATAGAGAGGCTGCGCGAAGCTGTCACATCTCTACTAGAGAAGGACGCTATAGAAGTGATAGATCAGGACCAGGTCTCACCAGGGTTCTACTCCCCAGTTTTCCTTGTACCAAAGAAAAACTCCAAAGAAAAGTTCCGACTTATATACAACATGAGGAAATTCAACAGAGATTATCTACGCAGACCGGCAAAATTCAGAATGATTCATCTGCCTCAACTACTACATCTCATTCGTCCATCGGACCATATGGCCAGCATAGATCTACAGGACGCATACCTGCACATCCCTATACATCCGGAATCAAGGAAGTACCTAAGATTCCTCCTGGACGGACGACACTACCAATGGAAAGTCCTTCCATTTGGAATATCATCAGCCCCCTGGTTGTTTACACGAGTGACAAAGCCCATCATCACGTATCTACATCATTGAGGTCTACGCAGTGCGTGCTACCTGGATGATGGGATTAAAGCTCATCAAGATCCCAGTCATCTCAGACTTCAACTAGACTTCACCATCAGGCTTCTCACTCAACTAGGATGGCTAGTGAATCTCCTCAAGTCGGAACTAGAGCCTACACAGGACCTGCAGTTCCTAGGAATTCGGCTCATCACAACAGAAAACCGCATAGCGGTTCCAGAGGACCGTTGGCTGAAGATACAACACATGGTATCTCAAGCTCTACTCTCTCCATGGCCACTACGAGATTGGCAAAGCCTTTTGGGTCTCCTCATGTCAGCGCAGGACGTGACCCGCAGAGGGAGACTACACCTACACCCACTCCAGGTCTTCTTGAATTCCCATCTGGACATTCCGGACCCCTTCGGACTTCCGGACTGACTAAAACCATATCACTATGGTGGACTCTGAGATCGAATGTTTGCGGAGGGACCTACTTAGCAGAGCCGGAGTGCAAAACTCATCTCTACGTGGACGCATCTCTTCAGGGATGGGGAGCGCACCTCGACAACAAAGTGTCAGCCGGGAAATGGACGTTACAGGAGAAAAGTTTGCATATCAACATGCTAGAGATGAAAGCGGTCATAAATGCCATACTCCACTGGACCAGCATTCTAAAAAATGCTCATCTGATGATACATACGGACAACTCCACAGTGGCGTTCTACATAAACAAAACAAGGATCGACAAGGTCGGCGAACCTTCTGGACCTTTGCTTTCATCTGTTCAGCATAACGGACGATCTGAACATCCACATAAAAGCATGCCACATTCCAGGAGCCAAGAATGTGATAGCAGACGCACTATCTCGTCCAACACAACCATCCCCAACAGAATGGATGCTACATCCACAGATCTTCAAACAGATCATACAAGAGATAGGAGCTCCGCTCATAGACTTGTTCGCCACAAGATTCAACAATCAACTGGCAACATTCGTCTCTCCAATACCAGATCCACGAGCATGGGCAACAGATGCTCTAAGCATCTCTTGGGAAGGACTAAACGCTTACGCGTTCCTGCCTCCAGCTCTTATACCGCAAGTGTTGCAGAAAATCATGCAGACGAGGAACCTGCAACTGATTTTGGTCGCGCCTTATTGGCCAGCGAGAATGTGGTTTCCCATTCTCATACAAGAACTAGGACCTCCTCAACTGCAACTACCAGAGTGGACGAACTTGCTAGTACATCCGCACACCAAGCAAGCACACGGGAACCCCACAGTGTTCAACCTACACGCATGGACCGTATCAAGGCTTGCTTGAATAAGAGAGGATACTCCGCCAGAGCAGCGAAAGCGGTCACCCTAGCTTTATGCAAATCAACCCGCAACTTGTATGACGACAAGTGGCAAAGGTTTGAGACCTATGCTTTGAGGAAGGGCTTCACAGCCATGAAAGCAACACACCGTCTAGTGGCGGACTATCTTTGTCATCTAAGACAAACAAAGCGGTTAAAAGGTTCAACACTCTCAACATACCTAGCGGCATTGAGCTCAGTTATCACCATGAGGAAGAGTGTAAAACTGACTAAGGTACCAGAGATACTGGCCTTACTACGGTCCTTCAAGTTGGAAGACCAACAACAGAGATTTAAAGCTCCAGCTTGGGACCTCAATATAGTTCTACAGCATCTCACCAGTGACGCTTATGAACCATTAGATAGGACATCTTATGAGTTCTTGACACAGAAAACTCTATTTCTGATTGCCTTGGCAACAGCAGCACGGATGTCGGAAATACATGCTCTGGACTTTGAACGGACACGATTTGATGCGCACCGCAACATCGTACATATGGGACTAATATGGGACTTTATAGCAAAGAATCAACTGCCAGGTCAACCCGACAGACAGTTCCACATCCCAGCATTATCATCAGTCCTTGGGCCTCAGGATATACAGGACCTATCCCTGTGCCCAGTAAGAGCATTAAAAGTCTACCTACAAAGGTCTAGGACGCCTTTTCATCCCTATATCGGCAGAGACACCTACGGATATCTCTCGCACAACGATATCAATATGGATGAGAGCTGTCATTCTAAGGGCCTATAAAGCAGCAGGACTTGATCCTCCACGAGCCTCCAATCCACATGAAGTTAGAGCTCTGGCGTCAACACTCGCTCTACATGGAAACTGCTCCATCACCCCGATAATGGAGGGCTGCTTCTGGAAATCAGACATGGTGTTTGCCAACCACTACCTCAGAGACATCGCCACCGAGGACGTCTCCGGCATTCACCAGTTCGGGCCTCTTGTTATAGCACAACAACTGACAGTTCCACAAAGGCGCTGAGACAGAGTCTCACCCTTTTATCACGTGACTTGCAAAAGCCAACACTCTGGGGAGTTATAGCTTTAGAGTCCATGTGCACGTCTAAGACAGACCATCATGAGTGATAGACCCTGTACTTGTAAGGACGTACTCATACATAAGAAGGGTCGCTTCTCCACTTGATGCAAGCATCAAGAGATGGAGTTGCTCAAATCCACACATAATGTTAACAGAAGAAAGGACCAAAAGTTGACAAGTTGTGGTCCACCCATCAGAGAAAACTGGAAGCAAGGTCAGCAGCAGCAGAACCTAGCAGTAAATTAACAGTGCTACCATGAAGTTCCCATGGGGGGGTATGCAGGACGTTAATCACCAAGCTTGGAATCCAGAAGTGGCCTGACCCACCACCAAATCCGTGGGATTCTACAAGCAAAATAGCATGAGTCAGGATAAGGAAAAATATGTAATTTTCTGAGTAAAATTGATATTTTATACTTATCCTGACTCATGAGGTCAGCCCTCCCAACCTCCCCTCAAGGCACTTTTGGATTTCCAAGCAAATCTAAGTGTCGGGCTTGATATACGGAGAGAGTGAGGAGCTGGGAGATGGGTGGCGCCGTTTCCTGCCAAAACTGGGAAGGGAGATAACTCTTGGTGAGTAGTGATTTTACGTCTGCTTTTTTGAAGGGAGCTTCAAAAAGGAGATTCAAGTGTTCCACTAACGTTCGCAAGGAGAAGAAGACAAGCAAAATAGCATGAGTCAGGATAAGTATAAAATATCAATTTTACTCAGAAAATTACATATTGTCTACTTGTTGTAACAGGCCACTAAGTTGGGAATAAGGATCAGCTTGCCCCAAACCTTTTATTCTTGCATGGACTTGGTCATTTCCTGGTTTTGGATTGGGTGACAACAGTGTTTAAGTCATAGGGCACCAACTTGGCTAGACTGACAACAGGCTTGACGGACTCACTGATCCCAGAATCTTAACAGTTTAAAAAGATAGCTTGCATACTATAGGAATTGTTTCCCTAACAATCTAATATCTTCAGGAGATACCAATGTTAATTTCTGAAATAAGCTGAAGAATTCTATTTTGGAAAACATCCACCATTTCCTGTAATAACTTGTTTGGATGGTAAAACCAGAGGCAGCATTTTCTCCCAACATATTCTTGAACATTTTATAATACAAAGAAATAAGTCCAAATAAAAGTTTCGAGTATTCAAATGCAGGGTACAATAATTGAAAAAAGTAGTTACGCTTCCTCTCCATGTAGCCTGTTTTCCCTTACAGTTTCCTGCATTCCTCCCCCCTTCTATTACCTTGTTATTTTTTAGGGCTGCTGCAAAAGCAGCACCCAGACATAGCGCTGTCGGCCAAGACACGTCAGGCTATCCGTAGCGTCCTCAACAACCTGCGCGACGGCATTCATGAGCTGTGGGAGGATGGCGTCCTACAGGAGGCGGAGGGAGAGAAACTTAAGAAGGTCTTGTTGTTACTGTTGTCATAATAGTCCTGATTGAAACTGCAGGATTAGCTTTTCCAATCTGTATAATTTTACAATAATTCTTGTATCAGGAGACTATGAATGTAATTTTAGACCCTGTCCAAATTTTCATATTTAAACTACAAATTTTAACAGAAAACAAAGGCTTAGAAGGAGTATATTAGTCCCTGGAGACTATTGTCTAAACGTTATAGTTTCATTTATGTTGTAACTAAGTTAGTTTACTACAGATCAATCTCTAAATAATTTGATGATTTTGTTTTGTCCTATTTCTAAGCGCCTCTAGCTTATGTAGACTAGACTGGACTGTGTCAAACATCGTCCTGTGCAAAGTGTTATTGTTGGCTCAAAAGTAAATTTATTTTGAATCACAAATATATTTTAAATGGTTCATAAGAAATAATTACTGCACGGTCTGTCTGTTAAGAACCTGAAATCAATTTACTATTCTACTAATGAATTGCATGCTGTTATATGGTTCCTTTGTTCATGCTGTCATTGAAAACTTGGGAGAATACCAACTTGTCAGGTTGTTGAATACAAGAAAGTACACTTTTAGTTTATGTATTGCTGCAGATGGTGGAGATAAAGATGAAGCGACTGCTAAATGCCCCGCCCACCATCCCTCTCCCAGAACCCGAGAAGATGCTGAACAGCGTCACCTGGATGCAGAATGATGAGAAACTCATAGACTACATGAAGGTGAGTCTGGCAGTAACGTTGATGACATGTACCACTACCCGGAGCTCTGACTCGGGCCAGATTGGTGTGCTGGGACTATATCTTGCTTCTGTATACACTTGACAGAGTCGAGCCAAGCTGGTGTCCTATGATTATGGCGACATCATCCTGAAGCAGGGCGATCCCACCAGTGGCATCTTCATCATTGTGTCGGGAATGGTCCGGGTGAGTAGATAACACAGTCTGGGTTACCATAGGAGTCCCTGAGGTGATTCCAGGGATGGATAGTCCACTGGTTTATATACCACGTGCTGGTAGAGGACTGAATTTATATGGCATGACTGGTTTGTTTGGTTGGTTTCTTGCTAACTGGGGCGGTGGGGTAGCCTAGTGGTTAAAGCGTTGGCTCGTCACGCCAAAGACCCGGGTTCGAATCTCCACATGGGTACAATGTGTGAAGCCCATTTCTGGTGTTCCCCGCCGTGATTTTGCTGGAATAATGCTAAAAGCGGCGTAAAACCAAACTCAGTCAGTCAGTCAGTTCTTGCTAACTGCAGCACTCATCAATATTGCAGCGGTGGCAGTGATGTGACTGACAAAACTGTCGATGTACTGAGCCTCACTGGTTCCATGGATCTCTGCTCATGCTGTTTGACAATTTCCAGTCTGCTGTGGCATAGCTGAAATATTGCTGAGCACATCAGTCTGTACCCAAAACAATTTCAACTAATCTCAGGCTGTAGTGGTGGGTTGGGCAGACGTCACACACAGCTGTTTTCCTTGTTTACCCATGACGATCCAGGTGAGAATTGGTCTTCAGTAACCCCTGCTTGTTGTAAGAGGCGACTTACGGTATCGGGTAGTCAGGCTTGCTAACTTGGTTGACACATGTCATCATATCCCAGTTGCGTGGGTCGATGCTCATGATGCTGATCACAGGATTGTCTGGTCCAGATTCGTTTATTTACAGACTGCCCCCATATACTAGTAGCTGGAATATTGCTGAGTGCTATGTTAAACAACAAACCAACCAACCAACCAATCCTTACTTGTTTATCTGCTCCTTGGGCAACTCACTTAATTCATGATCGCCATTTTGGTCCATGAGAACATCGGTAGATATTACCGATCCACCTGTTTATAATGTGATGACTAGGAGTCAAACTTCATCTCAGTGTTCTGCATGGCACGTTTTATGATGGCATGAAATACTGTTTGATTGCTGATGCATGATGGTAGTTTCTTAAAAGCGTGCACACTGCTGATTGAACGCATGTGCTTGTTGTGGGCAGCTGGAGACCAGCATCAAGCAGAAGGCCACATCGTCACACAAGATACACTCTCTCGCCGAGACCAAGATCATCGACTTCATGACAACCGGCAACATCATAGGAGAAATGGGGCTCCTGACACAGAGACAGAGAGTCGCAACAGTCAGATGTGACACAGCAGTGCAGGTGCGTTAACTGAAGATACCTTTTACTGTCTTCACCAAAACATACATCTGTAACCTGTTGGAAACAAATTGTCTTATCAGATAAGCATACTCTGTTTTCATTGCAGAGCTATGTTGCCGGAGGATTGGTGGGGCTAAATTGAATTTGGAACTGAAAATGCACCGCCAATGTCAACAAATAATATTTCAAATGCTCAAACATTTTACTTGCTATGTTTACCTCCATGTTTGTATTAGTTAAGATGATGAATTGTCCCTAAAACTTGAGTACCTTCTGGTTATGTCAGATATTTAACATAGGGAGAGTAGAGTAACGAGACAGACATGTTGTTTTCCCAGCTCCTGTTTATCAGTTCGGAGGACATGGAACAAGGTATTATAGAGTTTGCCGATTCTGAGCCATCACTGGAGTACCGTCTGTGGAAGGTCTGTGCAATCCGTCTCGCTACCGGTGTTCTCATGGACCAGCCCGGCTATCAGGTGAGATGCCTGCCACTACCACCAAGAGTTGTCTTCTCCTTACTCACTAAATCAGCCCTATTACTAGCAATTTCTTTGAGGTTAGATTGGGGTTGTTTTACGATGCAAACCAATTGAAAAACAAATTTCAAACCGTTAAGTGCTTCAATGATACCCAGTTTGGTATGTATAGACAATGGACCATGTCCATTGTTGTGATTACAAGAAATACATCACTGTACTGTGATCTGTGATAATAGTGGAAAATTCATGACAAAAAAATAGTGAGGGACACAATCTGTGAGATATAAATTCAAAATTTCGGGATTCCAATTCAAGAAAAGGAAAAAGAAACCATTTCACCAGTCAATGTGATGTGCAATCTTGATTAACAGTGATGATAGAATAATTTGACCATTGACCCTTTAGATCAGGGGGAGATAATCTATAACAGCCTTGTGACATATGCCCTTAATGATGAATTATCATTAAAGCAAAGTCAGGGCAAAGCACCTCAGGAATTGTGATATACGCTGAGTACAGTGAAAAACGTGCTATGGATGACTGCTGACTGTCTGGCATCTCTTGTAGGGTCTGACGAAGGAAAAAATCAAACTGAGACTAGAGAACGCATACCTGACCGACATCCGAGATGGCATCAACTTTACTATAGACTCTTCCATGGCCGATGTGGTGCTTGTCAATGGTAAAACAGACCATGTGAATGGCAATATAATTTTATGTGAAGGGAAGCAACCCTTTGTATTTGAACACACGCTAGTGTTTGTAACAACAGAGTGAATTATTATATAAATACATTTCACAGCCTGTGAATGTCCTTTGTTTCTTGAACCTGTCTGACAACAGGATATTGCCAGGCTGCTATCATATCCCAAAGTTTTTAAAGTGATGCTCTTAGTCTGTGTTAAACTATGTACAATATTCACCATAACATATATAACATGAACACCCTGTGTACTTATTAAAACCATGCACAAGTGAAATTTGTTTTCAGAGTTTGAGTGTAAGGGACCAAACTTTCTTAAAATGTCGGGGCAGTGGGGTAGCCTAGTAGTTAAAGTGTTGGCTCATCACACTGAAGGCCTGGGTTTGATTCCCCACATGGGTGAATCAATGGTGTGATATTGCTGGAAAATTGCTCAAAGTGGTGCTTCTTCTTCACCCCCCGAAAGGATAAACGACCCGATCGGATCTCAGTATAGGCTTCGCGTGATAGCTTGGTTCCTGGCATTGTTCTGTATCCATACACCCGCATATCTCTAATTGGAGTGCGGAATGTGTTGGGACACTTTTTGTCTTCAAGACTAGTTTTGTGTAAAACTCTACTTTTTTTAGTGGCTGTGGGAGCTGAATTGGTTGTTTGGAGGCTCCTAGGCATGGTGTACCTATGCAAGCTAAAACCGCCATTCCTTTTACTTCTCATGTTGTCATCATTCACGTGTCAAATTAGCTGAGAGAAACTTTATTTTATTTTGTTGTTACCTTGGGCAAAATGGGATTTAAAAAAAAAATAAATTTATTACTTGTTCCCAGAACACAAAATGCTTTGCATGCAGAACATGCAGGTAGAAAATATCGTGCATGAAATGTATATTTATTTGTGTGAACCACGCAGGTTTTTGCGTTAAAGCGAACACTGCAGAACTCTTAATACAGCAAATGCAGAAGGTTCCAAGCCATGGCTGAAGCTTGTGCCCTGATGGCGTGGAACATATCACATAAATCCCTGGTCAGTCTAAATTGTCCAGATTCCATTATTTATGTTATGTTGTTGGTTTCAGGGTTTGCCCAGAATGCCTACACACGGGAGCCTTTTGTGGGGCCATGCTACATTCCATGGACAGTGCTCAAACTCAACTTGCAGGTGAGTGCTCCTTCTGTCATGGCTGAACCAAACCTACAGCCTTCGATCCCCGACCGCGTCATACCATAAGAAAATATGGTACTTGTTGGTCCCTGTCTTTTCGGCATTAATGGGTACAACAAGGACTGGTGGTCGAGTCAGTATAATGTGTCTGAGTGGGGTATTCATGCTTCACTTAGGCATGGTATCTCAGTGGGCTAGCACTATAAAACCAGCTTAAGTCTGGGCTAGTACAAGCAGCCGCACATACATAGACACGCATGCACGTTTATCATATGATAAATATTCTCCAGCACGACGTTAACCCAATTTCACCTCACCTTCTGTCATGGCTGAACCAAACCTACAGCCTGTGTTTGAGAAATCTTCTTGATGCATTTGTTTCTATGAACCTCAAAGAATTTGGCCACATCCTGTTGCATCTACTTTTGTCACTGGTGCAGCTTGTCACAGATTTCATATTCTGAGTACAATTAATTGTGTTAATGATTTGATAACCAGTCTGTGAGGTTCTAATGGTTTAAATATCTCTAAGAATCAAAGTCAGTATACTTTTGCGTTTATGTTGATATATATATCTGAAAACTGGAATACAAAAATAACATACTTCATTCTTATTGAAAACTGATCACATGGCAACATTGGATACTATTTTGCATCTCTGGGCAATCCTTTGAACACAGAATATATCCCTGTCAAATTTTGGATAGCATGATGGGACACAAAAATTGCAGAATAATGGTAAAAATGTGAATCCCTACTGAGACTGAGCTGAGCTCAATTCCTTCAGTTTTTCTGTTTTCTTGTCATGCATGATTACAAGGTGTACATGTTTTCAGCCTGAGAAAGGTCCAACTCCAATTGTCCTTGTGGTCCCGAGTGAGCTTGGCCAAGTCGCCCCAGTAGCAGAGCGGCGCCTGTCAGCTCACGACATCCGCAGTGAACATGGGGCTTACCTTTCATCTCTCTCTCGCCTCTGCCTGAGACACGCCTCCGTCCAGCGCAACGTCATGGAGACAGAGAGAAAGGTGATACAGATTTTACTACTTCTGCCCAGCAGTTCATTTCTTCAGCTCACCTGGCCTTATGTCATCGCAACTAGAATATATTATCTTCTCAAAACTTTAAGTTCCAGAAGCCTGTAACAGGGTGAGACGGTTGTGTAGTACCAGCTTTGCTCAAGACATCCACATCAGATATCAAATATGGCTGCCATGGACATATTGGAAAGCTCAAAACATTATCATGAGTTTTCATGTAAACACAGAATCCACCAGACCAGTGAAGCTGAATCTTCATGTGCTTGTTCCCCAAGCAGCGTACAAAATCAAATAATGGCATATGTTTGGTTATTTCTTCACAAAAGTTTCTGTGATCATCTCAAATTCTTCCAAAATGCATTTTTTTAGGCTTACAGATGAAACTTTGTGTGACACAAAACGTATTGCTGTGTTTTGTAACCATGTCCTGCAGCATGTACAATAGTAGTTCTTTCTTATGTAGAAACATTGTCGATGGGTTGTTTTGTGATTTTTCCTTATCCCGACTCATGCTAATAAGTCTTGTCTCCTTCCTCTTGCAAATGATAGTGGAACACTTGAAATCTCTTGAAGTTCCCTTCTAAAAATGCGGGCGTAAAATCACTCACCCACGAGTAGCGTCCCTTTCCTCCCTTTTTGCGCCCAAATGGTCACATGATCGGCCATATTTGTCACTCTCTCTGTTTGTAAGCCCGACACCCGGATTTACAGGGAAATTCAGAGTGCCATAAGAGGGGAGGTTGGGAGGGCTAACCTCATGAGTCATAGTGTTGGGAATTGGTTAAAATCTCGTAATTGATGATTGGTTCATTACAACCGATCAATCATCGAAAATAATTGGTTAGTGTCATTTATGAAATTTTCCTGGTTATTTTTGTTTATGCACATAAACTAAAGAATATACATGCTGTTCCTTTGGGGTGATTTTTGCAAATTGCACATCTTTAAAGGATGACTAGTATGTAAGGAACATAAATTTCTTGTCGTCTTTAAAATACATTCAGTTGTGACTTGGAGCGAGCATGTAGTTTTAATGAAATGTAACAGACAAAACCAACCGTGTGAAAAATATTGTTAATGCAAAAGTTTTCCAGAATTGTTTGTGTTCGATTATGAGAAAACATGATCGATTGCTTGGTTGTTTAGTTATTGCGACCAATCTTCGATTTTTTCAATTAATCGGACCATCACTAATGAGTCATATTTTTCCTTATCCTGACTCATGCTAATTATGCTTGCAGAATCCGTCGGAAACGGTGGTGGGTCAGGCCACGTTCTGGATTCACTAGTTGTAGATTTACGTCCTGTATTACCCCCATGGGAACTTATGACGGCACTGTTGAAGATTCTGTTCTTTCAACTTCTCTCTGATGAGTCTGGGGGAACCACAACTTGTCAGATTTCTTCCGAAACTTCTCCTGACATTTTCGTGTGGATTTTAGATATACTAATATTCCATTAGTTATCTATTGCAACTCCATCTCTTGATGCGCGCATCAAGTGGAGATGCGACCCTTCTTCATGTACAAGTATGTCCTATACAAGTACAGGGTCTATCACTCATGCTAGTCTGTCCTAGACGTGTGCATGGACTTATAGCCATTGCTCTCCAGAGCGTTGGTTTTCACAAGTCACGTGATAAAAGGGGTGAGATTTACTCAGCGCCTTTGTGGAACCGTTAGTTGTTGTGCTACAACAAGTGGCCCAAACTGGTGAATGCCTGAGACGTCTTCGGTGGCAATGTCTCTGAGGTAGTGGTTGGCAAACACCGTGTTCAATCTCCAAAAGCAGCCCTCCATTATAGTTGTAATCGAGCAGTTTCCATGCAGAGCAAGTGTTGACACCAGGGCTCTGACTTCATAATGGATTGGAGGCTCGTGGAGGCTCAAGTCCTGCTACTTTATAGGCCCTTAGTATAACGGCTCTCTTCCATGGGGATAACTGTACTGAGGGCAGTGATGCCTATGAGCCTCTAGAATGGACATCCTTTGAACTACTAACTCAGAAAACGCTGTTCCTGATCACGGAAGTCCTTGGACAACGATATCGATCTGGAAGAGAGCCGTTATACTAAGGGCCTATAAAGCAGCAGGACTTGAGCCTCCACGAACACGGTGTTTGCAAACAGAGTGAGAGTGACAAATATGGCAGGTCATGTGACCATTTGGGCGCCAAAAGGGAGGAAAGGGACGCTACTCGTGGGTGAGTGATTTTACGTCCGCGTTTTTAGAAGGGAACTGTGAGGGATTTCAAGTGTTCCACTATCATTTGCAAGAGGAAGGAGACAAGAATAATTAGCATGAGTTAGGTATAATAAGTATGAGTTAGGATAAGTATAAATTATCAATTTTAGTCAGAAAATTACATTTTCATCTTTCTTAATTCTTTTGTCCTTGGTATTTATTTACAAAATATGTAAATGACAGTAGACAGACCCTTCGGTGTGAAGAGCAAATGCTTTTACCACTAGACTACCCCACCACCCAGTTGTTATTGTAAGATTACATGGGTATGGAATACATTGTTGTGTTAAGACTAGTCCAGATGGTAAGTGTACACCTTATTTCACTGGTTCTAAGAGGTTGTATCTTGACCTGCTTGAATGAAACCAAAATGTTTGTTATGTGTACATTTTCTTGAAGTGAAGTATGAAGCACGGAGAACTGTGTCAGAATTCTTAACCTTCATCCATGGTTTGTTCTACCTTCAGTGTTTAATCATTCTACAATACATAACAACACCTTGTTGCATATTTGTAAATACAAGTAGCACTGGTCTTCACACTCTATGTATATCTGCTTAATTATCTGAAAAAAACATAGAAGTTATTTCTCCAAAGCATAAAGACATGGTTTTTACATAGAAGTACATGGTTTAAAGTCCGAAACATCTATATATGTAGAACCTGATCTGAAGGCACATTGAGGTAGAATTCCCTGAAGTATCGTTAAGAGAGATCCTCACACTCAGAAAATAGCAGTTGTATTTATAGATATATTCTTGTTCAAACCCGCCCGTGCCTCATGGTCTCTGTTCATCAAGCATCTTCCATCATCCAAGACTCAATTGCTGGTTTCATTCCCAGGGTCCTCAGGGTCACAGACACAGTATCACACACTTCCTGCATCGGCGGTTATCACGTGACTCAAGCAAGGGAGACAACCGTGTCAGTGTGCTGGCTAATGGAGAGGTCCCATCCAGGTGGGTTTATTCATGGAGAGAATGCAGCAATTTTAAAGTTAATGTTACAAACTCAACTTCATTCAGAAATTATTTTCATATCGGTTTGTATATGGATTTTGATATTCTTATGTATCATTCAGTTTTCAATGTTATAAAGTTTACCTCCCTGGTGCCGTTGTACAAAGCGATTCTAGCACTAAGGTCACAGTAACTCCCATACCTTTACATAGACTTAAGGTAGTCTTAGTGCTAAGGTTGTTTTGTACAATGTCACCCTGACACACAATTAAACAACTTCATTTGACCTTTGTGGGCATTTCAACCAGTAATTAATAATGCATTTACAAAGTAGTTCAGCATATGACATTGAAAGTGTTTGGACAATAACACTGTGTTGTTCTAAAACAGTTAAGTACTACAACTGGAGCCTGGAGTTTTTGCAGGTGCAGAGGTTGTGTGTGTGTGTGTGTGTGTGTGTATGTGATAGCGATGCGTGCGCGTGCGTCGCGATGCGTCGCGTGCGTCGTCGCGTCGTCGTCGTCGCGTGCGCGTCGCGTCGTCGCGTGCGTCGCGTCGCGTCGTCGTCGTGGCAGCGTGTGCAGGTAGCCCAGTCGTCTAAGGCTTCATAATTCACTGGTCTGTGTTGCTTCCCTTGTACATTTCTATCAGCCTCTGCTCAGTGATTTGAATCCTGGTTGGCTTTAAGGTTTGTCATACCCAGCAAAGTACTAAACATCCAAGCCTTGCAACACTTCTGGCTTTCCTTACACTATAAGTGAACACACCGAGATGTAGCAGGAAACTGTTAAAAGTAGCATCAAATACAAATGTCTCTCATAATCAATGGTGTCTACAGACATGTTCACTTCTTATGTTTCAAGACAGTCGGAAGAGGAAGTAAGTGTGACCACCCTTCTTTGGATGTCTAATTGTCTGTATCACATTGTGTGGAGTGTCTCCTATTGTATGTTTTATTGCATATTGTAGGTTTTGTCTCATATCATCTGATGTGTGCCATAGGTCTGATGTTTTTCATATTGTCATATTGTCTGATGTTTTCATATTGTCTGTGTCATATTGTCTGATGTATTCGATGTCACATCGTCTGTGTCACTTTGTCTGATGTGTTTCATATTGTCATATTGTCTGATGTTTCATATTGTCTGATGTGTTTCATATTGTCTGTGTCATATTGTCTGATGTGTGTCACATCGTCTGTGTCACATTGTCTGATGTGTTTCATATTGTCATATTGTCTGATGTTTCATATTGTCTGATGTGTGTCACATTGTCTGTGTCATATTGTCTGATGTGTGTCACATCGTCTGTGTCACATTGTCTGATGTGTTTCATATTGTCATATTGTCTGATGTTTCATATTGTCTGATGTGTGTCACATTGTCTGTGTCATATTGTCTGATGTGTGTCACATCGTGTGTCACATTGTCTGATGTGTTTCATATTGTCATATTGTCTGATGTTTCATATTGTCTGATGTGTGTCACATTGTCTGTGTCATATTGTCTGATGTGTGTCACATCGTCTGTCATATTGTCTGATGTGTGTCACATTGTCTGATGTGTTTCATATTGTCTGATATTTCATATTGTCTGATGTTTCATATTGTCTGATGTGTCATATGGTCTGTGTGTCACATATTGTGTGATGTTTCATATTGTCTGATGTGTGTCACATAATGTGTATTGTTTCATATTGTCTGATGTGTGTCACATTGTCTGATGCGTGTCACATAATGTGTATTGTTTCATATTGTCTGATGTGTGTCACATAATGTGTATTGTTTCAGATTGTCTGATGTGTGTCACATTGTCTGATGCATGTCACATATTGTGTGTTGTTTCATATTGTCTGATGTGTGTCACATAATGTGTATTGTTTCAGATTGTCTGATGTGTGTCACATTGTCTGATGCGTGTCACATAATGTGTGTTGTTTCATATTGTCTGATGTGTGTCACATAATGTGTATTGTTTCAGATTGTCTGATGTGTGTCACATTGTCTGATGCGTGTCACATAATGTGTGTTGTTTCATATTGTCTGATGTGTTTCATATTGTCTGATGTGTGTCACATTGTCTGATGCGTGTCACATGTTGTGTATTGTTTCATATTGTCTGATGTGTTTCATATTGTCTGATGTGTTTCATATTGTCTGATGCGTGTCACATGTTGTGTGTTGTTTATATTGCCTGTTGTGTGTAGTTGTGATTGTTGTTAGTGCCAGGGTTAACCTCACAGTTAAAAGGTTTTACTTATCACACCAAAGCCCCAGTTCCCTCTCCCTACATTGGTACAATATCATTTCTTTGTGTCCTTTGCCCAATGCTCAGCATTAGGGGCACAAAACAAGGAGAGTTTTACTAAGCTGGGAGGCAATATTCTGGGTGTGAGTCAGCATCTATATCTAACTATGGTATCTCAAAGGGCTAGCAATATAAAACCAGGTACAAGCATGCACATTGTTATATGACCAGAATGATGCTGAACTAAAGTCCATTCTAGTTGCAGATCAGTATTCCTGTCAGGCCCTGATACTGCTCATGCTTTCAGTCACAGGTTTGTCTCGTCCAGGCATATGTTTACCACGTACAGGGCATCAGATGAAACACAGTGTAGTCTGATAAATCCTCTCACATACTTAAACAAGTCAACAATAAGTAGTACTGACAACAATTTGATCCTTTAAATTCCAGATCAATGCTAGGGAAACGAATGTCGACGCCGGCGTGTATTGAAACCCACCAGCGGAAAGCTCTCCTGAACATCTCCAGCACCTCCATGCCACTGCCGGACAACAGCTACGACTACCTCAATGACGATGACACTGTAAGTCTCCCCGGCTCCACCGAGTCCATCACAAATGAGGACACCTCCACTCCCAACACTGGTCGGAAACCCAGTTCCAGTGGAGTCATCATGACCGATATCCTCCATGGGGGGCACCATCATCCTCTCAGCCTTCGGAGGAGCTCAGACATCGACTACAGTGACACTTCTGGCTTCGGGCAGCGTCGCAGCTCAGATATTCTGCATGACCACAATATTAGCCCCCTTCCCACCATGGAAGAGGAAGAAAATGAATCTGATGTAAGTGACACGTGTTCAGTGGAGAAGCCTGTAGATACGGAGGAGAGGTCTCCGCGGTCACTTGGAAGGGGAAGTGGTTCCGGTGTTGAACAATGTGGTGCCACAGCCTCCATGGAGGTCTCTGATAATGTGTTCGAAGATGAAGAGGAGGAGGAAGAGGAAGATATTCCTTGCATGAACAATGGGTCAGTGAAGAAGAATGGTCCTGTGAAGAAGGTTGATGTCGCTGTTGGGTATGGTGTAGGCTCCAGTCAGCTGATGGAGCCGGATGGTGAAGGCTCCAGTCAAGTGTTGGAGCCATCCAAGAGCTCCACTGGAATCGAGATTATTGTGCATCAACTGGATATACCACAGAGAGAGGAAACTAACTTGTAGGGATGAAAACATGTTTGTCAAAACTGTCAAGATGTCAGGTGATATGATTGTTTTTTATCAAACCTTTTGGTCATTAAACTGCAGGACAGACTTTTAATAAAGAATAATGTAATGAAACCATTTATATACTACAGGATTACTAACTAGCTGCAAGGTTTTCTACAGATTATTATCTCTGAATGATTTAGTGTTGTAATGCTTGGTCTTTGTAAGAAATCTGAACCATGTTCTGAACCTGATGTCATGAACTTGATGACATCACAATACTATGACATCACTGCACTGTAAGTATAATGGTAGAATGTTCAGAGATGTACATTTTTCATTGACAACTAATGAAGAGTGATTTTTGATGATAAATAGAATCTCACACTCGGGTCTTCTGATATCAAATATATCAACACTCGTTGATAAAAGTAAAAATATCCTCAGATATTTGTAACTTTATCAACTCTTGGTGATATATTTTATATCAAAAGACACACAGGTGAGATTCTCTATGTCACACCTTTAACATCCCCTGAAATCTGCTTAGTCAGGAATAGTTACAGAAGATTTCATAAAGTTATCAGCTTTTGTTTACCTGTTTCAAAACCAGTATGTCACTTTGTGAACAAGAACATTTCAGAATACATAATACATGATACTTAATTAAGACTTGCTAATTTCCATGGAAGTATATAGCAGTCTGCTGAGCATTACTGCAGGTGTATAGACGGGGAACAGGTGTTTCCACCTCAGTTATTTACGCAGAGACAGTGATGGTGAAGTTACAAGAAGGGGCAGTTTGTTCTTTGAATGTTATATTATCCAAATCATGTCAACCCGTCAACTCTTTTATGAGTATTGGAAATATCGAATTGTGATACATTTCTCGTTAACAAGGAAATTGTTGATTCTGTAAAGTGTATATTTTTGTCCATCTGTGTTGGTCTACTCATCCATAGGATTCCCAAAGAGCATAATGTATCCAATTTATATGAGTTTTACTTCAACAGGTGCCCCTGAAATTGAAATTACTCACCCATAAAGTTGCCCTTCTTATCCATGTCAGTTATTCAGCTGTGTGGTTCATGGTTGTCGGAGTGTGGTGTTACTGTCACGACTTTGCATGTGTGTTGTACCCAATGTGCTGTGATGGAGGCAGCACTGTTGTTTGAAACAGGCAATGAATGTTATAACTCTGTAACCACACACTGAATGTGCGACAGAAACGGTCCCGAATTGTTTCTTTGTTTTACTCATGCTGGGTATCGATACTCTTCTTTGATATTCTGATATTTGTTACTGCCTGTGTAATTGTTTCCGTTATTTCTTATTGCCCTGTATGTCGTTGTACGAAGTGATCCCCATGTCGTTGTACGAAGTGATCCCCATGTCGTTGTACGAAGTGATCCCCATGTCGTTGTACGATGTGATCCCCATGTCGTTGTACGAAGTGATCCCATTCCTTAACATAGACTTAAGGTAGTCTTGTTTTGTACAACGGCACACAGGTCATGTGCTGTGTCATGTGATGATCGGGGCGGTGGGGTGGCCTTGTGGTTAAAGCGTTTGCTAGTCACGCTGAAGACCCGGGTTCGATTCCCCACATGGGTGCAATGTGTGAACCCCATTTCTGGTGTCCCCCGCCGTGATATTGCTGGAATATTGCTAAATGCGGCATAAAATCAAACTCACTCACTCATGTGATGATCAAGCTCTCGACAGCTGTACACTCTGTGTATTATTCACTTCAGTAGTGTATGGCGTGCCTGCATCTGATCTATAAATACTCAACAACGAATGATGATGGATCCTCCAGCAGAAGAAACTGATGAGTAACCATGAGTGTTGGTACACTGGTATTTTTTATATATGCATGTGCAAGACACTCATAATTAATTGTGTTATTGATAATAATTGTTGAATTGTGGAGAACATTACAAAATGTAAATCTGGCTCTATTTGTATGTTGTCTTGGAATCTGAAGTTGTTGTAGCAGTGTCTCGTTCCCAATAATCATCTGGTTCCATACGTATGTAATCAAATACCTGAATTACAAAACCAAGATAAGTCATGGCGGCCTCCAGGAATGTTGTGAAGGAGGTTTACAGTAATCCTCTGACTAATCCAACAGCTTGTTGACTTGTTTTTCAAACATCCTGGTTATGAAGCGCTGCCAGTGCTTACCCCAGTTTACAGTGTGTATGGTATTGTGGTAAGAGCACCATTACTTCTATGTTTTCATATATCCTGGAGATCAGTGGAGTTTCTGGAGATACCTACACAAACATGCTATCTTTTTACATGTCAGAAGTACAACCAATACCTGTACATGGACACAGGTACTGTGAGTCACATCATATGATGAAGGAACTCTTCCCCAATCCATTTAGTGATCATGTGACGGAGGGCGTGCAATAAGGATGCGTCAAACTCATAATCTGGTGGTTTAAGTACCCACAGTTGTGCATATTATGGCCACATCACGATGTCTACAAAACTCTATATCCCCGATACACATAAAGGGATTCTAGTGGGATTGGTGATCAGATAGGTTGTGATATCTCTTGACAATAGCATGACTTGTGCCAGCAGCAGTTACCCTGGAGGTCAACCAGGCTGGAAGATAGATAACTGACAGGGTGGTCTAATAACAGCTGACTCTGAACAGTTACAAAACATGAACAGATGGTTAATTTCTGTATCTACCTAGTGTCAATATTAGACAGATGTTTTGTGGTGGTCACTCTTGTCCAGGTTCTCATCAGTGTAGACTGCACATGGTTGTTCCAGGTGTCAGTGTTTGTAGTGTGATTGTTACATGATTGTTACCTGTATACAACTACATGATATTGTTTTCCTTGTTATCTGCCACCAGTTGTATATAGCTGTTAACCTATAAATACTTGCTACTCTATATATGCTTCTTTCTTTGCAATAAAACCATTTTTGTATCTGTCGAGTTTGTCATTGATTTTAGTGAGTCAAATGAACTGAACCATTTCAAAAGGAAAACCGTTATTGTACATCATTTTGTGTTACCTGAGACTGTAGTGCTGTAAACTATCCTATTACAAAATTTACAATAGCTTTATATAGCTTTATTGATTAAACCAGTGTATCAGGGAAAGATGTTCATTGAAATACTTGGTCTGTAGCACCATACCTTATGTCACTTTTACCTTCCACCTGCTCCATGGATCTGTCAATCGAGCATTGGCCCAGACAGTGGAGAGTCAGTGGTTTGATCCCTGGCCGCATCACACCATAGGAACATACACCATAAACATACAACTTGCTGTTACCCTGCCTGGTGCTTGATGTTATCAGATTAAAACAAGGACTCTGTGCCTGAGAGTCTGCATACTCCATCCAAGTGGGTTAAACTTGGTTTTTGTAGTAGGTTGTCTTTGTTATCCTAATAGGCCACCTCTATAAAAGTGGCATTTGAACTGACTGGTAGAATCCACTATATTCATAAGTGCATGCACATTGTTTAAGATACGTAGTAATTTTGCTACATTGAAGACTGTTTTACCTGGAGCTGCCCAGACAACATCAAGTTGACAAGGTGGGTTATAACCGAATACTGATCAACACAGCAGTAAAATTCACTCACTCATGGATAAAGAAAACAGTTGACCGGTCGAAACCCTCATCCATATCGATAAATATCACAACGAATTATAACAATTAGAAATATTTGTTGTATTTATTAGGATGTCATTGACACAGTAGCCCTCAGCATTTGATACTGTGTCACATGTTGATGCTTGTCAGTGATGTAAGCCTTCAGTCTGCTGTTGGCCTTGAGATGGAAGGTCAGACACGCCTGTTGCAGCTCCACAAGTTTCTCCAGGCCACAGTTGTGGAGGACACAGCCAGACATGTCACACGTCCAGCACATCTGGCGGGGTGACGGACGACTTGAACTTGACCAGTTTCTGTCCAGATTGTTCAATTTCTTGTAGTTTAATGCATCATACATTTGAACACATGCATCACACAAGCTGTCCTTGTTGCCAGGGTTCCAGTAGGGTTTCAGCCTCTTGTTGCTGTCCACAGATGTTAACCCTGAGTTTAAATTTTGGTAATGACATTGGGCAACAGTGCACTGAACACATCTGATTTGTGAATTCTCACAGGAAGCATTATATCCTGAACTGTCAAACTTAAAGCAATGGCATGAAGTATCCTTTCTCCTCTTATCAGCATGATGCTTGTGGTCATCTTGTTCCTGTCCAGGCTTTCTCCAATCAAGATTCATTCCACCTGTTTCTTCAGATATTGTATTTGGACAAACATCTCCATCTGGATTTTCATCAGTTGAACAGCACCCACATCTGGCAAAGATATGATGTGTCCAGTTCCTGTCTGGGGATTCATTGTGACAATGGCAGGTAGCTCTATCTGATCTTTCATCACTTGTATTATACCCACAAGTGGCTTCTTCAGAAGGAGGCTTTGTCAAACCATTGTCCAGGGATCCCATATTGTCCATCAGCCCCAGTCCACACTGGCATGTCTGCTTATCCTGTCTGTCAAAACACTGTCTATCAGGAATGTTGATGATCATACCACAAGAGGCTGTTCCATTGTTCTCCCAATATGTCCCACAGCAACAGAGTGCACATTCTGGGACACATGGACTGAAATGGTGGTTAGAACTCGACCAGTTTATGTTCCCATCATCATCCTTGCTGTGCGACTGATTCAGGAAACGCACTGATTTCATTTGTCGATCATTTGGAGACATCTTGTAATCTGCCGAGGCCATGCCTTCAGGGGAATTTTCTACTGTACTATCAAAAATGGCTGATGTTCTTTCAGAATTATTACTGTCTTTACTTAAACTGCCCATTCCACCCTCAACTTCAAGGTTTCGTTTAAGATCCTGTTTAGGTGATTCAACTTTTGTAAATATTCTTTCCGGACGTATTTTCACAATCTTTGTTCCTTTAGTGTCCTCACTATCTGTTGCTGATTTATTCTTGACCGAGAAAAGGGATCTCCATGCAAAGAAAGTCTTCTGTTTTTCAGGTGCCGGTTTCTGCTCATCAGACGACTCTTCCTCCACCTCTGTCCAGTCCTTGAACATGTCCCCTCTCTTGGTTTGCTTCAGCTTGAACTTGATTGCCTTTTCGATCACTTTATCCTTCTCTCTCATGAATTCTTCATCTTCCTGGGCAAAGTGGGATGTCCTTTTGGATTGATTATATGTGTTTGACGCTGTTCCATTGACAGGTAAGCCAACACGAGTAGAGAGTTCTGTTTCAGGATCCTGGCTTCCACTCTCCTCATGCACTAGATCTTTCTTTTCTTCAGATTGTTCATATGAGCTTACTGAAGGCTCTAAAGTTGAACCATCTGTTGTAGGATCTTGTTGAGCACGTACAGGCTCATTTTGCTTAGGATCAGCGTTGGTTACATCATAGATGCCATGGTGATGACTATCCACAGGCATCTTCTCAATCCTTTCTTCACCCTCAATATCAGACACGAATTTGTCTCTATCAAAGGAAGTCGAGGGATCATTGCCATGCTCAGAAGCATGACTTTCTCCAATTTCAATACGTTTTTCTTTGGTTAGTTCGAATCCACCTGATTTATGGTGTACAGAAGAGTCAGATACTGGCATTACTGACACATTAGGTTTATCTGCTCGAGGTGTCTGATTAACACCAGAGTGTTCACTAATGCCCTGTGTGATTATCCTCGATGCCAGGACGTCTGCCATGTTGTCAACCAACTTGGAATCAAGTTGCTGTTGCTGCTTAACACCCAGGTCACCCTGTGTTACCTTCCTGAATGGAGAAGTCTTGTCTCTGTGACGTGTCACCCAGTTACTGGCCGCTTTCTTCTTTGGTTTCACCAATCGTTTCAAGACACTGGCTTGAACCGAACTATTCTTCCTCCCGAAGAATTTCCCAGCGAAAGACATTTTTCTAAACTTCTTCTTATCATTGTTGGTCGTTTTCGTGAAATCTCCACACAGTGTCTTCAATACATGCCATAGGAAGTGGTTTATCCAGGGAAGGTATGGCGGGCGCTGTGATGAGCTCTGCAGTTCATCTCTGTACTTGGGTGAAGCCAAGCATGCAAATATCTGGCAGAGATTCTCGTAGTTCCTACATAAATAGAAAAACTATATTCAAGAAGGAAGGAAAACTAAAATGTTCGTCTGGATAACCTATTGTTGTATAGGTTTCCTCATCCTGTTTGTTATGAAAACCTCTACTTTATAGGCATCATTTTGCGATTCTTTGAACTGAAAACACTTGATGATTCTATAGGAAACAGATCCACCTTCGAGCGTACATATTTATATATTAAAACGTGTTATCCTTTTTGTCACAGTGAATACCACTGGAACTAATCCAGGATCAGCACATATAATTAATATCGGATTATTGATAGGGACACAACATTTCTAAAAGCTGTTAATCGATTTTCGGAGCTTGGCATCTATCTTTGTGTTATTAAAGCTAAGATAAGAAAAGAAATTGTTTCTCGGAGACTGCTGCATCACTTAATATCATGTTCGTATTATTGACACTTACCACATATATCTTTTCAATTCTCGCACCAAATGAAATATATCCTGTTATCAATAACATTGCACGTTTGGCAAATCATATTAAAGAGCCAAATTCACCGTGTATCCACTTTGACCTTATTTAAAAGAATGCTGCAAATGATTACAAAAAGTAAACATGGCAGAACATAGGGGGCTTTGAAACGTGTCTTGGTACTCTCTCCAAATATCAAGCGTCCGAGGTAAGCACACAGTGACTGTTGGTAATTCCGGAAACACAAATGATCATATATGTTTTTCTATGAGCCGGTACCTGTAAATGGCGGGAAAGTTCCTGCAAACCTCTGACCACGTGTCCGTCAACTTAGCCACCGGGAACAGCTGAAGTCCATTTATCACCGACCATGCTGACTGGAGATCACTGGATTCCCGACACGCCTCACTGACCTGTACCATCAACACAAGGGTAAGTGAGTGAGTGAGTGAGTGAGTGAGTTGGGTTTTACGCCGCTTTGACAATATTCCAGCAATTATCACGGCGGGTACCCCAGAAATGGGCTTCACACATTATACACTTATGGGGAATCGACCCGGGTCTTCAGTGTGACGAACGCTTTAACCACTAGGCTACCCCACCGCCCCGACAAGGGTAGGTCATTACATGAAATCTGTACACGTCAAATAGGAGCACTGGTGCATGTCTCCTTAAAGGACGAAGTTACGTAATCGGAGTTGCGTCTAGCAGCCATAACATGCTCCTATGATCCTCATGGGGAAGAATCCTAAAATCGGAACGAATCACCATAGGTTCGAATCCCCAGCTTCTCAACAGTTACGGTCCTGTTTGTTTTCACAGTATCTGTGCTCATCAGCTTCACCAAGGGTCAAAGTCATATTAATGCCAACGCATTGCGGTATACATTCTTACGATTTTGTAAGATCAAAGTATATGATTAGAGCAACTTTGGGAATCGGAAAACAAAACCATAGCATCTGGGAATGACAGTTGGTTAAAGGCACCTGCACGGATATGTTGCTGACAAAGCATGGAAAACGCCCACAGCAAATCTGGGATTCAGACAACCACCTGCAACTTCCTCAAACAAATCGTCCCTGATTCCAGTGATATATACTCAGCAGCAAAAAAAACGTCAGTACGAATTCAAAATTAGATAGGCACTGTAATCAAATCATTACAGAAATAGACATAATAAGCGGATCAAAAAAATCTTTGGTGTACCATATGTTGACACATCGATGAATAACTCAGCACAATTCCAAGCCATTACGTGAACGTTTGCAGTCCATTCAGTATCTAGTGTGACCACCACGAGTGGCAATAACTGCAGCACAGTGTCTATGCATGGAGTGCACCAATCGATTGATGAAGGCCACTGGCACCACACTCAGAGAAAAGCCTGGCGCAAAAAATCGGCTGTGTTCGGCCTGGGTATGACATTATTCAGTCTCCTCTGAATTTCATCCCAAAGATGTTCAACTGGGTTTAAATCAGGACTAAGGGCTGGCCACTGCATAATGTTGACACCGTTCTGCTGTAGGAAGTCCCGTGTAGCTCTGGCAGTATGGGCCCGGGCGTTATCATGCTGGAAAATGTTGTTCCGGTGACGTGCGAAATGTGGTATGACCTGAGGTCAGAGCTTGGTCGCTGTAGCGCACCACTGTGGTGCCGCCTCCTCTCCCTGGACCTAGGTTCTGGAACACCACAGGACCCACTCTCTGGTTCAGGCCTATTCCACATCATACCATGATGCTTGCACCTCCCCAAGAGTCTCTTTCCATAACACATTGGTCTGAGTAACGCTGGCCACGTCGTCGCCATATCTTGTTCTGCCATCTGCAGTTGATACGCAGTACCGATTCTCATCTGTGAACAAAACAGTTCTCCATTGCCTGTATCGCTAGTTTTTGGGTTGTAGGGCAAACTGTAGACGTTCACGCCGATGACGAGGGGTGAGGATAGGTCCACGGTAAGGTCTACGGCAATGGAGGTTCCCGCTGTTAAGACGTCGGCGTACTGTATCAGTACTGATTGGTCTTCCGTGTGTTCCCTCTGTCTGGCGTGCTGTTTCGGATGCCTGCATGAAGGGATTCTGTACATGCTGTCGCACAACATGGCGGTCTTATCGTCTTGTGGTCACCCTTGGTCTGCCAGTACGGGGGCGATCATTTGTGGTGTTGGTGGCCCGGAATCGTTGCTGCAGCCTGTAGATGGACCCAACGTTGATTGGCAACGGCTTGTGCAGTGTGGCCAGCTACAAGTCTTCCCAGCGCCTGGTTCCTCTGAGCTGTCGTGAGTCGCGGCATCCTGCTGACGTTGTAATGTGAATGTTTCAACCAGGTTTGGGGGTGCATTTTATAGGGCTGGTCCTTGTGAATAGCACGTGCAGCATGAGTTGCATGAAAAACATGGAGAACACCATACCATCTCCGAGATCATGTTTTTGAGACCATTTCCTGGGTTCCATTCTGAGTTTGGGAAGGAATGTCTTTGCTCAGGTAAAGTTGGAGATGTTGTCAAAAATATACAATCAAAACATTTAATGAGTTTACAGTTACACGTTTCTGCGAAGGAAAATTCCAAACTGACGTTTCTTTTGCTGCTTAGTATAGAACGGTTAAGGTTGTTCCCATGGAGATTCCAGCTTAGAACAGTTCCCCACCAAGCTATTGATGCTGGTCGTTAAAGGCGTCCAAATACACCGGGTGGACAGTGAGTATCGATTTACGCCGCTTTTAGCAATATTGATGCAATATCATGGCGGGGGACACTAGAAATTGTCGAATGGACAGACACAGTGACTTGGTTGATTGGGTGTGACTGAAGGCCGATGGCGTGGGTCGTTGTTCAACATATCAATCACTGGATTGTCTGCCATATTTACAAGCCGCCGTCGTTTGGCGAGGGCGTTACGTAATGCGGCATTAAACAACAAATATAAGTAAATGTTGTCGCTGGAACAATTTACCTGTATGAAGAACTTAACCCTCTGGGCCCTCTCGGCGAGCTTGTTGGATTTGACGATCTCCATGGCAACGAGATTGCTGGCATGGTTGGAGAAGTCTAGCATCTTGATCAGGTTTGTAGGACGGTCCTGGTTGCAAGTAGTAAACAAAACGGTGATTGGGTAACTACAGTGTCCGTCTAGTATCCAGTCTTATAGGATGAGATCTTGTGTGCTAAGTATGGTTAAGAATGTATTTAAAATATTCTTCAGCGTTTGTGCAGATATAAACGTAAAACCAATGCACACAAACTGTGGGGATATGACGTTTATGTGGCTTCAAGAACACAAAACTTGTCAGGCTGCATTTTTTATCATTAAGAAAAACATACTTTGACATTCCGGTAGTGGGTATGGCCGATTATATTGGTTTTCAGTTGCTTGGTTAACGAAACAAATGCCAAATCAATGGCAATCTATTAACTGACACGTGCAGTTTCATCATCAGAGCCCGTCAGATGAGCACTACCTATACCTATATATCGGTGTCAAATCGCAACATCATCCCCATGTCACCTGTCCACACCTCCAGCGTTCTCCAGCTGTCCACTACTTACTGCGTTGTGTTTGTCGAAGAAGTTGATAATGTCCAGTTCTGCGATTTGCTTGAACAGGTCGATGTGAATCTGGGTCAACTGTGCAGCGAAGATCTCTGGCGTTGACCCGTACAGCCATTCATTCTCCTTCCTGGTAACATTCAGTCTAAAGTTGATTTTACACATAAAAATGAACTTCTGCCATCCATACAGCAGCGCCTGATCCGAATCGTATTTGGTGCCTTTGTATGAGGTCTATTTCTACAGGTAAAATGTGTGATATCTGTTATTAGGTGGCGGTGGGGTAGCCAAGCGGTTAAAAGCGTTCCCTCGTCACGCCAAAGACCTGGGTTTGATTCCCCACATGGGTACAATGTGTGAAGCCCATTTCAGGTGTCCCAAGCTGTGATATTGCTGGTATATTCCAGCCATAAAGCCATACTCACTCACTGTTATCAGTGTTTGAAGTAATGGTAACAACACTCTGACCGATACGCACCTCTTGAGGGATCCGCAGGTTTCGAACACCGCCGAGTTGAGCATAGCTTCCAGTGTTGGAGGCCGCTCTACTCGCCTACTCTTCAGGCTGGTCCATCTGGTGGGCGCGGACTTTCTTGTAACAGGTCCTATATCAACAGCGTAGATTGACGGGTATATATGTTTAACGGAAGGTTTGGTATTTTAACAACGGCCTGAATCAAATGAAGCATGCAGGTTACCCACTCATCAGTGGCCGCCAGCGCGTGTAGTGCACCTGTGGACATGTGTGGTTTAGTCCGTTTCAAACAGTGAGATAACATGGACTTTTAACCAACAGGATGTACAATATTTAGGAAGTTAGAAATAGTGATGAACGTTATCACATGTGTCTGAGCTAGTAAAGGAACATGAGCAAGGGGGAACCAACCAGTCCTCCTAGAGTTAGTGAGTGGAAGTGTGTAGCTATACATATTTTGACCCTGTACAAAAAACAATACTTACGTTTTGCCTGAGCAAATTCTTCGAATATATCAGTGATACTTTCGTCCGAATCGGAAAGATCTAGTGCCCTATTAAAAAAATGCCAATAAAGTAAACTCAATAACAGAATATATGAGTTCACAGTGTATAAGATACATCTTTAGAAAATGTTAATGGAGAGTCGGGTTGTCGGCTTTCATTGTATATTTACGAAGTGACTAAATATATAGATCGAAAGTCGGGTTCGGGTACCTGGTTAAACAACAAACAAGCTCTGAATATATTGAAGGTGTGAGATTGATATTCCAGGTATCTGCGAGATCACATGCCCCTCTGATTATCTTGGTTCATGACACAAGCGCGAGGGATTTCTACTTACATCTGGCGTTCTCTTGCTAATCTCACTTCATTCCGTATTTTCCAAATCTGAAACAAACGATATTTAATTCAGAGTCTGGCGCCATGCAACGAACTTAAACAAAAAGGCAACACTAACGATTCTATGATATTTCGCGTAATTTATAGGTACCCCACACGTCGACAATTATTTTTGTATATTTTAATCTATGTTCTCTTTAATAAAGAATAGCATTACTTCCAGATGGACGAACTGGATCACCAACAGTACAGCACGCCCGAATCTCACAGAACAAAAATATAATAAAAAGTCGAGGTGACCTTCTTTGAAATAGATCCATTCATATTTCATCACAGTGAAATCTGTTTTTACCAGGTGTTCGGGATATATTATTTTCTGGCCTTGACTTTTAAAATATATTATTACGAAAGTTTCCCCTCGTCACAGACACTAGAGAATGAGGGCCTAGTGTCAAATCAGAGTGCTTCTGAAACTGTACCGAAGATTTAACAGACAGACAGACACTACTATTACCTTAAAAGGAATTCGTTAAAATTCACTTTGAGAGGCCTGACCTCTCAAAGTGGAAATAGTTCTAAAGGCCACTTCCTGTATCAGATTGGAAAAAGAGCTACATTTTAGGGTTTAATGTAACTTTAAACTTATATGGGTCCGAGTTCTTCAATATGGTATTTACTTTATGCAACTGGTTGAGTGAGGTCTTGATAAGGCCCCACTTTGGAAAGCGGATGGTGACGATGTTAACGGCTCGGTGAGGCTCCTCCGGTAAGGCTTCACTCATCATGGCCAGAGTCCAGTACTTGAAGTGCAGGCCGCTTCCAGGGGTGAACCCAGTGCTGCCACCTAGACTGATCTCTGATTGGTTCTTCCTGACCACGTGAGGTCTTAACCTGCGCGAGTCTGATGCTGAAAGATCTGTAGAAGATTGCGTCTGTTTCAGCTCACCATACATCATTCTTGATTTTGACCGTTTGACGTGTGGGGATTACAAATTTGACTTTACTATAAAGAGAAAGTTTTGGAATTTTAGCATTCTTTGTCTTCTCCAGATGAGAACCAGTGTCTGTTTTTGGAAATTTGTGGACGAAGCAGGATGATTGGATTGGAGACTCGCAAAGGAGCTCTGGATGCCTACATTGTCTACAGCACAGAAGGCAAGTGGTCTTTTGATAAATCTTAGGATTCCGTCTTCACCCTTGGTGTCTCTAGGTATTGAAGATCTTTTGGCATCCATGGCGTCCTCCTTCCCGACCGTCCACATCCGGTAGCCGTACCACTCCGGATGGTCTTGGGCCTGGATCATTTCCCGCCAACTTGTCCACAGTTCGTCTGAGCCGTCTGCTGAGTTGCACATCTCGAAGTACCACACGCTGCCGAGACTTGTGCAGACCGCGAACTTCCTGGACCGCGAGTCGATCATGAAAAACCTGGAAATATAAGAACACATATAAAACTTTACACATAGATAGAAGAAGAACTTTATAATGTGTGTAAATACAAAACACTGATATCGCCATTGCTGCTTTGAGAAACGACAGATTTGGGGGGCCTGTTGGATTTGAATTCTGAACGTACGCGTCAATTTACTTCATAAGCTATTTCGAAACAATGGCGACCCCTGCAGGACAATATCTGCTGCTTCAAACTGTATCAGTGTGTATAAAGTTCGGCAGGTAATGCATCTATGCAGGGAGTCCAACAACATTGAGCAAGCTACCTGTTACATCGTTGCCATACACAAGAGTGAGTGAGTGAGTATGGCTTAACGCCGCTTTTAGCAATGTTCCAGCAATATCACGTCGGGGGACACCAGAAATGGGATCCACACAATGGACTGTTTCAGGATCCAGTCTTAGCCCGAGTCTTAGCTAAGCAAAAACAACCAAACTTAAGACAAATTTCGTGCTAAGCAATTTTCAGACTTAAGACACTTTCATGATCCCGGGGCCAGAAATGGGCTTCACAGCTATAGACAAAAAACAAGAGTGTGTGGTGTAGTGTGTGAAACCAGCCTTCAAGTTTACCCTACGTTCACGAAGACTCTCTGCTCCCTGTCGGAAATATAGACAAGGGGAAGTCCCAGCGGTATAGACAACGAAACCATATTATAAAGAACAGTGAATGTGGTGGGCGAGGCGGAGTTGGTCGGTGGGAGTAGGAGGGTGGGGATGGGTTTGGGTTGTCGGGTAGCCTCTTGGATAGAGCGTACGCTCGTAACTCAGAACATGGGTACAATGTGTGAAAGCCATTTCTGGCGTCCCCCCCCCGTGATATTGCTGGAATGCTGCTCAACGTAAAACCTATGTGCAGGGGTGCGCAAACACCGTTTGTTTTTCAAATGACCTGTGAAACTCTCATGGAAATAAAGTGTGCACTCCCCTTTTTCAAACAGCTGTATCCGCCCCTGGAAGCGTTGTTCATGATAACGATCAGTTTGTCTAACTGATTGTTTTTATCAGGCTGCCGTGATAATGTTAAAAGCACAGCCAACTAAACCATACCTGATAAACTCCAATGGAGAGGAGCACACGAGTTCCATGCCCTCCACATCAAGGTCAACATTCGCTCTGTACTTAACGCTGGGACGTTTCCGGTAATCTGGCAGACGCTGAATTGCCATTACAAATTCTGTTGTTGTCAGTCCCATAAACACGTGTCGGTCCACCTCTCCATCCTCTCGGAGCTGGAAGCACGGCGTTTCCAGGACGATGTCCGAGGAAATTCCCGGGTAGTCTCCACGTTTAAGCAGTTTTGCTACTCTACCGGATCTGTCATCTTTCCTCGCCTCAGAGTGTCCCCTGATGTAATGTTTTAAAAACTGGGTTGCGTTGTTTGTAAATTTGGTAATTCTGCTGTTCATGCTGTGCGTTGTCACATCACCGGAATCATTGTTGGTGGACTGTGACGTCATACCATTATGACGTCATATTCTATATGCTCAAGGTTCTCGCTGACGTAGAATGTTGTTACACCCAAACTCGATGATCTCCCTCGGGAGATTCCGGAAAACAACAGGTCCCTGGTATGCCCAAATTCTTCCCACAAAACCTTTTGATGATCAGGTCAGGTGAAATATTGTACGGCCACACAATTATTGGAAGGTTTATATATGATATTTTATCATATTAATTATAACAAATTACGACAAGGCGCTGGTACGTGCAAGGTATAATCAAACTAAGAAGGGTATCATCTATATGAAACACATCGTTTTGAACAATACTTTGATTTCTTATTTTTGATCCACCGATCAAACCTGGGACAATCTCATGCCATGGTGCACATCATATCTATGATTCAGATTCAGATTCTCAGCTGAAGACTCTTTACGAATTATTTTAAAGTCATGAATATACCTCATAACTATAAATATATGGACATTTCTGAAGTTACCATAATGAAAATTTTACTATGCTGAAAAGAGTCGCCGAAACAGTGCGAACTGAAGGTTTAAAACACAACTATGATTTACTTATCAAGTCATCGAATAACCACCGAAAACCAATAAAAGAGAACCGTTCCTGAGATACCAACATGGGTGTATATCATATACTGTTCTTTGCGTGTTCTTTCCAGTTGTGATATTTCAGGCGCGCCAACTCACAGATGCCAACCTCTCATCAGAGTGATTAAGTGAAGTGAAAGGCACAATAATTATGACGTCATTAATTCATGAGATGACATGACGTCATAATCAGAGTGCACACAGAAACCTCGGCATTCGTCAAGGTGGAATCCCTTGGCGATTGAAGTCACTTATACTGCCAAATCTCGGTAAGTTATTTTACATTAAATGTTATAAGTTAATTAGATTCTTAGGTACGCGTGTAAGAGTTTGAACAATCAGGTAAAAAGAAGCGCGTTGTCTAATTTGGAATGTTACAACGCCAGGTCTAATGATGAAAGCCGGTAGAGAGTCACCAAACAGACTATGTTCACACTTAGAAGTAGCCACCTAAAACTACACACAATCCAGTGTGCACCGTGATACTTATATGCCGATACATTTACAGTTTGCGATGTGTACTGTAAATAGTTCCATTGAAATTGTGGGAAATAATACTAATTGTTGGAAGTCTGTCTTACACATAGAAAATACGCATCAGTTACGTAAAGCAGGATCGTATCGCAGCTGATATATAAAAACACCAAAAGTGAGAAGATATACAACGTTTTAAAAATATTTTAGCACATATAATGCAACATATTAACGACTGGATATTGTGAAACAGGAGAATGTCACAAACTAACCATATTCCTGTATTAAAACCGCGAAGGTTACAATCGATAACGTGCATCTGACATAATCTGACATCGGACATAATCCAGGACCAGTATTTCTTATTGTGATGGGGAGATAGATCTAGTCGACCACATTTAAGGCGTTGATACCTTTATCTGCATCTACTGTCATCACTCACCACTATCAGATCATGTGTACAAATGGTAGTAGACGAACAAATTTGTCTTCCTCTTGTTAAACTTCACTTATGCCATCGATCACTTCGTCACACGAAGACGTGCTTCTGTCGAGACAGCGTCACTGAAGATGGCAATAACAGCGGCATAGGCAGTTTAACCAGTAACAGATTATCTCCAGTATAGGTATAAATATTGGCGACACTCACTCACAGACTGTTCTTTACTTGAATACACAAGGCCTTTTAGAAAGGGGTCAAATGTAACCTAGATTCTTTGAACGCCATTTAGATGTGATACACATAAAGGGAGAGAATTTATAGGATTATAATCCCTGGCTTCCACTTGTCCAGCCAATTTAGTGCAAATTAACTACTGGCTTCCCTAGTTCATATCCCTAGTTCCCTTATCTTATCACTGTCACTGTACGTATATAGCTGTATGTTTCCTAGTCTTTCATTCATCAAGGAATAAATCCCTCAAAATAAAGAAGCTGACATCCATAAATTCTCGCCTTTAAATGTAACATATGTTATATTTCGGATTACACTTTCTCAGTGAAGTAGGTATTCTAGTTCTTTTGGTACCATCTTGCAATGAGTGCTACGTTTTTGTTATGTGGGCAACTGGAATGGAAAATCATCTTAGATGTTTTTTTCAATAAAATATCTCATTGCTGGTGATACTTGTGGCGATATGTCTCGATGACCTAACGGGAAGTAAATATGGGAAGTGAAAGATAAACTAGAACAGTGACATTGCATAATCCACTGTAGATTCTATCAACCAGTTATACTACATGGCCCCGTTTCTCAAAGCTCACGTAAGCCTAAGGTCTCGTAACTTTTCTCGTAGCACTTATACCTACTAACATAGGCGGATCCGGAGTGTGTGTGTGTGTGTGTGTGTGTGTGTGTGCAGGGGTGCCCCCCTTTTGTCCTGAAAGCTTATTAAATGACCATCGAAACGCGGGTGAAAATGAAGTGTGCACCCCTCCTTTTCTCAATAGTGTGCACCCCCTTTCTCAAAAAGCTGTATCCGCCCCTGACTATACTGTAACAAAGGAGGTACGAATGCTACGAGAAAAGTTACGAGATCTTCGGCTTACGAGAGCTTTGTGAAACGGGACCCTGGATGGGTTGAGGGGGTGGGTGTGGATACGTTATTGTGAGAATGAGGACAATTGAGATTAATCTAAGTAAGATGAAAATAATGTATAAAACTATGGTCAAGAGGACTTAAATTTGGGAGGCTTGTAAGATCGTTCTGTTTATTGGGGCGTGGTCCTTAAGTTTGTGATATTCCCCTATTTCACATATTAATTATGTCGCATGTAACCTGATATAATATTTGGTTAAACACAGTTTTGAACAGTTGTTAATGTTTAAAGAACAGATAGGAGTGAGCGTGATTAGATTGAAATACTACAGGGCAAAACGCCTTCAAGTGCTTAAAGCTATGACATTGTTCTCAGAATTCTCTTGAAACGTTGATTACGTCATACTTTAACCTTGTTAATACAAATTCGTGGGGAAATACAGACATACAGATTATCCCTAGCTCGAGGCACGCGAAACGAGAAGAATGGGATAGAAACCTACGGTGGTTCCCTAATAGATTTGATAACGTGTTAATTGTCATTGCAGAGTATAAAAACTCTTTACACTAAACTTCAGTTACGTCGTCTTATATACAGTACAACCAGAAATTATTGAGAATTTAAGATTGTAATTTTTTTTCACTCATTACACGTATTAAATGTGAATATTAGCAGAACATAACTCCAGATTCAAAGACAGGTGAACAGTTAGTATTTTGTCAAGTCACCATGGGCAGCAATGCAGACTTCAATGCGGCGGGGCATACTACTGATCAAAGAAGTTAGAAAGTCGTGGTCCATGCTGTCCCAATATCGGACCACCTCTTCTTTCATTTCAGCAATATTTTTGTCAGATTTTTCTTATTGACACTTTCCTTCATAAGTCCCCAAACATTTTCTATTGGATTTAGGTCAGGGCTATAGCTTGGCCAATCTAATAATGTCATATTTTGGGTCCGAAACCAGGCCTGTGAATGCTTTGAACGATGTTTTGGGTCGTTGTCCTGCTGGAAAATCCAAAAATTTCCATAGAACACGTGAGCAGATGGAAGTAAATGTCCCTCGAGAATACCTGTGTACCGCTCACTGTTCATATTCCCTTCAAATACACAGAGGGGGCGTTGCCCCTAACACAGATATGCCACCCCACACGTTAAATTTCGGACTGTACTTTGGGCGCTGATACAAAGGTTTTTCAGTTTGTTTTGTCCAGACTGTCAGTGTATTAGGAAACAGCCACACAGAACTTTCATCTGAGAAAATCACATTGTCCCAGTTAAAATTTCTATGCTGTAAGCACCAGTTCAACCTTCGCTCCTTTTGTTCAGGTTTCATGATCTGTGATGGAATTCCTCGACTTTTCTGCCAACCCATTGCATGCAGCTCAGTTCTAATTGTCTCCTTACAGACAGCCACAGTTCCTCTATCAATCATATCCAGCCTTAGGTTTTCTAAACTCCTTCGTTTGTTTTTAGAAAGAAGCATACCAAGCCGCCTCCTGTCACCGACAGTCAATTTTCTGGGCCTACCTGGTGCTCAATGCCATATCCATTTGCAATATTTTTCAAAACACGATAAACAGTGGACAAAGGGTTGCCTGTTCTACTTGAAATCACTTTATCTGATCTGATGTCCTTGTTATAATACTCTAAAATCAACTTCCTCTTCTCTAAATCATCCATACTGAGGATCACTGAAAATGTCGTCTGCTAGCAAGTAAACAAAGGGGGATAACTCTTCAAAAACTAATGAAAAAGGATTAACGGAGTTGTCTCTCTTGAATGAAACCAAGCACTTGATAGCTGGTCAAGGTTGTTTATACTAGAAATCCAATTAAACATATTCCTAAAATTCTCAATAATTTCTGGTCATACTATAGCAAAGGAATGTTGTAATTGAAAACAATGGTCAACAAATGACAGCATGCGAAATTTACACTTCTTCCCTATAGTATGACCAGAAATTATAGAGAATAATTTCTGGTTGTACTGTAATCGCCATATCAAGTTAATGTAATCCCTGCATATGCCAATTCACATTCTTGTAGGGGTCGGGGGCTTTAGGAAGAAATACACAATATAGTGTTCCTTAGGAGTTCACAATACACAATATAGTGTTCGCTACACATGCTGGGCGTTCAGAAAAATAACGTAGTTACCTCCTGCACCTATATCGCCACCTTCACACATCGAGAATAAATCTGATCTTTTGTTTCACCATTTTGTTTCCAGTGCTGTTATTCATAACGTAGTTAGACAGAATACAATGGATCGAAACAAGGGTCCCCTCCAGAAACTGCTGCTCCTCGATGAATACAGCGACCTTGAAGACATCGTCCTTCTCGAGGCAACATTTGTTGAGCTGGACAAATGTGGCGATGCTGTACAGCAGGTCATCCTGGGACTGTCTCCAGACCATCTCCTACTAGGCAGACGACAAATTCTCAACTGGAAGGAAGACCCCGCAATCACCTCCAGCGTCGATGTCGACCTAGCAGTTGACGGGATGGAACTGAAGTGGCTCATTCCTCTCAGATCAGTTGACATCTCAACCGTTTCAGAAGATTTCATTTTGAAAGTGTCCGCAAGGCACTCTCGATCCCGTTATTTCGAGTTATGCACCGTGCGTGAGAGGGATTCAAGATGGAACAACTGGCTAGATCGGATCAAATATCTCCAGGATGATCCTTATGGCTACATATCACATCTGCCTCTCAGACAGGGGTCCTTGCTGTCGCTCACTAGCAGTGAATCGTCGTTGTTCCTCGGAAACTCAGTTGGGGACACGAACTCTCCGAAACTTGCTTTTGATCTGGACATGACGGCCTCGGGGGAGGGTCCCGCCATGGAGGAAAGCACATCCACCGCTGATGGTAAGGCTGTGTGTTTCTTTATTACTTAAAGAGGTGATATTGGTTTCGCGCCAAAAAGTAGTACTAGGACGGTGAATTCAAACTGAATGACAGGGTTTTACTTTCACAAAGAGAACTTCTATTGTGTTGGTCATAATACTCTTTAAGAAGGTGAGGTGAAATGGGGTTCAACGTCGTACTTGAGAATATTTCGCTCATATGACGACGTGCATGCGTGTATATGTGTGGTAGCTTGTACTAGCCCAGACTTAAGCTGGTTTAATAGTGCTAGCTCATTGAGTCAAGCATGAATACCCCACTCAGACACATTATACTGACTCCGAGCCGACCAGTCCTTGTTGCACCCATTAATGCTGAGCGCCAGACAGGGACCAACAAGTACCATAGTTTAACTTCTTTTGGTACGACGCGGTCGGAGATTGAGCCTACTCTTTAAGGATCATTAGACATTTCATTGAATGTGGCAGGAGAAATTTTAACTGACTCTTAGAGTTTATTTTTGATATTGCTGTAATTAACCGTCCATTCTCGAATGCTATATGTCATAGGAACATGTCCTTTGAACAATGGTGCATTTACTTCTACTGCTGCTGCTACAGCTATCACTATTACAACGTTCGTGCAGTTACAACAGTAGATAATGTAAATAGTAGACAATCTAGTGATTGTCAAGCGGATCGTTCCCCGGCAGTTGTAACACAATGATAGGCAATAAATAGAGGAACCAGACGACCCTGTAGATTAGTTGAGAGTTGCCAACCTATTCTCTGAAATCATGAAAATCCCTTCCCGCTCGGAATGTAGTCGCTTCTTATGACCAGCGATGAAGTACTAGGGAAACTTACTACCCCGTGTCTTCAAATAGCTGCAATATTGTTGATAACTTGATACCGCAGTAAAACAACAATCACACGCATAATTCTTGTACCGGTCATCGTTCATCCAGTTTCTCCAGCTGTTGTGATACGTTTGATGTGATGTTCAAAGCAACACCCATACATTGTATACTGCCATATTCATGACTTTTCGTGTTCCAGATGAGAAAGCGGAAAGGAATGAGTTGATTGGGGATCACAAGGACAAAGGCTCCAAAGGCTCCAAAAGGAAGAACTTTTTCCGCCGCTTCATGAAGAAATATAAATGCAAGGACATCGGCAAGCGAAGCAAGAGTAAAGGCTAAATAAACCATGTTATATTTCTTCAGTGTGGATGATCTTTGTGCAGGTCACGGGACTAGATTGGCAGCTAATGTCAGCACATGTCCTCTAGGAATGTGTTGCGTTCGACAGCAATATTCCAGTTATGTGAAGGCAGGCTGTGTAATATCGAGTCTAGGGCAGGCTGATGGCATGCAATATGATAGCAAAATGCTTACATCTTATACATCAACGATCACTTATGTCACCAATTGTGATTTAAGTCCTAGTCAATCGGCTCTCCTTACCACGACCACAGGGCAAACTGTACATGTCTGCACTGAGGTGAGGTGAAGTGAAATTGGGTTTAACGTCATACTTGAGAATATTTCGCTCATGTGACGAATCTGCACTGAAGTAACAAGGGGTGAATATGTCCACACATACAAAGGTTAAACAATGCCAGGGTTCAGTTTCCGGTTTGTACTAACATGAAACAATTTATTTTATTGACGTATTTTAGTCTCAGTCATGTTTTTTTACATTACAGTCCATGAATATGATTTACGAGCATGTTTGACCTATTATCGTTCATCAGCAAGTGTTACTGATTTCCCATGAGTCAGTGACTCATGATTGGCATGTCTATTTACAACACAGCATCTCATTTCAAACCTTTATTAAACCATTTCAATGTGAATTTAACATTCAACATTTCAATACACATAATTTTAACATTCATATATCATATATCAAATTTGAGAAAAAGGCCATTCAAGACCAAAATCAAAGCCATTTCAAATAGATATGGAACTTGCATTCTACTTGAATCAAATGATATATCAAACTGACAAATTTGTTTGCTAGCAACTGACACGTTCTTTCTCAAAGACACTAAAATAAGACAATGAACATACTCTCACATGAATATGTATAAACATACTGACCCAACATCTTCTACTACTACTCAATGCAGAATTGTAAAATAAAATTAAGAGATTTGTAGAAGAAAACATATTCAACAAAATTTCATTCACATATCATGAGAAATAATCAAAGTTATGTCATACATATTTTACTCTAGATTACACTAAAGTAAGAAGAATATTTAGCGATCCCCAGATTCAAATATTAATCTAGTTTACTGTGAAACAGAAACAACCAGTAAAGTAATGAATGGTCAAATCTTTTCACTTTTCTTTCTTTCAGGGATGAGAATGGGTATGAGTGAAACAGAGGAAAATGACCCGGGGGTGTTTCTCCTCAGACGATTCACAAGAATCACCCCAGTGAGCAAATCCATAGATCTGCGGAAAATTCTCATCCCTGTCTTTGAGTAATTTAATTCTATTGCTGATACAGAGAAAAGAAAGTCATATGCATTTGCAAAAATTATGAGAGAAAGGTAAATGTTAACTTTTTAATGAGATAATCCAACAAGCTAGCATAACACCCATTTCAAATCCTCCTAAGGAGGGCACTCACAACAATACCTGCCTCGGTCTCCGTCTAGAGGACCTTAGCATAACAACATTCGCTCCAGTCCCTGAGGAAGATCTTAGCATAACAACACTCACATCAGTCTCCATCTAGAGGACCTGATCATAACAACAACATCTGCTCCAGGTCTCCCCATGGAGGACTGGAACGTAACAACACCTGCTTCAGTCTCCATAAAGAGGATCTGAGCACCTGAGCAACATCCACTTCATTCTCCCTAAGGACGACCCTAGCACTGAAACAATTACTGCTTACGTGTTCTCAAGGACAACCTTAGCACTGAAACAAAACCTGCTTCATTCTCGCAAAGGAGGACACTCACACCAAACTAACACCGGTTTCATTTATTCAGCATCTTTAGTCATTGGTGCAGATTACTGACAAATTATATATCCAATGTCCTCCTTCATTGTGTACATGCAGGCTATTTAGACAATGATTTTAATGTCTTAGTTTTAGGTCCCTGCTGATGATCTTTCAAACATCAAAAGCATTTTCATCTTCTTCTAAATGTTATATTCTCCATGGTGCCATGTGCAGTAGTCCTCTAGCACCCTTCAGGAGCGACAACAAACATTCAGAAACGGAGTACCCTTTCTTCACGTCAATAAATAGGAACAATAATGCTGACCAAATGTATCCAAGATAATCCGAAAACACCATCTCACACTTGGTTATACCATGCCAATATACCATTATTCGGAATTATCAGAGGATACTTTGGCCCAGCATCGTAACTATGGTAACAAGCATCAACAATAACAGTATGACACCAGTGTCAGCTTAACAACTCAATGTCTCATCCATTACCCCCCAAAAATAATAAGATAACAGGGTACCGGGTTGGTGTCTAGTCAAATGTCTGCTGATTCTAGTGAATATACAAACAGATGGTGTCAGTTATCATATGTATTTAGTGGAGATTGGCAATATGAACAATTAAAATTACTTAAACTTGCATAATCTACTCCAAAGCACTATTTGTTTATGAAAACACTGAAAAGTGTTCATTGTATTTCAGTCTCCATACATACAGGTTCACAGGCAAGATTTTCTCAAAGTGAAATGCCATTATTCATGATTATTTCTCCTCTTATGAATAATGATCAATCACTCAAGAAAACCATAATGTCTATTGCAGATTACAAGCACTACATTTCTGTTCATATATCTTATATTGTTAGATACAGTACTAGAAAGTTTGATACCTTTTTATAGTTCCTGCAATATCAACATGAAAAATACCCAGCATATTATGCCAGTATTCCATGACATGATACCCATCGAAATCAAAACAAAATAACATATTATTGTAATTGTAATTGCAACACAGAAAATGGACAAAGTCTGATTTTTTAAATTAATTTTCCCATCAGTGATAGATGGTATAAAAATACTATTATCCAGTCTTTAGTCTCATTATAAATAGTCTTTATTACTATTTCAGGCCAACTAAAATTAAAATGCCATTACTTTTCTAAGACCAGTACAGCACCTTTTACACTATTTGCCATGATCGTATTCCATTCTGAAACATTTTCTTCCAATAACCGCTATACCATGGCCATTTCCTTCTTGTCTGCAAACTGATAAACACAGAGGCTTGTTCTGGCACCCAAACTCCCTCACAAAGAAAGGTTAACAGATTATAAACCAATCTACTTCACACGATTGTAACATCATTATATAAAAGCTGATTCACATTACAACTAAAACATTATGTGAGTAAGCTTCATCTCTGGGTGTAAGCTGTTACAGCTGTGGGTGACTGACTGGAGCTGAGGAGGACGTCCTTCTTGATGATGTTGGTGATGTTCGGCACTATCTGTGAACTCTCAGAGCCCGAATAGTTGTTGCTTGTGGTATACTAGCCACATAAAGAAACTGTGCATTGTCAAAATATTATCCCAGTTGATAAGTACGATAACAATGTCAAAGGTACATATAAACTTTAATGGAGGGATCATGAGACCATAACAAGTCGGGAGAATTTCAATTGAAAAGTCAATCACAATGACGTCACGAGTCCACAAGCGGGACAGGGGTCAAACGACCATGTCACAAGCTCAATAACAGGTATGTCCACCATCGGCATTGAGAACAGCAGTGCATCGACGACGCATAGAGCCTATCAAACGTGCAAGGAAGGCTTGTGGGATGTCACGCCAGATTCTCTCAAGTTCTGTTGCAAGGTCAAGGACGTTATCTGGCGGATGAGGAAGACGGCGTAGATGTCGATCCATCTCGTCCCAAACATGCTCTATCGGGGAGAGATCCGGTGAATTTGCAGGCCAAGGCAGTAAGTCAACGTTGTGGTGTTGCAAGAAATCCATAGCAACCCTTGCCGTATGAGGGCGGGCATTGTCCTGTTGGAATGTTAACCCAGGGCCATGACGTTGCAGAAAAAGGAATTGCCACAGGTCGAAGAATCTGATCCCTGTAGCCCACACCAGTTAAGTTGCCCTGAACAATCACCAAAGGAGTTCTTTGGCGTGCTGTTATTCCACCCCAAATCATCAAGGAACCACCACCAAAGCGATTCCTCTCCAAGACACAGGCCTGTGCATAACGTTCTCCCACGCGTCTATAGGCACGTTGACGTCCATCACTATGGGAAATGTTAAACCTGGACTCATCTGTAAAAACAACATTTCTCCACCAAAACAAGGGTCTGCGGACATGATTTCGGCACCACATTCGGCGAGCTTGTCGATGACGTTGTGTCAGGATAGGCCGTATGGCGGGACGTCGTGGTCTGATCCCGTGATGACGTACACGTTGTCGAACTGTGTTGGGGTGGATACGGCGAAGTCCTGGGATGGTTCAGGCAGTCATCACTGCAGTCTGAAACCTGTGGCGAAGATGGGTCACCCTTATCCATATGTCCTGTCTTGGCGTTGTTACACGTGGACGTCCAGAACGTGGCCGATCGATGACGTCATTTGTGTTCTGGTAGCGTCTCACCAGTGCAGAAATGGTGTTCGGTGGCAGTGGAAATGTGCAGCCACTTGTCGTTGAGACATTCCCCCACGGACCATCCCAATGGCCTCATGACGTTGTGCAGACGTGAGCCTTGGCATGCTATGCGTTTCAATAGCCGTTTAATTTTTTTGAACGATCGCAAGGGCAGGGGTTGAGCTTTCCAAGTGACAGTATTGTGTGGCATTCATTTGCTCTGTTTCTCTTTCCCGGAATGCACGTGCAACAACGTATTGCACGTCTCAAGGACGAACCCACTGACGTCACGGAACGTGGCACGTGCATGCATGTTGGATACATGTCACTAATCTCTGAGTTTAAATCCTTATGTGTCTACACAGGTTTGATAAATTTAGATTTTAAATTTTTGTATGCACAGTTTCTTTATGTGCCTAGTATATTTGGACATTTGGCACATCTTGGAGATTCCTCTTGAAAATCCCAATCTTTGAAGCTGCAACGTCAAATTCAGCATGTCCAATAACCTGTCTATCTTTATGAAACATGATTTACAATATTTTACTTGTAAATGATTTGAATACAAGCCATTTAAGAATTACAGAATTTATCTCCTCATAGTAAACATATCTGAAGGTGTTCACAAAATGCATTCATTACTCTTTCGTAATAAAACTAATCATAGGGTTAGGCATGTAGTAGTACAGCTAGTTTGAAGTGTACTTAGCTAACTGTGTTTTTGGTTTTGGTGAAAAATGAAACAACCACAAAGCCACCCACACCAGACATAGAAACTTCCTTTGACCAAGACAGAAATAGTTAAATCTCAGTCTTTGGTTGTCCAAATGTTAACCTTTTCCTCGTCAAAGAAACTTGGTAAGAAAGCAATACTTATTTTCAGAAATCAAGGTGAGAATTAAAGATAGCATTTGTGTGTGTCTTGTTTAATGACACACTCAGCCATTTTCCAGCTACATGTGTGGCAAAAGGTAGTACATATGTGCGTGTAAGAGAATAGTACCATCAATGAAATGTGAAGAGTCTAGTGGTTTGACATCAAGCTCTTGTAAATCATCACTAAGCCCTGAGCTGGAATTGGAATCCTGACTCCCTTCCAAAGCAGCCAGGGTAGCAAGGGTTTCCTTGTCATCACTGGACATATCGTTCCACATCTGGGAGACTGTGATAGCAACTGATGGCGAGGCAATTTCAGTCCGACTCATGTGTTGTTGCAGCATCTCGGCCACTTGCCGATAGAACAAGAAATACCTGCAGTGGAGTGATTCAATAATGCACTGTCACTGTTATGCTTGGCTGCCTCTTTTTTTAATGTTAGCATTGTCTAGTTGTTTAGGATTAATTTATTAAAGGTTTCATATAGTCTGTTTGCAGTGAAAACGTACCGATGAATTTCACTTTAAACAAAAAAGTAAATTGAATAAAGTGAAATTAAGATTGTGAATTCTCATAATTTTACCTTGCCAATTGAATATTTACATCTCAGAATTTTATTCAACTTAAGATAAAAGTTGATCAAATGATCATAGGTTCATAGCTATTATTGGTTTGTATTACAGCGGGGTATGCACATTAAATGAAACACCGAGAACAAGTATGGTTGGTCTAAGTTAACGCTCATCACATACCGCATGTGCATTTGTTTCACTGTTCCAGCTGCTTCACTTATGCCCTTGAATAAAATTCTCAGATTTAAATGTGTAATTGGCAAGGTAAACTCATGGGGTTCGCAATCTTAATTTCACGTTATTTGATTTACTTTTTTGTTTAAAGAATTCATCGGTACATTTTCACCGCAAACAGACTATAAGTACGCATAATGTCAACTAAATACTTCGTCAGTTAGAAAAATAGAATCAGACTCACTACCTCATCTGGAATTGTTAAAAGTGGAAACCAATATTTCCAATTGAAATAAAATGATTTGAAATACTCTTTACTAACAAATTTTCATGACAGAATTACTGGAATCATCTGGTAGTTTTAGAGGGATTAGAATAACTTGCTGCACATCTTAGTGTTATATGATTACATTGACTATCAGGGCCAGATCTTGTTATATATGTTTGACAAATACAAGCTATGCCCAAAACTCTATAGTTATAAGCCTGAAGAATTATCAATATGTCATTTTCAGTAAATGTTTGTGTTATTCTTTCAACAAAACTATTATTATCTTAGCTTAATAAAATGAACAGTATTTTACTTGACTCTGACTTAGGACTAGTAGGCGAAGTCCCATTAAAGAATGTGTTTTTTTAAGTAGCATATTATGATTCATTTTTGATCTGCACATTTGCCTAACTAAACCACCATGAAGAATCATAAAATCTTGTCCATGCAAGAAATGTAGTAAGTAGATAAATCAACTGAAGGATGTCGTTGTAATATAGAAAAAAATGCATGACATGACACCTCCTAACAGACAAACAGTACTGCAAGTCTGAGTGATACACTGATGCATCTTCATCAAAGTCAGACTTGATTCCCACATCATTACATCTAGAACTAATTATATTCACAAAGGGACACCAGATGCTTACTTCTCTAGGTTCTTCCTACACTTTGGAATCCTGTCTCTGGATTTCCTCGTCTTGTTTGTCCCTTTGCCAAAAGCACTGCAACATATAGAATATAATCATCAATGTATAATGTCACTATCATACACAGAGAGCACAGATGGTCCCATTGTCTAAGGCATGCCTGAAGTATTAAATTTGAACACTTGTTCACCTTGATTATTTTTTAACATCTCGACTATGTTTCTAGCTTTGTCAGCACAATACCAGTATTCAATGGTCTCGCCCAGAGAATAAACTCTTCTTGTAACAAGCAACTCACTCATTCATTTACTAAACTGTGCAAAACACAGAAATATTTTGAACTTGAAATATAGAAAAACCCAATCAAATCAATATTTTCTTAAAATACACTAAAATAAAACTTTCAATAATACTTTTCCAGATAAGATCACACCATGTTATTTAAATTTTGCACCTTTATCAGAGTCTGAAAATCTGAATCATTTCTCCCCAAAAGAAATATGGTATTCCTTCATGGAAGTTATGTGTGTGATGACATGGATCTTTCTACAGAACAGTATACAGGAACTCACATCTTTCTCTTGCACTGGTCCTTTTTACCCCCTTCTTCCACAGGAGATGTTTGTTCACAATGTTTGATCTTATCAGGTGTCCTAAAGCAAACAAAAAATATCATCAATGTTATGAAGTTCCCATAGTGTTGTTATATAATTCACTCCCATTCATAAAGGTAAGGGATGACATTATATCAGTTTGTTTTCTAGAATACAGACTGTCATCCAAAATGTCCTGAAGATTCTAATGTTTTGGGGGGAAAAGATATAAAAGAATGTTTTATCAAAAGCTGATGAAATTATAGAATTCCCTCCCGCCAAATTACAGCAAGCAGACAAAGAAAATTCATAGTTTAGGGTACTCTGATCAGTGACATTAATCATACATTAACAATCTAAGAAAGGGAATGTATTGTAAAATTAAAATGTAATTTTTAGATTAAAATTGATATTTTATACTTATCCTGACTCATGAGGTAAGCCCTCCCAACCTCCCCTCATGGCACTCTGGATTCCCTGTAATCCAGGTGTCGAGCGCATAATCAGGAGAGAGTGAGGGGCATGTCCAAACACGGTTTCCCGCCTAAAAGAGTCACAAGGGAGATAACACTGGGTGAGTGATTTTACGTCCGCTTTTTTAAGGGAGCTTCAAAAGGGGATTCAAGTGTTCCACTATCATTCGCAAGAAGAAAGAGACAAGCAATTAAGCATGAGTCAGGATAAGTATAAAATATCAATTTTAATCTAAAAATTACATATTTTCCCTATCCTGACTCATGCTTAATTGCTTGTAGAATCAAACGGAATCGGTGGTGGGTCAAGCCACTCTGGATTCTATGCTGATTTACGTCCTGTATAACCCCCTAGGGAACTTCTTAAAGTATATACTGATCCTTCCTTCCAGCTTCCTCTGATGAGTTTGGGGGGACCACAATATGTCAGATTTTCTGGAACCGCTTCTCCTGACAGTAAAAGTGGATTTATACGACTCCATGATTGATTTCCGCATCAATGGAGAAGTGACCCTTCTTCATATACGAGTAAGTTCTTACAAGTATAGGGTCTGTCACTCATGCTAGCCTATCTTTAGACGTGCGCACGGACTCTAAGCTTCAACTCTCTGAGTGTCAGCTTTTTACAAGTCATGTGATAAAGGGTGAGATTCATCTCAGCGTCTTTGAGGAACCGTCAATTGTTGTGCTACAACAAGAGGCCCAAACTGGTGGATACCAGGGACATCCTCGGTAGCAATGTCTCTGAGGTAGTGGTTGGCAAACACCGTCTCCGACTTCCAATAGCAGCCTTCCATTATTGTTGAGATTGAGTAATTTCCATGTAGAGCAAGAGTCGACACCAGTGCTCTTACTTCATGAGGATTAGAGGCTCATGGTGGCTCAAGTCCTGCTGCTTTATAGGCTTTTAATATGACGGCTCTCATCCATATTGATATTGTTGTACGTGAGACTTCTGTAGGTGTCTCCGTAGATAAAGGGGTGAAAAGGCGCTTGAATTTTCGTCTCCTTATCTTATACCTTTGTAGGTAGATTTGTAATGCTCTGACTGGACATAAGGATAGATCCTGAGTATCCTGTGGTCCAAGGACTGACGAAAGTGCTGGGATGTGGAATTGCCTGTCTGGTTGACCGGGCAATTGGTTCTTTGCTATGAAGTCCCATCTCAATCCCAGATGTATGATGTTGTGATGTGCATCAAATCGTATTCGTTCAAAGTCTAGAGCATGTATTTCTGACATCCGAGCAACTGTTGCCAAGGCGACCAGGAACAGAGTTTCATGTGTTAAAAACTCATAGGATGTCCTTCCTAGTGGTTCATAAGCATCACTGGTGAGATGCTGTAAAACTACGTTGAGATCCCAAGCAGGTGCTTTGAATTTCTTTTGTTGGTCTTCCAACTTAAAGGAGCGTAGTAGTGATAACTGTACTGAGGGCCGCTAGGTATGTAGATAGTGTTGAACCTTTTAACTGTCTTGTTTGTCTTAGATGACAAAGATATTCCCCCACTTGTGGATGTGTAGCTTCCATTGCCGTGAAACCCTTCTTTAAGGCGTATTTCTCAAAACTCTGCCACTTGTCGTCGTACAAGCTGCGAGTTGATCTACGTAGAGCTAGTGTCACTGCGTTCGCTGCTCTGGCGGAGTATCCTCTTTTCTTCAAGCAAGTTTTAATACGTTCCATGCGTGTAGCTGGAATACTGTTGGGTTGCCGTGTGTGCTTGCTTGGTGTCTTGGATGAATTAGTAGGTTCGCCACTGTGGAAGTTGTAGAGTTGGATTCGAGTTCTTGAATGTGGATGGGAAACCATACCCTCGCTGGCCTGTAGGGCTCGACCAAAATCAGTTGCAGGTTCTTTGTCTGCTTGATTTTCTGCAATACCTGCGGTATTAGAGTTGGAGGTGGAAACGCATATGCGTTTATTCCTTCCCATGGGATGCTTAGAGCATCTGTTGCCCATGCTTGTGGATCCGGAATCGGAGAGACGAATGTTGGTATTTGTTTGTTGAACCTTGTAGCAAACATGTCTATTAGTGGAGATCCTATCTTTTGTATGATGCATCTGAATGCTTCTGGGTGTAACATCCATTCCGTCTGGGATGGTTGTGTTTGCCGAGATAGGGCGTCTGCTATCACATTCTTGGCTGCGGGAATGTGACATGCTTTCCCGTCGATGTTCAAGTTGTCTGTTATGCTGAACAGATGAAAGCTGAGATCTAGTAGATTCCTTGATCTTGTTGATCCTTGTTTGTTGATGTAGAACGCCACTGTGGAGTTGTCTGTGTGGATCATCAGTTGTGCGGTCCTTAGTATGCTGGACCAGTGTAGTAAGGCTTTTATGACTGCTTTCATCTCGAGCATGTTGATGTGTAGACTTTGCTCCTGGCTTGACCATTTTCCTGCTGCCACTTTGTTGTCGAGGTGGGCTCCCCATCCTTGGAGTGATGCATCTACATAGAGATGAGTGTTGTACTCCGGCTCTGATAAGTAGGTTCCTCCGCAAACATTCGACCTTCGTGTCCACCATAGGAGATATGGTTTCAATCCATCCGGTAGTCCGAACTGTCTAGATGAGCGTTCACAAACACTTGTAGTGGGCGCAGTTGTAGTCTTCCTCTGCGTGTCATGTCTTGTGCTGACGTGAGGAGACCGAGTAGGCTCTGCCTATTTCGTAGTGGTAACGGAGAGAGTAGTGCTTGAGATATCATCTGTTGTAACTTGACCCAACGCTCCTCTGGGATGACTATGCGATACTGCGATGTGATGAATCGTATTCCTAGGAATTGCAGATCCTGTGTGGGTTGTAGTTCCGATTTGAGGAGATTTACTAGCCATCCTAGTTGTGTATGTAGCCTGATCGTGAAGTCTAATTGCAGTCTGAGTTGACTGGGATCTTGATGTGCTTGAATCCCGTCGTCCAGGGAAAACGCACTGCGTAGACCTCGATGATGTAGATAGGCGATGATTGGCTTTGTCACTCGAGTAAACAACCAGGGGGCCGACGATATTCCAAATGGTAGCACCTTCCATTGGAAGTGACGTCCGTTGAAAAAGAATCGTAGATATTTCCTCGAGTCCAGATGTATCGGGATGTGAAGATACGCATCCTGTAGATCTATGCTTGCGAGGTAGTCTAATGGACATATGAGTTGTCGCAGTTGAGGCAAATGTATCATTCTGAACTTTGCGGGGCTGCATAGATAATCTTGGTTGAATATCCTCACGTTGTATATAAGTCGGAACTTTTCCTTGGAATTTTCCTTTGGTACTAAGAAGATTGGAGAGTAAAACCCGGGTGTGATGAATTCCTGTTTTATTTCTTCGATCGCCTCCTTCTCGAGTAGAGTTGTGATGGCGTCGAGTAAGTTCTCCCTCTGGTCGGCGGCATAGTTGTGGCCCAGAGAGTTGCTTGTCAATGGTGGTACTGCTTTTAGTTGTATCTTGTATCCTCTGCGTAGGATCTGGGATACGTAGTCGTCCTGAAGAATTCCCCAATTCTTCCAGTAGCGTTGTAGACGTCCACCAACTGTTGAAGGTTGTATGGGAACGGCTGAGGATGGAAGACTCCAGTCGTTCCGAACCCGTCCTTCAGCGTCTAAAGTTTCTGGTACCTCTGGATGCCCTGCCTCTTCTGGGGTTACCTCTGGATGCTCCAGTTGGGCGACGAAAAGAATCCTTGCCTCCTCTGGTGTTGCCGTATTTCTTTTCTTTGGCTATTTGTATTCCTGTGAACTTCGACTTTCCGGAATAGCGTTGTGAGGTCTGACGGATAACACTAGCTAGTGTGTCGATGGACTTGATCATCATTACCTCCCTTGATTCTTTGGTTACTTCCTTGGCCACGTCCTCAATTTCCCCTGCGAAGATAGATGATGCTGACCACGGAGCTCTGTATAGTGACTTGGTGAAGCGTTCACTCCACCTACAAGAAGACAGTAGTCCATGTCTTCTTAATAGTGTCAATCCTGCTGATGTAGAGGCCAGATGTTCAGACATGAACTGATGATCTTTCTTCTGTGTTAGTAATGCTGAGTAGATCATTCTATCTTCTTCCAAGGTCGAGTTTCTAAACTTGGCGATGAGAGTTTCATTGATAGCTCTTGACCTGGCTAGTCCAAAGAAGGTACGTCTGGTAGTTGTGTCTAGTTGTGCCAACTTCTTGTCTTCAACTTTGTAAGTCCTGGCTCAGGAGTCGTTGATGATCTTGTAATTCTCGTCTATTTCTGGGGCCTTCATAAAGGGTTCCATATGGTGAAGAGAGAACTTCTTAGCGTTGAATGGTGGGACGCTCTGACTCTGGAATTTCGTTGCCTTCTTGAAAGCTGTGCTGAGATTCCCTGGTACATCTGCGACCGGATCGATGGGTGGAAGAGTAAGTGTGTCAAAGTTGTCGTTGTACATCTTGTATGTAAACGCTTCATTATCCTCTTTAGAGTTTGCGGATGCTTCCTCCTTTGTGAGTGTCTTCACACATGCTTCCGTGAGTGCACTCGAGCATGCCTGTGAGTGCTCTTGTGCAGACTGCTGTCATCAGTGGGCTGTGATCTGCTGACTGCTTTCGATGTAGACGGGGCCTCTGTCGCTGCTTTCTCTTGTGCGAATCTTTGCTCCATCAGGTCCATCATCTGCTGCGTAAACTGCTACATGAAGACCCCAGGGTTGAAATTCTGCAACAATGCTGCTGCTGCTGTAGCTGCACTGTGACGCACTGTGTCGAGTGTCGAGGCTTCTCCCCCGGACTGCGGTACTTGTGACGAACTGCCATCTCTATCTGATGTCTGCGTTGTGAAGACTGCTGCTGTTGCCGTAGATGAAGACCTCGTCTTCTTCCTCACTGGCACTTCAGGGATGAGGATGGGAGGCTCATCATAGACGTCTACTTCATCTGCTGGGATGATCTCAGTAGCAAACGACCTCGTCTGAAGTGCTGCCCCATGAGAAGACTTCGCTGGAGTCTTAGTAGACGACTTCTTCTGGGAAGACGATGCCCTCGTCTTCTTCGACTGCGATGATGCTATCGTTGAAGTAGATGACCTCTTCTTAGAGCCGGAGCTGCCATCAGACACAGCGACCTGCTCCGTAGACGCAGCCGGTAAACTACTAGAATGGTGAATGTCAGTAGGCAACAACAAACGGTTATTAACGCAATCATTTGGTTTAGACATGACTTGAGAAAGTCGTCTACTCCTGTCCTTGGCACGCCTAAAAATGGAATATAAATAATTATTAAATTGAACTTCAATTAAATGCTGACAAAACTGACAGCGAAAGCTGGAAGAACATGGAGAAATACAATTAGGACATATTAAATGTGGATCAGCAAATGACAATCGGAGTCTACAACGACTGCAAGATTTCATAAAAAATCACCATGATGAAAACACATGTCAACAACGTTAACTAATACAGATAATTTTGATCAAATTTCAAACCATATTGTTGGTATATCAATCCTAAAACCTTAAACAGCTAATTTAGTAGCAAGGCCTGAAGGTTTAAAGGATATAACGCCGTATAGGGGGCCCAGGCACTCTCACAACCGTCCTCAAGGGCGAAGAAGGAGAGAGTGAGGGGCATGTCCAAACACGTGACATGGTTTCCTGCCTAAAAGAGTCACAAGGGAGATAACACTGGGTGAGTGATTTTACGTCCGCTTTTTATAAAGGAGCTTCAAAAGGGGATTCAAGTGTTCCACTATCATTCGCAAGAAGTAAGAGACAAGCAATTAAGCATGAGTCAGGATAAGGAAAAATTAGGAATTTACTAAGGCTGGGACGATACACTATGTAACGATAAGTTACATATCCCGATATTTTACCTGCGATGCGATACATATCACGATACATACACCTTGAAAGAATGACACGGTATCAAGATTCAAAATGATTTATTTCAAGGTATTTGTGTTTAACAATAACACTATTGTAATAAACAAACAAGTAACTCCATCATACTTGCATATTTTTCTTTAAATAAGTACTGTAACATGTTTAAGATAATACTGTTTTGAAAAAAAAGTTGTGTATCGATACACCAGTCCACGATACGATAGCTGTATCAAACTTAAATGTATCACGATGCATTGGTGAATTGTCCCAGCCCTAGAATTTACCTGTTTACAGTTTACACCTGGGAACTCATGTCACTAATTTTTTTTTAAATGTTATACTCTGTGGAATAAATGAACATGATCTACAGTCATTAAATAATGTTACTAATTTAGGACTGTAGTATTTACACAAATTCATGCTTAAATATTAGACTTGTCATACTTGTTCTTTCATAAGATAAAAAACATAATCTGAAATGTTAGTCACTCTACGGATATGATATCTTACACATATGCAATAAATTTGTCAAAAATAAAGGGCAAATATACACACACAGAAGATATTTGATTGGCATTTTGATTTTGGTTGCTGGTATGCTTTGTTCATTTGTTATAAACACCTCATTCAGCAATATTTCATGTGTTCCTGTTTTAAGAGTGACACCTATCAAAAATAATGATAAAACAGACGTGACACTTAATCTGACCACCCATTTATTTGTATTGCCTCTTATGACCTGCAGTGGTTGGTCTTGAACCTATCGTACTGTGGAATGGGTTCAGTTCCCATGAGATATGGGTAGGCAGTTAAGCACTGCTAGATGACTGAGCAGATTGTACAACATACCTCTCCCAGTCTGGCACACCAGCATCATCATCAGAAACCATTTCAAAAGTCTCGAAACACAGAAGGCTCTTGGTTTCCTCATCTCCAGATTCCAGACAGTCACCATCACTCTTTGGAGTCTGGCGAAGATAGACAAATGAATTAATTACATCGGTGGTCATCTTGTTTGCCATCCCAAAACCAAGGTTCTGAAAGAATTCTATCCAAGAAAAGACTATAAGGTATTTTTTCTTTAAATTTTCAGATCAGACTTCAGACTTGACAGACACAATCAGAATGTTTCTAATTATTACTATTCATTCCCCCTTTTTGGGTATTTGATATGTAAAATGAAGTTGTTTTTAGTCAAACTGGTTGTACTCCTTGAAGGATTAGAACATTATCAATACAAACATTTTTGTATAAATTCTATATAAAAATGAACATGTCTTGTAACAAGTCTGACAACTGCAAACACAATACCACGTCAGACAAATAAACACTTCCAGCTAATTTTCAAAATCTATTAGAGCAAAACAACTATATAATGTAATATTGAGCTACAAACTTTTAGTTGACCATTAACATTCCTAAGATTGATTTGCAAAGTTACTGTAAACCATATTATAAAAACACACAAAAAAAAATAAGCTTGCATAAAAAGCCACTTGCAAACTCCAATTATCATACAACAACAAACCACAAAATATCCCCACTTATGCCAAGCAATGATACTCTGTCCCATGACTTGAAGTGGGTGTTAGTCTGTTTAAAGTAAGACAGTGGTGGTTGAAAATGTATAGATCCATCCATACCTGAGGTGGGTATGAATTCCTCTGGAATGCTGGAGTGAGGCCTTGTGCTGCCTGAATGGTGGGTGTTGCCTGTGTCACTTGATCATGGGGGAGACGGAAGGGCATGGTGCCAGGCTCTGGCAGGAGCTTGATGGGCGTGAAACCAAACACACTTGTCATCTCACTCATCTTGTCGTGGTGACAGGATGGTCTCAGGGTCGGATCATCCTCACTGGTGAACTCAAGCTGGAAAATAGAAACCACATTTATAGATGAAAGTAAGCTTATGGATAACTGAGACAAAAATCTTTGCCATTTTCCCAAGACTTTTGTAAAACTTAGGATAATTACTTAATTTGGAAGACATCTTCTGGGCCCAGTTTCACAAAGCTCTTGTAAGCCTAAGATCTCGTAACTATTCTCGTAGTTATCGTACCTCCTATACTGTAACATTGGCTTACAATAGTCGTAGCCCTACGAGAGCTTTGTGAACCGGGCCCAGGCTAGTTGTGAAGGTTCAGCTTTGGGGAATATTAACACAAATGTAGCGGTGATTGATGCCTTTGTATTTTCTGATACAATCAGGGACAGTTCATATATTATAAGACAGATTTGCAGTCTTGTGACCCTCATATTTTGCTCACCTCCCTAAAATAAATGTTCAGTCCCTAAATAATAATATATTTTGTAATTGTTATATTTTGTAAAAATAGAAGTGTGTCATTCTTTGTCCATGCCAACCCAGCATACATTTAGTAGGTGTGATAAGTTTGCTGGTGACACCTCCACCCATCCCTCCCTCTTATGCCGTGTCATATTCTCACATTTGAATCTATAAATGTATAATCCGTACCTGTTTGGTAACCTTGCTGAAGCGAGGTGAAGTGATCTGTGGTTTGGTGTCTACCCTGTGGGGGTTGGGGTTCATGTAGACAGGAGTGTTGAAACCACACTCAACCACAGGACTAAACAGCTCCTCATTCCCATGGTAACACAGCTTACTCGGAGTACTGAGAGGGACATCGTGTGACATGTCATACTTGTAGTCAGGACGAAGAGCTATAGATGGAAGCAGGTCTGCATTAGGGACTCTTTCACAAATGACGGGGATATTTTCATGGGTCTCGAAGTCATGAATGTTGACAGAGTGAGAATGTTTCCTCTGCTTCTTTGGACAGGGGGTGGAATGTGCCTGGGGCTCCTCGTACACCTTGGTTGATTCCTTTGTCAAAATTTTAGCTTTTCTCCTGACACAAGCCTATACATAAAAAACGTCCCCATAAATATTCAACCAACAAGTCACAACTAAAAGTCTCATGTGATGAGTTATGGAACATAAGCTTACACTTTAACTTGGAAGTAATAGGTGAAACTTGTTAAAATATCAAACTTTATCCAAAAAGCAGGAAGGCAGGAAATACAAGAAGGAGAGATTCTATATTCGGATACCAGAATGATTAAATTTCAGTTACATTGACAAGACTGAAAACTCTGTTTCCAAATTTCCATTTTGTTATAGACAAGGACATTCACCTCTTTCCCCTTGTCCTTGCTGTTTCCTGTCTTGCTGGCCTTGTCTTGAACTCCACCACCAAGGGAGATAACAGTAACATTGCTTGGATCAACGGACATGTGGAGAATTTGTTCCTCTATGTCTGCTAGCATACTGTAACGTCGACGACCTTGTGTTGATCTGCAGCAATTTGGATTAGGCTAAATGTTGATATTCAAGTACATGTAATAGCAAAAGTCTCGATATTTGTTCAATATGCAAAAGTTTCAGTTTGAAGATTTTGGACTCCCAGAAAGACTGATAAACCCTCCGTTAAAATAGTTTGGGCAATGCTTTTGGATGCAATGGCTATTCCACTTATATTATATGGTTGTGGGATATGGGGTTTTGAGGACTTAAGTAGTATTGTGAAGGCACATTTAGATTTAGTGTAAACCTCTTTTATTAAAACAAGTAGTCTGTCTACGATACAAGGGGAGCTTTGAAGAACACCTCTCTATATACAAGTGTGCACTCATATAGTAACATACTGAGCTGGAATTTTATTAGGAAACATATCTAAAATTTTCATACTTGTTGTATATATTGCTTTTTTAAGATCATTATTTGTCAATAAAATTAAATGAGTAAATTTCTATATAGAATCTATCTTTACAAAGAACATAGTCTAATGTACATTTGGAATATCAAAATTATACTTTAGTTTAATACTTTGTGGAAAATGGTGATGGGAATACTTAAAGATCACTCTGTCCAAACCTAAGTTTCTGATGTTTATAACTCTAGCAAAGCTAATACATACAGAAATAGTTGTTAGAACTGTATTGTAGTAAGCTTTGTGAAAGCCAGTGGTATCCACTTATTCAGTTTCAGACATCATGTCAGATTGCCAGTTGAAATAGGTAACTGAAATAATATACCTCTAATCAAAAGAACTTGGAATCTATACCAGAGTAACTTTGTTGGTGTTAAATACCATGTACTTTTGTGTTGTGATTACTTTAGTGAATCTAGAAAAAAAACTGTTGTCATGATACTTTATTGTTAACACAAACTTGTTAACATTCCCTACTCTAGAACCAATCTGTGTTTAAAAAGTTAAGTAAACCTTGTTCTCTACAAAAACAAAGCTATCAGTCCTCTAGCTAAACAAATACTTCCCTGTACCTATTAAACATTGTTTTGACTTAATATATGCCAATTGTACACATAAATAGCCACATGCACTGCTATCATGCATGCAGCATTTTGAAAAACATTGTACACTGAAGTTCATGAATACACAAAGCCATTTAGAAAGTGGTCAAATGTAACACGTTATAATTGGGATTACACTTTCTCAGTAAAGTACAGAATCTAGAACTTTTGTTGGGTTGAGTCCCATCTGGGATTCGAAACCACACCTTTTGAGTCAGGCACCTAATTACCAACCCAACAAAAGTACTAGAATCTGTAATTTACTGAGGAAGTGTAATCCCAATTATAACTGAGGCCAAGTGGCCTAATTTATAATTTTTTCTGTCAAAACATTTGTGTCCTACCTTCTCTTATTAGTAGAATAAACTCTTTACCGTGTAGGCTTTCATGACCCACATTAATTGAACCAAAACATATTTCTTTCTAGATTCTAACTTCGGACAAACAGTCAAATTCCCAGGCTGACTTTCATGGGGTGAGAAAAGTGTGAGGACAAAAATGGAAGTATGTTAATCCAGAAACCTCTATATAGTTATTTCTTAACATCTATATCAGGACACTTTGGCTTTAAAGTGGTTGCATATAAAGTTGCCTTCCCCCTACAGGTGCCTTACTGCTCAAATAGTTGACCCTGCTGTTCCTCAAACTCCTTTCTGATGTGTGCCAAGGTTGCAGGAGTCCACTGCTTGCCAGTCTTCCAAAGTACACTCTTGTTGAGTAACTTTGCTGAAAACAACCCAAATCATCTTGTCTTCAATATGTACCACCTTATTATTTACTTATTACCATAAAGTGTTTTTAAAATAGTTCAGGTAATAAAGTTGGGAATGATCCATTACCTGCAGAAATACTCTTGCTCAGAGGACATCTATTTTTGCAAGGTACTTGAAAGCCTCAAGATCTTGTCAAAATTATGACCACTGAGATATATATAATATTTTTGGTGCCAGTTATAAAACTATTCAGTTCACTGCTCTGACTAGTACTTGTACATTTCCAAAACAGGAGATGTACCAATAATTTGTAATTTCTAGTAAAAAATACCTTCTTGTGTGAGGAGAGTTGACACTGCTTCTTCCAGTGTCTTAATGTGCTTTGCTGTTTCTTGCAGAATTAGAGCCTGAAAAGAAGAGAAAAAAGCGCCAGTGCATAAACTCAGATTTGAGCATAGTTTTGTCTAATCTAGACTGAATATTTTCTGTAAAATTGGCTATTTGAAATTCCTGATTTCTCTGTTATCTATTTAAGCTGAATCAAGTATGTGGTGGTGAGTGGTCATAAGTGAAACATATTATATTAATTAACATCCAGAATTTCTGCTGTTGAAACAGCTATTATTTCTCCAAGTTACCTTTGAAAATTTTCTCCTTGGTAGGTTACAACTGTCTGGGATGACAAACTTCAGTGTGTCATAGCAACTTGAAACACTAGCTCTCCATTTGGCATCACTTTGGCGACGTCTGACTCGCATAGAATTTGCACCTCTTTTCATTCTCATGTTGTACTAATCAGTTTGCCCTACACCTGAAATTAGAAAACCATTTCAGTGTTTGTGTTGTTTCCAAGTTAAGGATGAAACTCAAAGGATCCCTACCATAAGGAAACTTTTTACAATATATTACGAAAAACAGCAGAAAAACTCATGGATTCACTTATATTTTATATAAATACTTCTAACTGTATTAGTGATAGATTGACATCTGTACCTTTTCCATTGAGGTAATCAGCAGGTGATGTCCATGGCTATTTACTACCTTTCAGTTGATAATTAAGGTTCATGCATGACATGTGTCTTCTCATACCTCAGTCATTAGAATTGTCATACCTTGTAGAAACAAAAAACATCATGGTGGAACTACCTTTTGGGAGACATAATATTGAATTCCCTCAGTCTGCTAAATATTACTAAATAGTAAATACACTTTTAAAAACTAACAAATCAGTTTATTTCTGATCTAACAACAGTGTGATGCACATTCTATTTTAAGACAATAAGAAATGATACAATATTTATCAAAAATACCATTTATTATGTGATATTTTGGTGGTGAATTGGTAAACTGATTTTATCATGTCAAACTGGATCTTGGGATATAACTTCTTAGACTACACAACATTCGTCTTACGTATGACATGGCTTTCGAAATGTTTTGCCTCGGATTCTCATCTAGAATTTAGGCTAATATAAACAAGACATTTTGCTATGAGATCTAATCACAAGATTTGGGAACCTTCTTAGACTAAATATGAAACAACCTTTGTACGAACATAGCAGCATGTTTATGGTTCAGAATATGAATTGTCCCACCCTAATTTTATCTTCTAATGACAAGGGCTCGAGGAGTGGGAAGTTTAAATTTATCATTAATTGTTCAAACCAAACTTATTTTACACGACTGAAAATGTTCGAAAGTCTTAAGAAAATGCAGACAGTTCCGTTTCATTATTCCGATACTGTCGTTTTAATTAAAAACTATGAAAGAATTGCGTCGTGTAAACCTTTCCCAGCGTAACAATATATGAAAAGTCGACGTGTGACTTGCCCAAATTTGGCATGTTCACTTTCGCGGCAAATTCAAATTTGGTCGTCTGTTGCAAAAGGTTTGCACGAAAGATTCTAAAGGACAATAAATTTTGTTCGTCCAACAAGTCACATTTCTTCAAAAGTGTCTATTTACACTACTGGTAAACAATTAGGCGCTGTCACAGCTTATTTGCAAACATTTCACAAAAATCAGTTTGTGTTTACAAACAGGGAGCATTGACTACTTGTCACGTGCCACAAGTTCCCACGGTGTTAAAATACGCTGCTCAAAACATAATACTATCGAGGTTTTGTCTTAATATATGATGAAGAAAAGAATAATAATAACATATATTTAAACATTAAAGGCATATATTTACGTCCCCAAAATAATTATTAACCATCAAAACTGAAAAAAATAGTATTCCTAATTTCTTACCAACAACGATCGATGACCTGACACGACTTCGTTCGACGGATTGTGACAGTTGCATCATGTGACCGTGTGACGTAATGTATTTGAATTTGATTGGTTCAATGTGCCTCCCACGTGATGTGCTTCGGTCGCAGACGATCTTCTGCGATTACAAACATTGTTTCGCGGGAGACTTGAATATGTGAGAGCCAGTAGATATTTTCAGTGGCTATTTCATCAAAAAGAGTGTTCCGTACAAATAATTTATTCACTGCTATAAATTCTGAAAGAGGTAGATTTTCAACAGAGCGTTTGACGATTTTGATCGATAGTAGATCTACTCAAAATATATATGGCAGAATCCATTTATTCAATCCACATGCAATCTATGTCAAGGAGAAATCGGCAGATGAGAATAACAGTATCAAAACATGTATTAGGAACGTCAATAAGATATCGGCCATTTATCTTTTACAATAATATCATATTTTCATAATTTTAATATTTCTTGTTAAATATGCGATCCTGGTGACAAGCCATCTATCATAAGTAAATCCCAAAACAAAACTGACTTTTCATAGACTATTGAAGTACGCTACATAGTAGTGCATGTCTACTGCCGTATAAATGTATTTTAACATCATATACAGATTGATTTCCATATGCACTTATAATAAATATATATATAATTATCTGAGCACCTAAAAGGTTAAGAAAAGACTTTCGATTCGATATTAAAATACACCGGTTGAAGAAAAGTTATAGAGTCTTTCGTAAATTCATGAAATTGTATATAGGATCCACAATGTTGCAGAGTAGCGTACTTGTGTAATAGTAACTGTGTATATACTGGCTACATCTTCATTTTAATACTCGATTGATATTGATATTCATCGCTAATGCTAATATAGAAAATGTAGACGTGAAATGACTGAAACTACGTAAATATGTCATGCGTAGTTTGGGACTACTTTAGACGATTGTGTACATAGGATCCACAATGTTGCAGAGTAGCGTGGCGTCATTTGAACTTGTGTAACAGTAACTGTGTATATACTGGCTGCACACACAGGAGACAGGCGGAGTCAACAGTATGATTGGCACATTTTGTTGTACTTCAAATTTTGCTAACGAAAGCCTACTTGTGCAAAATGCCAAAAGCAGGGGCGTAGCTACCATTATAAGAAAAAGTCCGGACTTACACATGGCTTTTTGCTAAAAAGGTTGGACAAGCCCTCAATACTATCTAAATATAAAGCTTTGCAACCTATCGGGCTTACACGAAAAATTGGCTTGCTACGCGCCTGAAAAGTTTTTTCAAATACTTTATTACAAGAAGGGAAATGTAGTATGATGTAATGTATGAGTAACTTGAAAGACGTTTACAAGAATTAAGTCGTTATTGCGAGTTTTGAGTTTAAAAATCGTAGCTATTTTAGTTTTAAAACTTGCCCACATCGTCCTTTGCTGGGTACAAAGTCATGTCAGTATATATACAGTAGAGTTGGCAACACAATATTGATGTTTCCGCGACCATTGAAGCAGCAAACCGCAAATCTGTGACATCACTATTAGCACTGGTCCAGTATGGTAACAATACTAGTATACGTTGAACATTATTCCAGAGACCTAATTCAAAAGGAACTGGGGTACTTTGATAGAATAAAGTCAACTATCGGATACATCTCGAAGAGTTGCCAGTCCAGATATAAAGTGATCATATTAAGATCAAGCCGCAGTCCATTCTCGGGAAACTCATGAATATTTATTGAAAGATGAGGATCCTCCGTTTTGTATATCCATTGAGTCAAGCACGTGCGGCATGATTTGATTTATTTTCATCGCAAGGGAGCAATAGGTAAAAGTTTAAAGTCTTGAATCCTGGAGAGTTCTTAAAGTCGATGGAGTGAGATAAATCCCCAGCGAACACGAAAATGTAATACAAACCTCCCCAAAATGTCCAAGAAATGGTTTTTAAAACGATTTATTCACGTGAATGTGTATGGTTTCAGAAACGTTTCAGACACCTATTTTAGTAACTGAGACATGTGTCCCTTCCTGGATATCTATAAAAAACAAACATATTTGTACTGCTTGTAGTTTTCATTAATTGTTGAAGTCAAAATGAAGCGTCTATATATCGGCTTGACCAGTTGCCAGGAAGTTGTAAGGATACAATCACATGTTGATACAGTGAGACACCGGTAACATGGTAGACACCCTTCTTGCACAATACCCCGATTCCAATTGGGGGTTTGGTAACTATACTAGGCACATAACGAAACTGTGCATACAAAACTTTAAAATCTAAATTTATCAAACCTGTGTAGACACATAAGGATTTAAACTCAGAGATTAGTGACATGTATCCAACATGCCTACACGTGCCACGTTCCGTGACGTCAGTGGGTTCGTCCTTGAGACGTGCAATACGTTGTTGCACGTGCATTCCGGGAAAGAGAAACAGAGCAAATGAATGCCACACAATACTGTCACTTTGGAAAGCTCAACCCCTGCCCTTGCGATCGTTAAAAACATTAAACGGCTATTGAAACGCATAGCATGCCAAGGCTCACGTCTGCACAACGTCATGAGGCCATTGGGATGGTCCGTGGGGGAATGTCTCAACGACAAGTGGCTGCACATTTCCACTGCCACCGGAACACCATTTCTGCACTGGTGAGACGCTGCCAGAACACAAATGACGTCATCGATCGGCCACGTTCTGGACGTCCACGTGTAACAACGCCAAGACAGGACATATGGATAAGGGTGACCCATCTTCGCCACAGGTTTCAGACGGCAGTGATGACTGCCCGAACCATCCCAGGACTTCGCCGTATCCACCCCAACACAGTTCGACAACGTTTACGTCATCACGGGATCAGACCATGACGTCCCGCCATACGGCCTATCCTGACACAACGTCATCGACAAGCTCGCCGAATGTGGTGCCGAAATCTTGTCCGCAGACCCTTGTTTTGGTGGAGAAATGTTGTTTTTACAGATGAGTCCAGGTTTACATTTCCCATAGTGATGGACGTCAACGTGCCTATAGACGCGTAGGAGAACGTTATGCACAGGCCTGTGTCTTGGAGAGGAATCGCTTTGGTGGTGGTTCCGTGAAGATTTGGGGTGGAATAACAGCACGCCAAAGAACTCCTTTGGTGATTGTTCAGGGCAACTTAACTGGTGTGGGCTACAGGGATCAGATTCTTGGACCTGTGGCAATTCCTTTTCTGCAACGTCATGGCCCTGGGTTAACATTCCAACAGGACAATGCCCGCCCTCATACGTCAAGGGTTGCTATGGATTTCTTGCAACACCACAACGTTGACTTACTGCCTTGGCCTGCAAATTCACCGGATCTCTCCCCAATAGAGCATGTTTGGGACGAGATGGATCGACATCTACGCCGTCTTCCTCATCCGCCAGATAACGTCCTTGACCTTGCAACAGAACTTGAGAGAATCTGGCGTGACATCCCACAAGCCTTCTTTGCACGTTTGATAGGCTTTATGCGTCGTCGATGCACTGCTGTTCTCAATGCCGATGGTGGACATACCCGTTATTGAGCTTGTGACATGGTCGTTTGACCCTTCCCGCTTGTGGACTCGTGACGTCATTGTGATTGATTTTTCAATTGAAATTCTCCCGACTTGTTATGGTCTCATGATCCCTCCATTAAAGTTTATATGTACCTTTGACATTGTTATCGTACTTATCAACTGGGATAACATTTTGACAAGCACAGTTTCTTTATGTGGCTAGTATACTTTGTTTTCATAAGTCTTAACTGCCAGATTTCAGACTGGAAAAAAAATACCAGCTACTGGAACTCACCCTTTATAAAAGACATTTCTGGTGTCCCCATCATGATTTTGCTGGAATATTGCTAAAAGCAGAATAAAACCCAACTCACTCACTTCATACAGAATATTGGGATATTGTATTCTAGTTAAAAGCCAGTGCACAATTTCTTCAAAATATTCCCTTAAATGGTCACATCCATAACATTTTCCTTGGTGTATACCACAGCAGGATATCCAAAAGACGTTCTTCTCATCCAAGACAACATAGATGACACAAGGCATATGGGTTGATCATGTTTATTGCATGTAGACATGAGAGAAGAACATGTACTATAGCACAATCCATATACAAAAGTCCCTCACTATAACACAACATTACACTGCCAATACAACGCACCAGACTACCTCAGCCTCGGAGTCAAATTACAAAACATTATCACAAAATTACCATTAAAAACTCCACAGCCTTCTGACAACACAGGTAAAAGTTTTTAGGCAAGGAAGATATGACTGATATATCCATCACAAGTTCCACCCATGAATATGGTGGTAAGATAGCCTAGAGGTTAAGGGGTTAATCTCTGCCAGGCAGGTTCAGTTTCGATTCCCGGCATGGATGTCTCGTTTTTGATACCTGCTATGCAATTACTTGAATATTGCTAAAAGTGACCACTGTCAAGAGCATAGCTCTCAATTGGCAGTCAAACATGTACCAATTTCTCCATAAGAGCATGTCAGTATCAATTGGTAAAATTAAAAAAAAACAGAAGGAAAACATGGTTCAGAACAACTGCAGCCAATGGTTTCACCATAGTGATAGGATGCTGAACTGAAGAGCACACAGTGTATACCTTCAGTGAAGGGGCAGTGGGGTAGCCTTGGGGTTAAAGTGTTTCCTCATCCACCAAAGACCCGGGTTCGATTCCCCACATGGGTTCATTGTGTGAAGCCCTTTTCTGGTGTCCCTCGCTGTGACATTGCTGAAATATTGCTAAAAACAGTATAAAAACATTCTCATTCATCTTCAGTGAAGAAAGTGGACAGAGCATATGAACTTCTGCCCTTAACAGTTAAGAGGCAGGCTGTTGAAGATAACTGTCGCCATCGGATGCTCTGTTTTGGCAATGTGCATGGGTGAACTGACACTTCATATTTCCTTACATTTATTTACGATTCATACATGTTCATTATGAACAAATCTTACACGTCACCCATTGTATGCATTATAGTGAGGGGCCACACAATAAACTAAACCTAACATTTGCTTGATATTTGTGAAGAATTTCATTCCTCCATCCTCTCAAAAGTGGTACTTTCAAACTTCAACATGTCCAGAGTTCGTCTCAGAGAACCAGATAATTTATCCAATGGGGGTAGAAACCTCTGCGTTTTTCTCTTCACCCAGGATATCACTTTGGTTTTTATGCCGAGATTAGTTTGTATCCCTGGTTGTGGTTCATAAAGCACAGAACAGGTGGCTTGGTCTCACCACAGAAACAGTTGAATCTCACCAATAAATACTGTCTGACCTTAGAGGTAACAAGTCCGATAACAATGTCGGAATATGTTCCATTTCCACTGCAAGCAAACCTTCAACCACAAACACTTCTCAATGAACTAAAGATTTCCTGTCCTTCAGTTCTGGCATAATTCTAGACCTTCACATTCATAAAATGTTAAACTGACAGGTTCTCTTACACAAACAGGTGGAGCAACAATCTCTTTTCCTAATGAAGAAATTAATTCTGTACTCAATCTGGCCAACCTTGGAGAACATTTTATACCCTATATTTCATGATTAAAAATTGACAACAGACCATAATTATCCCTGTTATGTGATCTTCCAAAATATTTGTAACCGAGACTGACTTCACATAACACTTTTACGATATTTGATGTATGAACAAAGAAAGACCACAAAATGTGGACAAAACCTTTTAAAAAAATCCTAGAAATATGTCTGTGAATTACACGAATCTGAACAAAGTGTTTACAGAAGACTTCTTTGAAATAAATATTTCTGAATGTCATTCTTCACAAACTTGTCAGCAACCTTAAAGACAGGTATAAATGCATTAAAAAATATTTGCACTGTCTCCAATTAAAGTCATGATTGTGATTTTCAATTACTCACCATGACAAAGACAATACAGGTTCTTACAAGTTCATTTCACTGTCAGTCAAACTGACAGTTGGTAATAGACCAGCTATTTCTAACTGTGTTTCAGCATTTTGGTTTGTTTACATCATGGGTGGGTGAAAAAATGATATAAGAACATAGACCACAAACTTCTCCTACCTCACATTATCTAGTATTAGCCAATCAGTACATTAAACCACCAGACCCTATCCCAACCTGGCCCTTGAAATCACATATCACAATGAAATTATTAATCATCCTACTTTCAAACATCTTAATCTCCATACAGAGGGATAAATAATCACTGTTCCACAAGAACCATAATTGATTATGTTAACATTTGACACTTTCTCAAATTATACACAATTTCTTTCGCCAAATACAGATTTTGAAATTACTTCAAGGGCAGGCTGAAAAAAAGGTTCTGGGATTTTGGCTAATACCCAATAATGTACAATAAGTTACACATAGCACAAACCAAGTTTTAACAGGTTTGCAGTAATGTGAGCTGCCTAGTCTGCTTCTGAGCTCAAAATCCTGTTTTGAAAACAGCACAAGCTGAACATGGTGCAAAGTTGTCTGGAACATTTTGGATATTGTGTTAAAAGACTAGTGACTTGTTGGAATACAATAAAGGTGACTAATATCAATGTTTCATTGTATATCATCATAGTAATTCATCCCCTGACTTGAACCTTTTTCAGAACAAACAGGCTGCAGTTTGTTTGAACACAACACTTTACTAAGAAAAGAATGCAATATTTGTACAGAACACTTCCTCTACAACTACAGTCAACACAAACTGAGGGCTTGTCACTAGAAGCAATCACACACAAAAGCCTGGGAATTAAAGTCTTGGAAGAATAAAATGTCAGGAATGGAAGGCTTTGGAAGGATGAAGAACTTTACAGGACCATGACAATATACTGGCATGTCTGTCTTTATGTTTTGCATTATTATGAATATAGCTTAAAAATGCAACTGTCTCTGATAATTAACAGATAATTAAACAAGCAAATAAGAGATGGGTGCAAAACTTTATAGCAATTGGCTAAAAAAAGAGAGAGTTAAAATCTGTCCCAACTTAAAGTAGGTCTTTCACCGTACTGCTGTATAGTCCAATACTCTAACCATGACTCTCAACCATACTGACAAGCTTAAGTGCTTATGTCTACATGTTCAACGATGGTGGACAAAGGCCTCTGTATAAATAAAACTGGAATGATCATAGAATCTGACATGCAGAACTGTTATCAGCCTATGGAAGCCTTGTTTCATCACCGTGAGTAGGAAGCATCTTGAAATCATGCAGAGATTTGCTGTCAGTAGAGTGAGTGTTTCCTGAGCTGTGAGATTTCAGATACAGTATGGATGACAAGATTCCTCTTCTTATGTAGGACCCAAAGATCAACTGATATATACATATCCTTGTCTCTCTCTGACAGTGTTTCAGTTCTTTTGTACTGAACAACATTTCTGCTATGTGGGCTCTATAAAAGAACAGGAAATATGGGTCCAGGTGACCTCAAATAAATGGTATATTTAGACAAATATTATTTGTCCAGGCGACAAAAGGTTTGAATTTATAAACAAAACAAACAACTGATGAGGAATCCCAATACATGAGACAAATGTCCAAATGACTGGCTTCTATGGCTGCAGTTGCAGCCAAATTAATATATTTTCTACAGCAATAACCTCCTCCTACACTATTTAAAAAATGCCCTATCTGAGTGCTCATATGATTGCAGATTTTACATCTCTCAATTAATATTCACCTGAACTTAATTCCAGATAATAAAGTAGTTTTCAAGAAATGATAATGAAATGATGTGTTCACTTTGAGAAAGACACAAGTCCAGTATCACCTCCCTGTTGGTGATCTTTCAAGATACCTGACTATCTTCCAGACTATCTTCCTCCAGAAACTCTTTATTCTAATGACAATACAGGAACATTTCAGCTACAAGTTGCCAGCATACGCCAGGTCCTTTCCAGTCCTCAATTCCCTTTGACCATGATCAAGTTGGATAAACTTGCTGACTACGTTTATAGCCATGAGCTGCCATTTTCACAACACAGCAAAGGATACAAATCTGTCGGTTTCATGAACAGCATGACAGGTTTAATGGAGATGATAAAGATTGAAGTTACACATCCCTATTTCACTTTATTTTATCAGCTTGCATGATTTAAAAAGCTTTGAACAAAAATCAGATAGTCATGACTGAAAACTTTTGTAAAAACTAACATTTAAGTAGAATCCATTCATACATGAGTTGTGATTGCCTTCAAAATTCCCATTCATCAAAAGTGGCCTGGAAATTTTTAAAGGAATTATATCCACAAAAGGAAAATACTTCAATATTTTATCTAGGATAAACTGCTTGAGTGAAGCATAGATTAACAAAATTTGATGGGGACAAAAATATTTTTTCTATAGTATGGAATATAGTTTCATAAAGCTTGAAATGTGACTGAAATATGGTTCCAAATGAAAATCCAGGCCCCTTTAATAATTCATCACTAACTGCCTGGGCCCTGTTCCACAAAAAACATGATGATCATAAGCCTATGTTTAAAGTATGCGATTGACAACCACCTGAAACCTAAGATCACTTTGTGGAATGAGGGCCTGGTACGTTTTCTCCAGACCTGCGGCTAGAGTTAGGATCGCAGTGTCTTGAACAAGAATAAATTTGTTGCACCCAGGAGAACAGTCAAACTTCACCAACAAACTGATATGTAGCCATGCTTTCATGCCCTGGAAATGGAGGTCATGTGACCCTGCAGGTAACAATGATAGGTGATAAATCTATTTATCTCACATGTCTGACAACAGGCTTCCTAGAAAACAACTCCAAGTAATAATATTAACAATGATTGATTATCTAAATGAAATTGCAAGAATGTTTTTGCACAAAACTAACATACTTTCACTCCACAGTTTTCAGTTGGTCTAGTTCCACACTGGATAAAGTCTTAAACCAATCCGTTACCATGGTTAAAGGAATTGATGAATTTACACCGCAGTTGTGCTGTACAATATCTTCCTGGATGAATGGCATCAACATTGATATATATATATATATTTACACACACACAGTTTCACCATGGTATAAGATGTGACCAAACAGGCAGTAACAGTTTATGATATTGGCAGGTTCCACAGTGACTGCCCAACAGTTGCTTGTCACCCCCTCAAATACCATGTCGACTGATCACATCACAGCAATGGACGAGTCCAAAATGTCACATAGGTGAGAGGCAGTCATATCATATGTCACCGAGCACTCACACGTTTATTTGCTACATCAATATATGATACAATAAGTTAATGCTATCGAGATGGTTTCCCCTTTAGTCTTTCACCATTTGCTTTTGAATCGTCTTTGGATTTCTTCTTAACTTCCTTGTGTGGTTTCCGACCTTTGCGCACTTTGCTAACATATGCATCCACAAGAGCCCTAATCTTTACAGGGTTAACATCTCCACTCTTGCTATGGCACACCTGGAACAGATAGATTGAAAAATGTAAGTTTTCAAGTAAAATTGATATTTTTATACTTATCCTGACTCATGATCTTTTGCTTATCTCCCTTTTCCTTGCGAATGGTAGTGGAACACTTGAAGTTCCCGAAGCGGACGTAAAAATACACTCACCCACGGGTTACCTCCCTTTTCCCGCGTGAACAGTCATGTGACCAGCCTTACTTGTCACTCTCTCCTGATCTTTCTGCCCAAGCACTTGGATCTGCTGTGCAATCCAAAGTGTTTCCAGCGGGGAGGTCGGGAGGGCTTGACCTCATGAGTCAGGATAAGTATAAAAATATCAATTTTACTTGAAAAATTACATATTTTTACTTATCCTGACTCATGATCTTTGGCTTATAGAATCCGACGGATTGGTGGTGGGTCAGGTCACGTTCTGGATTCATCAGCTGTCCTTAGATACGTCCTGTATCCCCCCCCCCCCCATGGGAACTGCGTAGCGGCATTTCCGAGATCCTATTCTTCCAACTTCTGTTATAACGGGGAGGGGGAGGAGAAAGAGGAAGAGGAAAGGCCACTTCTTGTCTTACTTCCCTATCAGACGAGTTGAATCATCTTGTTTCATGTGGCTTCAGATAAACTAGTATCTTCTTATTACTAGATATCTTATAACAACCCTTAGATTATGATAAGATCTTTATCATAAATGAGTTGCGACCCCTTCACATACAGGTAAGATCTTTACCCGTACAGGATCCTTAATCACTCATGCTAGCCTGTCCTAGACTGTGCACGGACTTTCAAAATAACACTTTTCCTTAGTAAAAGTTATCAACAAGTCAACGTGATAAAGGGTGAGATTTTCCAACTCAGCGCCTTTGTGGAGCCGTTAGTAGCTGTGCTACAACGAGAGGCCCAAATTGGTGAATGCCTGAGACGTCTTCAGTGGCTATGTCTCGGAGGTAGTGGTTGGCAAACACCGTGTCCGACTTCCAAAAGCAACCCTCCATAATTGCTGATATAGAGCAATTTCCATGCAGAGCTAGTGTTGACGCCAATGCTCTGACTTCGTGTGGGTTGGACTGACTGACTGACTGAGTTTGGTTTTACGCCGCTTTTAGCAATATTCCAGCAACATCCCGGCGTGGGGACACCAGAAATGGGCTTCACACATTGTGCCCATGTGGGGATTTGAACCCGGGTCTTTGGCGTAACGAGCCAACGCTTTAACCATTAGGCTACCCCACCGCCCCTTGTGTGGATTGGAGCTCTTGGAGGTTCTAGTCCTGCTGCTTTGTAGGCTCTCAATATGACGGCTCTCATCCAGAACAATATCGTCGTTCTTGAGACTTCTGCTGATGTCTCTGTGGATAATGGGATGAATAGGCGCTTGAATTTTCGTCTCCTTGTCTTAGTCTTTTGATATATCTTCAGGGCTCTGACCGGACACAAGGATAGGTCATCTATATCCTCTGGTCCGAGGATTGTAGATAGCGCTGGTACGTAGAACTGTCTATCTGGCTGACCAGGTAGTTGGTTCTTGGCAATGAAGCCCCATCTAAGTCCTAGATGAAATGCAGCATGTTGCCCCTTGTCGAATCTGGTTCGACCAAAGTCCAGTGCATGTATCTCTGATACTCGAGCTGCCGTGGCTAGCACAAGCAGGAACAGAGTCTTCTGTGTCAGCAGCTCGAGTGTAGTCTGGTCTAGAGGTTCGCAGGCATCACTCTTAAGATGACGTAGAATTACATTCAGATCCCAGGCCGGAGCTCTGAACTTCTTTTGCTGGTCCTCCAGTTTAAAAGATCTCAGCAGAGCAAGTAATTCTGGTGCTCTCATCAACTTGATGCCTATTTTCATGGTAATCACTGTACTGATGGCGGCGAGGTATGTAGATAATGTCGAACCCTTCAGATGTCTGGTCTGAAGATGACACAGGTATTCCGCCACTTGAGGATGAGTAACTTTCATCGCAATGAAGCCTTTCCGCCTTGCATAAGTCTCAAACTTCAGCCACTTGTCATCATACATGTTACGAGTAGATCTGCGTAACGCTAGCGTTACTGCCTTGGCTGCCCTGGCGGAGTATCCTCTTTTCTTCAAACATGTTTTGATACAGTCCACAGTGTTGGGTTCCTGTGGACTTGCTTGGTGTGCGGATATATGAGTAGGTTCGGCCAATCTGGTAACTTGATAATTGGACTTCCGAGATCTTCTATTAGGTCTAGGAACAATACTCTCGCTGGCCAGTATGGCGCAACCAAGGTCAGTTGTAGCGCCTGTGTCTGTTTGATCTTCAACAGTACTTTCGGTAGTAATATCAGTGGTGGAAACGCATAAGCGTTTAGTCCTTCCCATGATATGTTCAGTGCATCTATTGCCAAGGCTTGAGGATCTGAAACTGGTGAGACAAATGTCTGTAGTTGCTTGTTGAACCTCGTGGCAAACAGGTCTATGCATGGGGATCCTATTTCCCTTATGATGAGCCAAAATGCTTTTGGATGGAATATCCATTCTGTAGGTGATGGGTGCAGTGGTCGGGAGAGAGCGTCTGCAAGCACATTCTTGGCTCCGGATAAGTGACACGCCTTTATCCAGATGTTTGCCTCCTCCATGATGTCAAACAACTGGAATGTGAGTTGTAGTAGGCTTGGTGATCTTGTAGATCCTTGCCGATTTATGGGGAATGCCACTGTAGAGTTGTCCGTGTGGACCATCAGCATTCTGTTGATCAGAGAGCTCGACTATAGTTGTAAGGCGCTGATCACCGATTTCATCTCCAGCAGATTGATGTGAAAATGCTGCTCTGTTTGGACCACTTCCTTGATGCAACTTGATTGTTGAGATGTGCACCCCAACCTTGTATCGATGCGTCTACGTAGAGATGTGTGTCGAAGACCGGCTCTTGTAAATAGGTCCCTCCGCAGATGTTCAATCTGTGGGTCCACCAAAGTATGTACCTCTTAAGATTGTCTGGCAGCAAGATAGGGTCGACGCTGTCCAGATGTTTTGTCAGGAACAATTGCAGCAGCCTTAGTTGTAATCTTCCTGTGTCAAGTCCTGCGTCGAGGTTAGTAGACCGAGTAGACATTGCCATGTTCGTAGTGGTAACGGAGAGATGACTGTTCGTGGAATCATGGCTTGTATCTTGACCCCATGATCTTCTGGGACCACAATTCGATTCTGTGTTGTGATAATTCTTATTCCCAGCAATTGAAGATCTTGTTTGATTCTAACTCCAACTTCATCAGGTTCACTAGCCATCCTAGTTGCGTGAGCAACTTAATTGTGAAGTTCAGCTGCTGTCTGAGTTGATTGGCACTTTGAAGAACCTGTATGCCGTCGTCCAGATAACCGGCACTGCGTAGACCTTGATGCTGCAGATAGGTGACGATAGGCTTGGTTATTCGTATGAATAATCATAGAGCCGACGATATTCCAAACGGTAGGACGTTCCATTGGAAGTGCTAACCTCTGATTGCAGTGATGATGCATCATTCTTCCCCTTATATACGCAGGCGATCTGTGTTGACATCGAAGCGTTGTCTATTTATAAAACAAGGCTGGCTCCAGTGTAGCATCGCAAGGGGACAGGTACTCATACCGACTTTTATCAGCGACAACTTCCAAAATAAACATTGTTTATCCTGCTGTCAAGGCTAGACATCTATTAGATTCCCATGATGATAACAGGCCATAGTTGAATACTGTTTCCAAGGCTGCCGATGAAGTACTCCCCCGTACCACGGGTTTGTTTACAAAACAGAAAACATGCTGGAACCTGCTCTGTCAGTGGGAGGCGTTGTCTGACGTGGACCAATCAGCTTTCAAGCATGATATAAAGCCGTAGAAGGGACTCCAGTGCTCGCCCAACCATCCACTTGAGCGAAAAGGGAGAGAGTGACAAGTAAGGCTGGTCACATGACTGTTTGCTCGGGAAAAGGGCAAAAGGGAGGTATCTCGTGGGTGAGTGTATTTTTTACATCCGCTTCAGGAACTTCAAGGGATTCAAGTGTTCCACTACCATTCGAAAAGGAAAGGGAGATAAGCAAAAGATCATGAGTCAGGATAAGACAAAATAAAGGATATAATGCCGTATACAACATATGACAGAAGCAACACTGACAGTTTGTAAACAGGGTGTCTCAATGGTACCAGAATAACTCTAGAATATAGTGAATGAAGGAGGCTGCATGTGGTCCACCTGTAATAGGGAGGCTAAATTTGGTCCCACCTGTAATAGGGAGGCTAAATTTGGTCCTACCTGTAATAGGGAGGCTACATGTAAGGAGGATAACTGAGTATGTTCTCACCTGTGAAAAAGAGGCTACTTATGTTCTCAACTGTAAGAGTGAGTTTAGTTTTATGCTGCACACAGCAATATTTGAGCTATATGCTGGCAGTCTGTTAATAATCAACTCAGACAATCCAGTGATCAACAGCATGAGCATCAATCTACGCCCCCAACTGTAAGAGAGTCTACTAATATCCCCACCTGTAATAGGGAGGCTCCCTGTGTCTCTACCTGTAAGAGGGAAGCTACAGAATCACTGGTTACCTTTGGCACAGCCTTCCTGAGAATCTCCTTATATTCATCTTTATTGATCTTCTTGCTGCTGTAGAAGGGTTTGATGGCCAGCTTCACTTCATCAACAACCCGTTCCTGGAGATGCAGCTTCTTCAAATACTAAACAATTGGAAACACTATAAGTACATGTACCAGAAATCAGCATGTCTGTGCAGTAGGGTATGGGATTTTTTCTGAGTGTACACATTATTGTGTTTGATTGTTGGTTCATGCTGTACACAGAAAAATTCATGCTGCATCAGTGGTCAGTTAATAATCAAGTCCGGATCAGACAATCACGTGATAGACACCATGAGCATCGATCAATGCAACAGGGATACAATAACATCCATCAACCTTGTCACCGAACCTGCCAACCTAATCATTTATGCTTCCTTTTTTAATCTAGAATGTGTTGTTTTTTATGTTATTTTTGGTTTTATTTACTTCTTTTGGATACAAATTCAAAATTTACAAATGAGTAAGTCAAGGCTGATGTATATACACCACCATGTAAATGAACAGTTAGATACAAATAAGGATTTACATACATAACAGAAGGAATCCCGTAAGTTCTTAACAAAAGCACATGTGTAAAAACAGGACATTTGTCTTCTTTCAGAGGCATTTTAGAAGTTGTAAAGATGAAGGAAAACAAAGTTCTATGGATAGTCAACTTCTTTATTGCAATGAGTGTGACATTTCGGTGTACGTACTAATACCATCACTTGCTTGATAACAGTGTTAGTACCTACACTGAAACGTCGCAATAAAGAAGTTGATTATCCATAGAACTTGATTTTACTGTACAGGAAATTTGGATAGGAAATATGTTAATTACTGAAATTTAACATACGTATTGCCACCTTAATAACTTGATGAGTACGTTACCTGAAACTTGTTTTAATTACTTTGACAATGATTGCCTGGTTTCCCTTTCCCAGGAGGTGACTGATCATAAAAACCATGGTCTTCCCACTTTATACAACTTCGACTTAATTTCAGTAAAATTGAGCATAACAATCAAAATATCTGATAACAGGAAATGCTTTAAGCATATATTTCTGATCATGCTAATACTATAATGCTTACTCATTCATGTTGCCCAAACTGTCTAAGAAGCTATCATTTCATTTATTACTGAGAATCTTATACAGAAGAATATCCTGAATTCATGATAAATAAAATCCTGTTCATTAGATCATGGATCACTTTTAAAACAAGACTAAACATGAAACTGTATTGGTAAGGTATATCATTGTGTGCTTTATACTGCTGTACCCAGTCGGCCATACCTTGTCCTTGTTTGTGAGGTCTGCAGCTGATGATGGCAGATCATCCTGAGTTGAGGACAGCTCCTGGACGGTTTTCTTAAAAGTTTTCAAGTCAACTGTCCTCTTCTTGGGTTTTTCATCAGGGTCAGTGTTCATGCAGTCAGGTGGGGTGGGCAGCTCCAGTTCACAATCATCATCTAACGGAGACATGTCCATGTCCACAACCTCAGTTGTCTCCACAGACTCCTGCGCTTTCAGTAAAGCCCCTTTACCAAACAACTGTGGAGGAAGGGGCACCTTAAAGATGCCATTCCCCTTCCCACTGGGGGAATTAAATGAGGATTTGTCTTTTTCAAGAGCAGCAAGCTGGGCTTGAGCACTTAATAACTTTGAGATCTCTTCTAACTGTTCCAGCTGAGATTTGGGAGCCTGTGGTCCAGGAGGTGGTCTTAGTGGGTTTGGCAGCAGAGGACGAATCGGGTTCATCTTCATCTGTACTGGAGGTGGGTGGTTGGGATCTGGCGGAAGGTGCATGTTAGGTGGGAAGGGAGGACGTGAATGCTCTGGACCCATGGGGTCGAAGCCACCGTTCATCACGTTTGCCCCCGTGGGCATTCCCCCAGGGCCAGGGGGCATACGAGCACCGAATCTGTTCTGTTGTAGCTGCATCATGCCCCCAGGGGGGTTGACTTGCCAGCCAAACCGAGGCATGGTCCCGGTCGGGAGACGTGGGAATCTACCTGGTTGGGGTTGTGTGAAAGGGGGTGGCTGATTTAACATAACAGGGTTCATGAGAATCTGTCTCTGGGGCAAACCTGGTTGAAGTCTGGGATGAAGCATCCCGAATGTCACAGCAGGCAGAGGAATATTTTGTGGCTGCATAACCCCTGGCTCACTTGTCAAAATATATGCATTCTCACTTATGAAAGGCCCCTGTCCGTGAGCATTTTGCATGAGCTGTGGCGGAAGGTCAGGTGACGTACTGTTGGGCACAACACCTTGAAAGTCCACAGAGATTCCCTTCTCTACCTCCTGCTCCTCATCTGTAGGGTGAGCAGGGTCGTACACAGATGGCTCCTTGCCGAAAATACCACCTCGCTTTATCAACTGCTCAGACAACTTACTACCGGTAACCGACTTCAACTGAAGACGGACAGGTTTTTCATTTTTCGATTCAGACTTTTCACTCTTACTTGCCGATTTATCACTCTTTGACTTTTCACTTTTGCTTTCTGATTTATCACTTTTAGCATCAGGCTTATCACCTTTGATGTCCAGATTTTCATTTTTCTTTGCCAAATCAGGCTTTGCACTTCCACTTGGCCCGAAGGATGGCAGAGGTATATTTTCATGGTCCTGCTCCTCATCTTCATCATCACTAAGAACAATTGGGTCATCTGTGAAAGATACAGGCACTAACTTGGGTGCACTGTGATTAACTTTCACTGAGGAATACTTGGTATTTTCCCTTTCCGTTTCATCTCCAGATCGAATCTTCTTGTACTCACTCCTAGAATCTTCCCTTTCACTCTTCCTTTTAAAAGATCTTTCACTATCACGATTTTGCTTAGAAAAACTGTCTCTTTCAGAATATTTTCTAGGACTGTGAGATCGAGAACGACTTCTACGACCTCTACGTTCACTACTACGTTCACTACTACGATCTCGACTACGATCACGATCACGTCTCTTTTTCTTGTGAGACTTTTCTCTTTCATATGATCTTTCACGAGAATACGAACGTTCTCTACGCTTTTTGCGAGATGATCTTTCACGTGATCTTGACCTTCTACGGTCATGTGACCCAGACCTATCCTTTCTATCTCGGGACTTACTTCTAGATCTAGTCTCTTTCCTTCGTTTATGCCGAGATGAACTTTCATATTCACCTCGTGAGAGTTCTTTTCTGCTATGCTTATCACGTGATCGTTCTTCTCGATCATCACGTCTATCTTTATCCCTTCTTTCATAGTCTCTTTCTCTCTTATCATACTTAGAAGTCCTATCTTTGGACTCTTTACTCTTATGAACAGATTCCTTCTTTTCAAATGCCCGGTGACCATGGCCCTTTTCATCTAAACGTGACAACACTGTCCTTAAATCATCATCAGCATCTTTATTTCTGTAACTCCTCTTCTTAGGAATACGTGGGAATTCAGAAATGGGCACTTTGTTTTCCTGTTCCCTGGTAATTTCATAGTCAGATTCATCTGTGTCCCATCCTCCTAGATTTGACCCCATTGTCCGAGCTTGAATCTCTTCCTCAATTTCACCCTCTTCATCACCTCCTGCCTCCTGTTCTTCTTGCTCTTCCTCCTCTTCAACCTCCTCTTCCTCAACTTCTTCTTCTTCTTCTTCACCATCACCATCCTCCACCTCTTCTCCTTCCTCATTTTCAGCAACCTCTTCCTCCTCGACTTCTTCTTCTACCTCCTCCTCTTCCTCCTGACCCTCTTTGGCATCTTGCGAATTTGTTTCAGTTTCCTCTACTTCCTCCACAGCAACAGTCTCATCAGTGTCGTCCTCTTCCTTCTGACTGTCTTCATCTTCTCCACCTTCATCAATCTGCAGAGGTTTTTCTGAGTCAATGGAAGTGTCATCCAGGGCGTACTCCATCACTTCACTCTGGGACCCAGCATCACATTCACCCAACTTTGCTTCAGGATTCACCTTAGAATCTTCAGATGTAATCTCACTACTGGCTTCAAAAATATCACTTTGGCTCTTGATACCTGGAATGGAATCACCCTCTGACTCATCCTCTTTCACACAATCCTCGTCTGTTTTTTCCGACTCTTTTACCTCCTCCCCATCAAGATTAGAACAATCATCATCTTGCTCAGTCTTATCCTCAGCATCTTCCTTGTCAACATCCTCCATAGCAGTACCTGTCTCATCTTCACTGTCTTTGGCAACATCTTCTCCCATTTCGGCTTCCTCTTCTGTTGGAGAGGAAGGATCATACTCGGGTTTGCCTGTTGGGGCTGGCGAGTCATCTGTGGGGTCGAAAGGATCATACTCAAAGCCAATGGAGGCTGCTGGAACGAGGTGGCCAGACTTAGAGGACTGTGTTTCAGCTGGAGCTTCCTCCTGGGCTTCATCTGTTGGGTGACACGGATCATACTCATCAACATCCTTCTTTGTAGATGTGTTTAACTCAAAAGTGTGGCCGTCTTTTAGATGAACTTCTGCCTTTGGGACTGGTTTGTTAGCGACGAGAGAACCTGAAAGAAACGAATAATAGAAGATTTCATCATGGCAAATCACATGTGACTTGGAATACATATAAGATACAATGAAAATGGGATCAAATCATCTACATGATGTACTTATTAGTGGCTTTGCCAATTAAAGAATGTTCGGGTTATCGACTCCTAAATTAAAGTCAACTATTGATATGATAGTTTGATATGATTTTGAGTAATGGAGTATGGTTTTATGAGGCTTTAGTTGAAGACTAGCGGGAAATTCAAAGACAGGACCCACCATCTCTCTTGATTGTGACATCCCCACTCTTCATGCTGAGCATGCTCTGACTTTGCATGATGCAGCCCAGGATGTCGAAGGTGGAGCTGCTTGCTGCTGCTGGCTCGACCACAAGGGTGGACGGAGTTGACGCTCTGGCAAAGACATTAACAACATCAGTTGAAGAATTATATAGATCTATGGTGGCATTTTTCATGACAACCCTTATTGAAGTAAAATATATCAAAATATTGGCAAAATAATTTTGCAGACAAAGCCTTAAATGCACAGTAGTCCAACCATTAACACTTGCCAAGGAGGGATAACTCTAAAGGAATTTTAAGGAAGATCTTATTTCTTGCTTGTGAAAAATTCATGGGCACAGACAAACCAGCGATTGATAACTGGATTGGACTCAGATGGAATACGATAACATGTAATCAAATAAGTCACAACACCTGGCCACCGTACTCAAGCTAGTCACTTACTAAGACAAGCCACAGAGGGTTGTGGACCAATTAAACCCAAGGTACACACAGGTTTATCCCAAAGGTAGTGAGTGAATGAGTGAGTTGGGTTTCACGGCTTCTCGAAATTGGCTCCATGTTGATGTCTCTGCTGTGATGAGAGGACACTTTAACCAGCAAGATACTCCACTTCCCTTATCCTGGAGGTAAGTTTTAACTGTAGAAGTCATCTGAACTTACTTGGGAATTCTCACTCTGCCAACAGGGCGATGGGACTTCAATGACAATACAGAATACTTGGTGAGACGGCCAGCCTTGCCACTTCCACTTGGCTGAACTTCAGTTGATATATCATCGCTGCAAGGAAGGACTGGATGAATGATTGCTGTTACCAGAAGTGTGAGTGAGTTTAGTTTTACGCCACTTATCACTTATCCAGCAATATCATGGCAGGAGACACCAGAAATGGGCTTCACACTGTTATCAGAAAACGGGCCTGAGACTATATTTTTAAAGGTTTACTAACCTACAAGTTTAGTAAAGTGTAGTAAAGTAGTATGTGTACATAACTGACACCACAGGGGTTTAAAACTTATTAAAATCTAAATATTTTAGATATTTAAATACTTACCTTACCATAGGGCGGTAACTCCCTCCCAACGCTGGATGCTCCTCCCCTCTCTGGGCTCTTCGGACCTGGTCAGTAAAAGTGATTTTTGGATAGACCGCACTTGCCCGAGAGGGGAGATCACGTCACTTCCGTGCCTATACACTCATAGATACCTGAGGCAGCCATTCTAGAGAATGGCAAATCAACGACTGTCTGATCTCTTCTAGCGGAGCTTAAGGTAATATGCATTAGACCTATGGTAAGGTAAGTATTTAAATATCTAAAATATTTAGATTTTAATAAATTTTTAACTTACCTTACCATAGGTCTTATGCATATGGATTCGACAGTAGGACGGTGGTGTCGGGCTCCTGAGGACCATCCTAACACCACATGCCAAGAGCAACCAAAGAGAACTATCTGAGTCGACAGGCTGAATCAGGAGGCGCCTGTAACAACAACCAGATAGTAATCCAAGGAAACCCTAAGGAAAACAAACACACCCAGGGCGTAAGTTAACCTTAAGACAAAAAGGTAAGAAGAAGAAGTTACCTAATGGGCGGTAGGTCGGGTGAGTTGCTGGGCAACCACCAGAGGACCAAAGGATTGCAGCCCTTCCACATCCTCGACGGCCAAATCCCGGAGGTAGTGGCTAGCGAAGACAGTAGAGGATTTCCAGAAGCATCCCTCCATGATGGCTGGAACGGTGCAGTTCCTATGGAGAGCCATAGTGGACGCCAGGGCTCTAATCTCATGCGGGTTATTAGCTGTAGGATGAGGTAGACCCTGGGCATCGTAGGCGGCCAGGATGGTCGTATGTAACCAGAGGGCAATAGTATTCCTATGGAGGTGAGGTGAAATTGGGTTTAACGTCGTGCTTGAGAATATTTCGCTCATATGACGACGTGCATGCGTGTGTATGTGTATGTGCGGCTGCTTGTACTAGCCCAGACTGAAGCTGGTTTTATAGTGCTAGCTCACTGAGATACCATGCCGCAGTGAAGCATGAATACCCCATTTAGACACAGTATACTGACTCCGAGCCGACCAGGCCTTTTAACGTCTTTAGGTATGACGCGGTCGGGGATCGAACCCGCGACCTTCCGCTCTCCGGGCGGACGCTCTAACCACTACACCACGGAGGCGGTCGTATTCCTATGGACAAAGGAGGAATGGAAAACATTCTGTCCGGCTGTCCTGGTAGCTGAATCTTAGCCACAAAATCCCAAAGCAGTCCCAGATAAAAAGGACCATGTCGCGACTGCTCAAAACGCACCCTGGTGACATCCAAAGCGTGGATCTCACTGACCCTAGCTGCCATGGCCAGGGCCAAGAGAAAAGCTGTTTTCCTGGAGAGATTCTTAAAAGACGCAGAGTCCAGGGGCTCGTAAGGCGGACCTCTCAGATGCCGAAGAACAATGTTAAGGTCCCAAGCAGGAGGACAAAACTTTGCCTTCTGGTCCTCCAGCTTAAACGCTTTAAATAAAGCGATGAGTTCCAGCACCTTGGAAATCTTCTTGTCACACTTGACTGCCAACACAGAGTTAAGAGCCTACAAATACGTTCCTATAGTGTTACCCTTGAGCTGCCGGGACTTCCGAAGGAAAACAAGGAACTCTGCTATAAACTGAGGAGAGGCTTTTAACAAGTCCTTGGATTTCTGTGCACAAAACTTCTCAAAGAAATCCACTTATCATCATAGAGTGATCTAGTGGACACTCGATGAGCACGAGCAATAACCTTAGCAACGCCTGTGTAGAAGCCCTTAACTTTTAGCGCCCTTTGCAGATGATCCAACCGAACAGATGAAATCGAGTCGGATCGGGATGCAGCTGTCGACTGTGCGGATGTCTGAGCAGATGAGGCAACTCTGGCAACTGAAGCGGATTTCTGCCGGCGAGACGGCGCAGATCCGGAAACCAATTTCTGGTTGGCCACCAAGGCGCGACCAAAAGCAGACGAATCGCCACTGTCTGCTTGACCTTTGCTAACACTGCTTGCAGCAGAACTGGTGGTGGAAAGGCGTATGCGTCCAGACCCTCCCACAACAAGGACATGGCATCGACTGCCAATGCCGCCGGATCTGGAATTGGAGACACGTACAAAGGCAGCTGTTTGTTGAACTTGGTCGCAAACAGGTCGATCAGAGGGCGACCGTGACTGTGGCATAGAAGGTTGAACGCTTCTGGATGTAGCATCCACTCTGTTGGCGATGGCTTGCCTGGCCTTGAGAGAGCATCTGCTAGAACGTTCTTGCAACCTGGGATGTGCCGGGCTCAAGCTCTGATGCCATTGTTGTCCAGGAGATCGGCCAACAGGAAGGTCTGCTCCAACAAAAAAAATGTTTGGACCTGGTTGTTGCCTGGTTGCGAATCAACCACACCACCGTAGAATTGTGCGACACTATCAGGAGCCTAGTGTTCTGCAGCAGAGGAATCCAATGTCGAACCGCTAGAATGACTGCTTGGAACTCCAAGTTGTTGATATGCCAGCCTAGTTCGTCGGCGGACCACAGCCCCGAGGTGGTCTGGTCGCTGAGGTGTGCACCCCAACCCTGAAGAGACGCGTCTACGAAAAGTTCGTGGTCGTGAGCAAGTTCTGTCAAGGAGACGCCTATGCAGACGTTCGACTCTACAGTCCACCAGCGGAGGTAAGCATGGAGATGTAGAGGCAGGAGGAATCTCGACTGAAGATCGTCTGCCTAGATGTAAGGCAAGAGGAAGCGCTGTAACGGCCGGAGCATCAGACGACCTCTGAGCGTCAAGTTCTGGGCTGAGGTGAGGAGGCCTAAGAGGGACTGCCACTCCCTGAGCGCGAGTGGCTGGGACAGACCCCGGCTGGCGAAATTGACTATCTTCCTCCAGCGATCCTGCGGAACCCGGACTAGGTTGCAGCGAGTCAGGAATAACCCTCCTATGAACGTCAGTTCCTGGGACGGCTCCAGGTGCGACTTGTCCGTGTTGATAATCCACCCCAGTTGCTCCAGAAGATGCATGGTGAAAGTCATCTGTCTGCGAAGCAGCTGAGGAACGTGGTGGTTCATGAGGCAGTCGTCTATATAAAGGTCAAAATCGATGCCCCTGAGATGGAGAAACTGGGTGATCGGCGAGGTAATCCGAGTAAAAAGCCACGGGGCCGTTGAAATTCCAAACGGAAGCACTTTCCACTGGTAATGGGAACCGTTGAAAAAGAACCTCAGGTACTTCCTGTGACGATGGCAAATGGGCACATGTAAGTACGCATCCCGGGCGCAAGCTTGACATGAAACTGTTCCAGGGATATCATCCAGAAATGAGGCGGCTCCGACAGGTAAAGGTGGTTGAAAATTGCCATGTTGTAAATCATGCGCATTTTGCCTGAGTCTTTCTTGGGAACCAGAAAGATGGGTGAGTAGAACCCCGGTGACCGTTGGGGGTGTAGCACTGTCTCTATAGCTTGCTTGTCTAGCAAAGTCTGGATGTTGTCTGCAAGCAGTAGCTGTTGGTCTGGAGCATACACACGTGACTGGGGCGTTGTAGTCAGAGGCGGCGACACGGCGATTGGCAGCTTGTAGCCGGTCTTGAGAATGTTGATCACAAACGGATCTTCCAGGATTGTCCAAAAGATCCCTAGTCGCCCGCCTACTGGTGTAGACCGAACTGGCACGGCTGGGGGCGCGGGAGGTCCCAGTCGTGTTGGTTCCCATCTTCATCGGCCTGAGTAGGGGCACCTCCCCATACCCCTGACGGGCGTCGAAGGGAGCTCCCGTGGACAATCTTGTTGTCGGCGCTGAAATTCCTGGTCGGACTTGCCACGGCCATGGCCACATCCTCTGCTAAAGCCGCTACGGACCGAATCTCTTCTGGGGACGTATCGGCGCTTTCCCCTACCCCTCGTAGCCAACCTGCCACAAAAGGCCGAACTCAACGCTTCAAATGTAGATAAGGACACCTCCGTAATCTTAAGCTCTGCGTGTTCTTCGGGAATCCTATCATCTAATAGGGGGCTCTCAGGAGTTTCCTTTTAAACTCTTCCTGCCAGGCACAAGGCTCGAGGAAACCTGTCCCTGTACGCCTAACAGCTGTAGTCAGAGATAGATTCATCGTGAGCCGTACCTCCATCGGCAAAGTCCAGACTATGTATCTTATAGTCTCCTTTCCGTGACTTAGGAGCCTTAAAAGTCGTATTGAAAGAAAGCTTCGCAAAATCCGCATCTAAAGAAGCCACAGCATCGGCTACCATCGGGAGAGGCGGGAGGAGTAATTCAGGAGAAGTCCTAATAGCTCTCGAGTTGTCACCTGAAGAGGGAGAAGGGCAGTCCTGCAGTCTATCAGCAATCCAGTCAAACACGGAGGATAGGGGGAGGTAGGTACCCCCATCTTCTTCCTCTGGTAATGTCTCCTCATTGTAGTCGGGAGAGAAATAATGCTGATCATTGTCGTCCCAAGACACGGCCGGAGCATTAAATCATTGGCTAAAGACAGCAGGCGTCGGGCACTCTGATGACACCTTAGAAACAGTGCTAAAAGTAACTGTTGGAGAACGTGGTCGTCGCGGCGAGCGGCGCACAGGAGACCTAGAACGGGACTGATGATAACGCCTCCCACGAGTTGGCCACCTAGAACGCTTCTTATCGTTGGAACGTCTAGGTGAGTGAGACCTGGAATCGGAACGATGCCGGCGATGGCAAGAATCAGAGCTAAGACGAGGGCTCCTGGATCAACGGCGGTGACAAGGAGACCTAGAGCAAGAATGCCTAGAACGCTGGGAACGCTCAGCCTCCTGGCGTCGGGCCCTCTTTTCCACTAATTGTCGCTGCAAGTCTTCCTCTCTACACAACCTAAAGACAGGTGTCTTCTTAGGGATATGGTAGCCTGCCAGCGGCGTCTGCGTTGGCACTGTGGTCGGCGTTGACGTTGGCGTCCGCCCTGGAAAAAATGCTGGTTGAGAAAACAACCCAGCCGCATCCGAGCTAAGTGCTGAAGTCGTTGGCGCCGGGAGTGCGCTAGGCGTAGGGGCAGCTCTAGGCGCTGGCACGGTGCTGACTTGGGCTTCCACTGCAGCCGGCAAGAGGAGCGTCCTCAATAGCTTCTGAACCTCAGGATGTGATAGAGCATCTGGCCGAGACAAATCAACAAAAGCGTCGGACGGTTGTTGGGCTTGAGGCGTTAACAGACGTGGCGCAGGGGTAGGCGTCTGTACTGTAGCAGGAGAGGAACGTCCATCCGGCGTCCAAGGAAGAGGGGATCGGGATCCCACTGAAGAACCAGGAGCTGACATCTTCCTCAAAACGTAAACACACAACAAAAAAAAACCTGCAGGTGTAATGGAAGCACCCCTTACAGCAAGAATGGGCACGCCCAAGCAGGCGAGACAGTAGAGAAACAACCAAGATGGCTGCCCCCACTGAGCAGAGAAGCGTGTGATAAAAACACAAAATTAGGCAAAAATATGAAGGAATACAACACCAAGCATGAACATTATGATGAAAGAGACATAGGAGTATGCAATACATCAAACATGCCAGTGGAGAGACACTCACAGTCGCGGGAACACACCCCACACCAAAGTGAAAAACACGAGGTAGCAAGGTAGGTGAAGTTTACTTTTATTATATTCTTCACCCTCACAGAGAAGAATAATAAGGAATGAAAAACATACCTACCAAAATGCAATCAATAACTTAAATCTGAAAGAGAAAAAACGTAACGAGCTAAAAAACAAACGTCTGACATACAGCACCCTTAAAATAAAAGTGATTTTTGGATAGACCGCGCTGGCGCGAGAGGGGAGATCACGTCACTTCCGTGCCTATACACTCGTAGATACCTGAGGCAGCAATTCTAGAGAATGATGAATCAACGACTGTCTGATCTCTTCTAGCGGAGCTTAAGGTAATATGCATAAGACCTATGGTAAGGTAAGTTAAAAATTCCTGTCTTTCAAAACTAGATGACTACCCATCTATATTTCATTATTAGATGGCACTATTCTCAGTGAGATGGGTGGATTATTGCGTAACAACACCACATTAGTGATCGACACAGTTATACCTGTTACACGTTACATCATCGGATTTAACAAACAAAACGTCATTACAGAGCAGTGTTGTTGCATAAGGTGATCCAGAAAGGAATTGTCTTGAAGGTGAAATGTCAAACAACTTACTCTTGGAAATGATCTAGATCATCCTTATGGCCAAGAATGGAGAAGCCACCATCCTCGGCTTGGTGTTGTGCCAGAGTCTTCTCCAAGGGCAGCTTCTGCATAGGTATAGAGAGTCCCGATGGGGGCTTGGACAGACCAAGACGGCCCGCGATCCGAGACTTAACCGTGGTGGAGGCAGGGGCTGCTGTAAGTGGGCTGCCTCTCTTCAGCTGAAACAGTAGTTGCTAGACTGACAATTCTAATTAATTTGTGCTGAGGAAAAGCGAAAATCCACAGATGGTAGACCTCACAGATTTTTACCTTTTGAAACCTACAGTTACGTTCTCTGCTTTAGTTTTGCTACCTGTTGATACTAGAACTGAATAGAGCTGACAGAAAATGTAAACATGGTAAATAGTTTTGTTTTGTTCAAACAGGACTAGTTTTAAACTCTGAGGACTAGTCAAGTATGCTTCCTCAAGACCCAACAAAAAAAATCTAAATTTCTAAGGATATTAATCAGTACGAGTGTAAATGTGACATGCTTATTGTTTTAAGTAGGTTGAAGAAGCTTCTGTAAGAGAGAGTGAGAGTGAGTGTTTGTTATCTACACGGTAAGACATATTCAAACTGTATCATGGCAGTCTGTCAATAATCAAGTTGGGACAAGTGAAACATTGATCATGACATACAATCAGCCAAATCACAATTTCAGACTACATTTCATATAAGTTGCCTCTTACATTCAGCAATAGTATGCTTTGACCATCAACTTCACATTTTATGACTTCTAATTGGATGCTTTAGTGGGATCTATTCATTCAACTAAATGTCCCATTTTCTTATGACAATTAATCAAGTATTCAATGCCTGTTCAAGCAACTATTGATCACAGGAACAAACAAAAGACATGATCGTCTCACCTTTCGCTTCTTTACACCCTTTCTCTTCCTCTTCCTCCGCTTGCCGACAGTTTTCTTATTAGTTTTAGTGCTTGTAGATTTAGTTTTCCGCTTCTTCGGACTCTTACGTTTACGGGTTTTCCGCCTAGTGGTCTTTTTTCGTCGTTTGACAGGAGATTTCTTCTTCGCAGGAGATGCCGAGGGTTGACTTGATGAAGCAGCGGACACACCTTCTTCCTGTATTTGAGAACATTAAGTGTGGTGACATTAACTGTTAACAGTATACAGGTAATGACCTCATTTCTAAGCTTTCGCAGATTTCTGTAAACTGATATCTTCCATTGAAGCAGATCCAATGCCAAATTTGGATATCAGTGGTTGTCCCAAAATAGACAACATTGAAACTGAATCATGAATATTGCTTATTGATCAAACCAACTTGTAAGTAAGGATGGTAACAGTGTTACACCAAATCTCGAAGGTTTACAGCTGTATTTCTTTCATATTCAAGATATTGAGAGTGTGGAAATAAGTGAAAACATCTCGTTCTTACATCAGATGAGATGAGTTCTGGTGGTATCCGTAAAGCCCTCTCAACACGGGTCTGTCTGATCCGTGTCCTCACTCTTTCACTGACTAGAGTACGAGCTATGAGACGGCGTCGGGGACGAATGTCTACATCTTCCTCTTCACTTTCTTCAACAGCACCTACAGCAACAACAAAACAGTGTATGCGTTCAGAGCTCAAGATAAGATTTAGCTCATGTGGGTACTGTACCCACTGTATTTTTTGGGAGTGGGTATTATGAATGTTGAGTGGGTATTTCATTTTCCGTTACCCACTGCTTTCAAATATGTGCGTATTTCAGTAATTTTACTCACCTAAGTATTATGTCATTGAGTAAGTTTACTAAGCAGGTATGTTCTGAGTTATGTCATAACTAATCAAAACCAACTTAAATCTAATGGAAATGATTTCATAAAAAATCACTCCTCCTTTACTGACAGTACAACACTACTCCTATACTAACAGTACCACTTGATAGTAATCGATGTCTTTTTCATTACGCAAGCGATTTTTATAAATATATTCCGTACGCATTTGTTTTAAACTTTTTGCGTATCTAACATTTTAAATGCGAAATTGGTACGCAACAATTATTTTTCAGTGCGTAATTGGAAATTTTCTATGCGTATTTTACCCGGGATAGGCAGCTTATCTGGGCCTCTGTGCGTTTGCAGTAACATGTCTCATCAATATTGTAGCTATGCGGCAACAATCAATAACAAGGTCTGTACGAGACAATCACGTGATTGACGTCATGTGCACTGACTTATGCAACCGACATTCTCATCCATTTTGTGGCCTTATCAGGTCTTAATTGTATTTGTTTAAAACCAACTTGTTTCACAGTACGGGAATATATTATTGTGTACTCGTCCTGCAATATTTTCACTTGCCCTCTTAAATTCAATAAATATTTATGCTTTTGGAGTTTATTACCATTTTCTATAATCAACTCCGGACGATATTTTGGACAGTGCAATATCATCTCCGCCGATTCATGCCAGCTTGCATCTCATACTGTTTTGTTTGTTTTTTACTCTGGATATTAACTTGAATATGATTAGTAATGAATTCATACGAATGAAATATGACTTGCCCAGTTGCACAAGTGTTTTTTCACTTCTTTCTCAGAACCTGCAAATATTGCCCCACATCCATATGAGCAGACGAGTGTATATTTTTTAGCCCTGGACTCACAACAAACTGTGAACAGTATACCTATAGAACGCTACAACAAAACATCATGAAAGTTAATCAATTCAGGAAAAGACAACCCATTGTTGATAGCAAGAACACACATACTTCCTGACTACACATTAGCTGACCATTACGGTAAACAGGAGTCCCTGTTATCGCACATATTCATATCTTCAAACCATAGTTCATAGCTGCCTATCTGGATTAACACAAATGGTAAGAGGACGGACAAAAACAAATTTTCTTTTAAATTAACTTTTGTCTTCCTGAATAATTAAAACGACCAATCAGAAACAGTTTGATGAGCTTTACCTTCCCTGTTGGCTGCGGCACAGTCTGAACAGAACCACTCCTCTACAGGGATGTCGGCCAGAGGTGGTGACAGACACTCACAGTGATACCTGCAACACAATAACCACGTACAGACTTTTAACACAAGTCTGCTTGTCCAGGTAAAACTCCAGGACATGCTATATTTTCTTGTGGACCACCACTAGTCCACCCCAACAATGACCACCCTTGAGGTTGTGAGCCACCATCCACCTAGCAACCACCTTACAGGTTCTGAGCCAGCACCTAGCCCAGATTACAGTCCACCCCACCAACAACCCTCCTTTAGCTTATGTCCAGCATTCACCCCACTAGTACCCACCCCAGATCACAGTCATCCCCACCTGTCACCCTACTACAGGTTGTCAGCCAGCATCCACCCCACTAGTACCCACCCCAGATCACAGTCATCCCCACCTGTCACCCTACTACAGGTTGTCAGCCAGTATCCACCCCATTAGTTACCCACTCTACAGGTTCTGAGCCACCCCAGATCACAGTCCACCCAACATGTCACCCAACTACAGGTTGTGAGCCAGCATCCACCCCATTAGTGACCCACCCTACAGGTTCTGAGCCACCCCAGATCACAGTCCACCCAACATGTCACCCAAATACAGGTTGTCAGCCAGCATCCACCCCACTAGTGACCCACCCTACAGGTTCTGAGCCAGCACCTAGCCCAGATTAGTACACCCCACCAACAACCCTCCTTCAGCTTGTGAGCCAGCATCCACCCCACTAGTACCCACCCTATTGGTTCTGAGCCACCCCAGATCACAGTCAACCCCACCCGTCACCCCACTACAGGTTGTGAGCCAGCACCCACCCTAGGTCACAGTCAACCCCGCGCCACTACAGGTTGTGAGCCAGCACCCACCCTAGGTCACAGCCATCGCACAGCAGAAGTCTGTCCTCTCGGTCGCATCGGCCGCACACCTCACAGTATGTCGGCTCTTCCTCAACCTCTTCCTCCTGAGCATTTTTATCTTCTACAGGGATCTACAAACAAGAACACCATGGATAAAAACTTGTGTAACTAATGACAACATCTAAATATTCTTAGTTTATCAGCCCAACTAGAATGAACAGTGACAAGCTACTGGAAAATACATACAATATATCAGAGCTAACACCCATTGATCAGCAAGCTGCTGCAGCTTATATTAGCCACTCTGCAGTTAGTAGCATTTAAAGATCTATCTTCATCACTGTCCGGCTGAAGAAATAGTTTTGTTTCGATGAATATACCCACCTTCTTGTAAACCTTGTCCTCGCTGGGATGTCTGGCAAGAATCAGGCGGAACACCTGTCTGTCAACGGGGCAGGTGTTCACATTCTGTCAAGAAACATATAACTGTATTCAATAATGTTTAAATACATAAAATGAAATTTTACACTAAGGTACTCTGTTAAAATCAGCTTTGGTAATGACCTTAAAGAATACATGGAAAGAAACATTTTGAGAAATTCCGTACATTTGCCCACACTTGAATACACTCAAGACAGAAGTTGTGGTCACAAGCTTCAGGAGTGCCAACATCTTGATCTTTGAAGCGATTGAGACAGATTGGGCAATTGTCAGCATTCTCATCATCAGAGTCGCTCTCAACCACTAGGCCAGCAGCTTGTGCTTCTTCCTCCTCCTCCTCCTCCGACTCCCACTCTAAAATAGTGAAGACTAATTAAAACCTGCACTTACTCATGTTAATTACCTCTTAACGAATTATATCCAGTAACACATAGTTCAAATTGGAGGGGATTCGATAATTGGCACTACATTATTACATCTGTTACTATTTTAACACAAGGGTTATAAAGACATTCATGGCCAATTTCTAAGTGTCACGTGGGTGAGGTGAAATTGGGTTTAACGTTGTGCTTTAGAACATTTCGCTCATATGACGTGCATGTGTGTGTGTGTGAAGGTCAGGCTGCTTGTACTAGCCCAGACTTAAGCTGGTTTTATAGTGCTAGCCCACTGAAATACCATGCCGCAGTAAAGCATGAATACCCCACTCAGACACATTATACTGACTCCGAGCCGACCAGTCCTTGTTGTACCCATTAAGGCCGGACGCCAGGCAGGGACCAACAAGTACCATATTTTAACATCTTTTGATATGATGCGGTCGGGGATCGACCTTCCGCTCTCCGGGCGCACGCTCTAACCACTACACCACGGAGGCGGTTGGGTCAGATGGGAAAAAGAAGGTAGGATAAAATTTAACTCCAAACATATCCAATGAAACATATGGATGTCAGACAAAAAAACTTCTAAAAACGTTTCATTCATATTGAGGGAGATTAGATGATGGTTTTGATTCTTAATTAAGTTAATAACATGAAGGTATTTCAGGTATCATACACATGAATTTCTTATACATGTTTAACTCAGAAAGAAATTAACCTTCATCAGAATCATCCTCCCCTTCAACCTCATCGACTTCCCCACCACTGTCTTCATCGTCCTCGCCCTCTTCCTCATCACCCTCCTCCTCATCTTCATCATCATCTTCCTCATCATCACTGCCTTCCTCCTCCTCTTCCTCTTCTAATTTTGTATCCTCTGCTGTCTGTGGGCCCCCTGATGATGCTGTTGCTGATTCGTCTATTTGCATTCTGCCTTCATCCGACGAGTCAGAATCGCCACTCATCATCCCTTCCATCTCAAAGTTAACCTTACTCATGGTTGTGTATGACTTAATCTCTTTCACATCAATGTTGTCAAATTTACATTCTGCTTGTTAAAAGTTCAATGTATTCCTGTAAAATGTATCCGTAAATGTTGATATGGACCTGAAGAAAATAGAACAATTACAATAATTTGCTGTGCTAAGTAAGTGAATTATGCCCCCACCAAATATGAATAAGTACTGAGTGAGTGAGTGAGTTGGGTTTTACGCTGCTTTTAGCAATATTCCAGCAATATCACGGCAGGGACACCAGAAATGGGCTTCACACAATGTGCCCATGTGGGGAATAAGTACTGAATTTCACACAACATGGTAGAAAAATGTGATTATGCCATAGTAGGTTGTTTTTTAACGTCACACTAAAAAAGATTCCCAGTATATGACAGTGGTCTTTAAATAATTGAGTCTGGACCAGACAGTCCAGTGATCAACATCATGAGCATCATTCTACACAATTGGGATACGATGACATGTGTCAACCAAGTCAGAGAACCTAACAACTTGATCCCGTTAGTCGCTATTACGACAAACATGGGTTGCTGAAGATTCTAACCCGGATCTTCACGGGTGATAATGCTATAGAAAAATCTTATATCATTAGATTTTGAGCTTTAGGTAATGTTTGTTAGAATTTCTATTTTGATTAATGCTGGAATGACTAGTTGATAACTCAATAACTAAATGAATAAAGAAATCTATAATATTAATTACTTCATTTGAAACTTATTTTGCAAACATGCTAATTACTAAATTAGACTTTAAACAATGTCAAATTGTGCAAGTCATACAAAAACGGACATTTGTAAACATCCCGAAGAGAATATTTACATTGCCCTTTTTTAAGTTCTACATACAGTAAAAATGTATTATGTACAAAACTGCTATTTCATAAACAAATCAAATTTAGCATTAGGAATGAGTGAGTGAGTATCGTTTTACACCTCTTTTGGCAATATTCCAGCAATATCATGGCTGGGGACACCAGAAATGGGCTTCACACATTGTACCCATGTGGGGAATTGAACGTCAACGCTTTAACCACTAGACTACCCCACCGCCCTCAGCATTAAGAGAGGTGCACTGTAGATTTGCAAGTTAACATACACCATGTACACTATGCAGCGAGGGAAAGGAGGGGTACCCTAGTGGTTAAAGTATTTGCTCATCACACTAACACCCGGGTTAAATGTCCACATAGATACAATGTATGGAGCCCATTTCTGGTGTCCCCTGTTGTGATATTGCTGCAATATTGCTAAAAGTTGCGTAACACTTAACTCACTACTGTGACCTTGTTGAAAAATAATCACCTAATGATAATATTTGTGTTGTAACATGTTTACATTAAGTCTACTGGATGACATTCACAAATGATATCATGTCCACAAAACATGATTTAACATCCAAAAGAACATCATGTGTGGGGTCTTCTTATGTTTCTGTAGCTCCACGGTTCTTCCACACAGCTGCCATAGTAACCATTTTACAAATCAAATTCGATACTTTTTTATGCTTTTTGGATTGAGCATGTTGAGCTTCAGCCTCATTACTGAAGTAGTTTCTAAGACAGTGGTTTCTAAGAAGATGCCTTTGAATCGTTAGATGGACAAACAGGCCAAGACATAAGTTCATCAGACTTTCAGGCATGCAAGTTAAAAATATATGGAAAGAGTTCCTTACGTACCCCCGCCTATTTTATATAGAACTTTTCGTTACTTGTGTATCTTTGTATTGTTTGAAAAAATTATGTGGGGGGTACGTAAGGAACTCTTACCAAATGTGTTGTACAAAGTTACAATGTTTCTATTAACTTAAGCTAGAAACGACTGCTTAGCATTCAAAGAAAAACAACAACAATACAATAAGATTAATGTCATATTAAATTTGCAATTATTATTTTACCCTACAATCACCAGGAATATCACAATAAATTAATCACAGCTTACATTACCAAGCATTCTAGTGAAATGATTATTTTCCCTTTGGGTTAAAAGACAGCTTTGATTCCATGGAATACAAAGCATGACTATTTAGATCATTCTTTTGCATGGGATGGATATGGGAAAACTAAAGTAAGAGTTACCTCCCATATCGCAAATAGATGCCAAATTCAGGTTATATTTACTATTATGATTAACCAAGATGTCCTCTTCCAAACAATGCTCTGTTGTTTTATAAATAAAATGTTCTATTCGCTCAAAAAAACAAACATATCTGTGCAGAGCACTGATACTTTTGGCTCTAAAATTTTGACATTAGTTTACACTTGTGATTCCTGTCTGCTGAGAATCACATCAGCAAAATATCTACACATACTAAGAAAGAATTTGGGTGTTGAACTCATTGTCTAACCCAATGCAAATACCTTGATATACCATTAGCTTGGCTATTAGAGGCAATGTGAGGTTTGAACTTGTAACAAAGACCTGGCAGATGCAAACCTCATCCTTGTCTTCACGGTTACATATATTCCTAAACTGAAAATCATACCAAACACAAATCATTTCTCCACCAACGCCTTCTTCTTCGATTCACGATAAGGTCGTTTCGGTTTTGCCAAAATATAAGAAACAGAAAGCGAACCGTGATTGCAGTTTGACAGTAGGTAACTGAATAAAGACAGCCTCCGCCATCTTACTCCACTGAGACAACCAAAGGATCGTAAAAATCCTCACGTTATTCTAAACATGTTTTAACAAAAATGCTCTCACTTGATTTGGTTTATATCGCACATTCATTTTCGACACTTTAAACGCCAATAACTGAACAGAGTAATCACCGACTGAACAAATATCTGATCTCCACACCCCTTCCCTTTGATCTTAATTACAAATTTGGGCCAATTAACTCGTCAAACAATACTGCATTTGGTTGCACAGACACAAGGAAACATCAGCGATTACCCGTAATATGTCCGTATTCAAGATATAAGTAAAATATCCGCTACTTTTATCCAAAAGCTTGGCACATTCTTGGCAAGTTTTGCCATGTTGCAGAATCCGCCATCTTAGTGCAGGTGCCCGGATGAAGCAATCCAATTGAAATAAGTTTCGAATTAATATGTTGCTTGAAACGCAATTTGATTACATTAAAATTAACCAAAATTATAACAAACATGTATGGTCTTAATGAATTTTAACAACAGCGTTTTCGTTAAAAGAAATGTGCTCCTGTGTAAAGTTTCATTTGCACACGTCTCGAAAGGGGCGGGGAAAGCGTCGCGTGCTCTTTAGTGCTACTAACACAACAGTGTGGGGAAGTGAACAAGGTTTGGCGAAAATGGACATGGATAAGTTGTTTGAGTAAGTATGTAAGCCATATAATTTTCATCAGTGGACAACTTACGTGTCAAATAGTAAGGTTGCATATAAAATAATTTGTTGATAATGCATTTATCGGCATTTATCACCTTACGTGATGTCAGTACGTGACATCGGTCATTCGAGTATTTCTTCACTGATATCACAGAAAATGGTATATTCATAACGTGTCATTGGGTGAAAACGAAAGATGATTTTCAATATTGATGATTGTGACAGAATAGTTGGCCATATTATAATACATATTTCAGATGGAGTCAGTTACTCTTCCTGGCTTCATAGTATGTACAACTAAACCCACACATATCTATTTACAATGAATGGACTTTACATTATTGTTATGACAATTATGTATAATAGTTTTTATGCAGTGTTATAAATTTGTTCCTAAATTATTTTTTGTATACAAAACTCTACAGCAATTTTTAGTATGTATTTATGAGATATATTTTCATGACAAGTTACATTAAGCAACCAATCCTAGTGATTTATCACAAAATTGATAAAGAAAAAGTTTGTTAAAGATGGTTTTGGTCAGGGAAATATATGAAGTGGTCAAAACGAATGAAAGATTGCGTTACAGTACAATGTTTAACAATGGTTTTGTAGGTTAAGGGTGATTTTAAGGGCATTGGACTCTAGTTTATGCCCTGTTGTCTAGCACTGCCTACTGGAAATCATTAGCTGCTGCTGTGAGTTGATTAGCAGGCTAATGCAAGAAACTGGGCTACTGCCTGTAAGGACTGTGGAAAAAAAGGTGATGTCTTTACACATTTGTGAACACTGGTTAAAAGTGCTTGTTAATTAGAACCTTCAGCCTAAACAAACAGAGAACAATGAAAGCTTAAATTTACTCTTTGGACAGCATGTGGCATATGAATATGGAAATAGTTTTAACATTCTAGGACAGTTTCTTAATGAAATTTAAACACTTCATGTCATCTGCTTATTTTGATTTGTTGAGTGAAACAGATGAAAAATACATGATGTGGTAAAGTGGCAGAGATATGAGGTTTTCCTGAGCACTGTTAGCAGAGGGATTGGCCTCATATGGCCTGGGCATTTATATTTGAGGCTTTGATAAATAGCTTCAAATCTAATCAGTTGGGCATTTAGTATTTTGTAACTAGTTCATAAGAAAAGCACACAATGTTCTTTCCAGTTTGCCTATAATATACTGAACAATATTAGAAATGCACCACACTAAAATGCACCGACGATGTTCAGATATCATGGGTACATTTCAGTCTGACGGGGGGATATTTCGTATTATATGGGTGGTGCGTTTCTAATGTTGTTCAGTATATATAACATGGCAGAAGCCAGAGTCCACTGCACAATTTTGTTGTTTTTATTTGAGAACGGAACCAGGCATTGCTTACATTGGAAATTATTTCAAGCATGATTTGAAAACACACTTACTGTCCCTTCAGAGCACACTGCGTGTTTTCACCCTTTGGAATTTTTTATCTCTCTTTGAAATGCAAATAATAGGAAATTGAAAAGCGCATTCAAAGATTTATCTTTGTTACACCACCTTTATCCAGTATATGTGTTTGAAATGAGAACAGATTATATTTTCTGTTGTAACCTTTAAAATATATTTCCATAATTGAAGTGGTCACTATTTTTCCTATGCTATTGTTGTTCAGAAGTTGATGTGTGTGGCTTTTGGAGTGAGCTACCCATGCCAAAACAAATCTTTTCTACAATGACTTCCAGTGAATACAGAATATGCAAAACCTAAACTGTAATCCTACCAATGTTATTTGCTATTTAGAGAGTATACCCAGCCGTAACACACATAAATCAGAATTAACACAATGGTGTATTCATGTCATGGGATCCATTTCTTTGTATGCCTGTTTTTTAAGCTTTGTACTGATCGTAAAATTGACAACCAACTTGCCATAGCAGGTTTCAATTCACAATGAACAAAGAGAATGACGCCAACATATCTGCCAATGTGGATATACGTAAATATTAAACTGGCACTGTGCCACTGCTGGCTGTTGTGTACATGGTTGAATACACACAAGTACTGGTACGTGCAGTAAAACACATTAACATGTTGATCACAACTTTTTATATTGTATATTGTAAGATGAATTCAGTCATTCCGGTCGTATGTTTTGTCCATATGTCATCTTCTCCCTTTAATAAAAACTAAATCCAAATACAGGAATTCTCAGCTCGTTTCTGGATAAGGATCTGGGCGCGGTTGTTCAAAACTCGGTTATCTTACCCGCTGGTTAACTCCTAACCTAACTATACCCGCTAAAATCCATAACCGGCCGTTAGCTAACCGAACGTTAAATACGCGTTGTTCAAAACACGGTTAGTCATGCCGTTAGCTAACGTCACCGTCAAAGTTTAACAGTGTGGTTAACGTCACTGGTTAGCTTCCATCTATCCCATAATTCCGTTTTCTGTTTACTTCCGGTTTACCAAAAATGGAAACGCAAAATGTCGCCTGCACCCCAAGGAAAAAGAGAAGTCGAAATTTCTCTGCTGACGAAGAGAATGTAATCCAGTCAATGGTTGAGGCCAACTCTATAGTTTATCATAGGCATGCGAATGTCGTAGCGCTACAAACGTTTTGTATTGGAACACAAGGTTCCAGCCGTTTGCATATACAATACAACCAGAAATTATTGAGAATTTAAGATTGTAATGTTTTATATTGTTTACACTCATTACTCATGTATTAAATGTGAATATTAGCAGAACATAACTCCAGATTCAAAGACAGGTGAACAGTTAGTATTTTGTCAAGTCACCATGGGCAGCAATGCAGGCTTCAATGCGGCGGGGCATACTACTGATCAAAGAAGTTAGAAAGTCGTGGTCCATGCTGTCCCAATATCGGACCACCTCTTCTTTCATTTCAGCAATATTTTTGTCAGATTTGTCTTATTGACACTTTCCTTCATAAGTCCCCAAACATTTTCTATTGGATTTAGGTCAGGGCTGTAGCTTGGCCAATCTAATAATGTCATATTTTGGGTCCGAAACCAGGCCTGTGAATGCTTGAACGATGTTTTGGGTCCTTGTCCTGCTGGAAAATCCAAAATTTCCATAGAACATGTGAGCAGATGGAAGTAAATGTCCCTCGAGAATATCTGTGTACCGTTCACTGTTCACTCGACTTTTCTGCCAACCCATTGCATACAGCTCAGTTCTAATTGTCTCCTTACAGACAGCCACAGTTCCTCTATCAATCATATCCAGCCTTAAGTTTTCTAAACTCCTTCGTTTGTTTTTCGAAACAAGAATACCAAGCCGCCTCCTGTCACCGACAGTCAATTTTCTGGGCCTACCTGCGCCTCCCTGGTGCTCTTTGCCATATCCATTTGCAATATTTTTCAAAACACGATAAACAGTGGACAAAGGGATGCCTGTTCTACTTGAAATCACTTTAGCTGATCTGATGTCCTTATTATAATACTCTAAAATCAACTTCCTCTTCTCTAAATCATCCATACTGAGGATCACTGAAAATGTCGTCTGCTAGCAAGTAAACAAAGGGGGATAACTCTTCACAAACTAGTGAAACAGGATTAACGGAGTTGTCTCTCTTGAATGAAACCAAGCACTTGATAGCTGGTCAAGGTTGTTTATACTAGAAATCCAATTGAACATATTCCTAAAATTCTCAATAATTTCTGGTCATACTATATATACATATGATCCCAGCTCTGAGTGTGTTTACTTAAAAACTATAGCACAGGTATAGATAAAATATCATGAATCCATGAAAATAATATTGATAGTAGAAGTATGTTGTCTGTGGATAGAAGATGTATAAATATTACACACAGGAGTTACGCTTAGACGGCTACAGTCTTAATCAATCTTTGAATTCCCACAAGACCTATCGCTCACTTTTCACTCCTTAAATTGTCATGACTGTATGGCCAAGTCGTGAAGATGCTATCAATATCATTTATTAATTATTTGCCAATTCTGTCAAACATTGTAATGTATGAACACACATTGCCAAATCCTTTAGCATCAAACAATATAGATGTTGTGACAATAATACCATTAGCTTTTATATGAAATATGCATTCAATGCCAATAGAAACTGAATATGTTACTAGCACTACGTGCAAGTAGATCAAACTGTAATTGGACTATAGGCATCAGGGCCAACACTGCTGAATAAAATCAATCTGTTATCCGACCTTACTGTTGACAGGAATCTCATGAACAATACTGTGCAATATCGTCATTATCTGAACGCCTTCACAGACGCCATATTCCGGAAAGATGTCTTGAAAAACATGAAACTGTGTCTAAATTATAGAGGAAAATAATTTCCTCGATACTCATTAATCAGATGAACCTTCATTTAGTTCAATTCACAAGTGACTACAGAAAATGCATATAAAGTTCTTTTTAATGACTTCAAGGTCGTACAACATGTATTATATTTCATAAGTGTATTATACGCTGTAGTAGATGAACAGAATTTCCTCGATACGCAATTATCAGATGAACCTCCATTTAGTTCAATTCACAAGAGACTACCGAAAATGCATAGAAAGGATGGAAAACATGTATTATATTTCATAAGTGTATTATAGAACGCTGCAATGATTCGGCAGAGAAATACTATTGTGCCATTGTATTCCTTATATGAACCTATCAGTGTATAACATTAGCATTCAGATATTGTTATAACATAAGTTAAAAATTCCAAATATTATCGTGTAATATGACATTTTAGTGTAGTAAACTATATCTTAAACCTATACACAAGTGATAAAAGATGAAACGTAGGCATCGTGTACATGTACAGCGTGTATTTTAGTTCCTATGATATGCAATATTCAATATTGGGACCAATATTAGTTTCATATGTAACTGTTTGTCCAATTCTTCGAATAATTCCCACTATTGAAGTCCAGTCCACGACACATGCTATCCTTTCTTTGCTGAACTAGCATCATGAAAGCAGTGTAGCCATGAGCACCATT